ACTAAACGACTACTAAACTACTGTGGTGTTACCATACCTCTCTTACCTGCTCATTCGACATTCTTCTCCCCTTCTCCCATTCTTCCTTACCTTTAGAGGAATTCTATGTGTCAAATGGATTTCTAGTCGACCAGAGTTTGACGTCTGTGATTTCATATTTTCCCTGGTTACTAGGTACACATGCCAAAAAAAGATGAGCGATTGCCCCTCACATGGGAAAATTCGAATTATCCTTGTTGGGTTGTTATGGGTCATGGTGCATTGTTCCTGTTCTGCGGCTGCCATGCTAACATACTAAATTTATGATTATTATGGGGAAAAGAAGAAAAAATCGATTTTACAGGTAGTGGAGGACTCAGGATTGTAGTCTGTGTGTGTTAGTCTGTACATGGCATGTTTTGGTCCAGCCGTTTTGTTTGGTGTTTCCAACTGCTGTCTGGATTCAAGCGGTTAAACATCGCACGAGTCGTCGATCATGGGACTAGAAGCATAGAGATTCTACACCGCAGAATGAAGGAAGTGTAGATGGCGTATGTAGGTGGTAGGTGGTAGGTGTATGTGTATCTGTATCTGTATCTGTACGTGTATGTGTATGCGTATGTGTATGTACATGGTCAGGAAACTCTTTGAACCCTTTAAACTCTTGGAGTACCAGGTAGGTATGGTCTCGAGGCTAATTCTCTACATTCCTCCGTGAAGCTTTCAATATTGCCCATCCAAGGGTCTCATTACCAGAGCGCGATTGATTTGCATTATATGCTCAAGGAAGGTAAATATTCACGCTCAGGTAGATACTCAATGTTGACTACCTACTCAACTCAACTCACGCAAAAAGAATTTGTATTTCCCTTTTCGATGTGAGGTACCTACAGAGAGCAGAGTAGCATTGTAAAGTAGTACCTACATACTCCTAAACACCTCCCTGGCAAGGAATTACGTTTAGCTTCCTCTGGGGTACGCCCTGTGGATCCAGTGCAGTCAACGTCAAACTTTTTTTCAAGCCAGTCAAATTCAAAGGATCGAACAGCTGATGAGCAATTAGTTCGATGACTGGTCAAATTTGCATTTGCCTGTACACTGACTATACTGACTACACTTGGGTATGGTAGTTGAAAGGACGTCAGCAAGTTCATATTCCTTTTGCGATGCATACGATGTGTGAGTCGATGAGTCTATGGATCTAGAAGTCTAGGAGTCTAGGAGTCTACTTCGTATAGATCTATGACACTACCCAGGCAACCAGCCAGCTACTCGGCCTTTTGCGACTCGAAGATCAAGACCGGACCTGAGTCTTCCATCCTAAGAAACGGCCATGTTTTTATTGAAAGCCTCGCAATTACTCTTCCTCACCAATGATGCACTACTACTCTATTACGATTCTTTCAGGCACAATGACGGAAATCCAAGGATTATTGTCAGGATTGTCAAGGGGTCGTATGCCAAGCGATATTGATGGACGAAGAGATATCACACTAATCACCACACAGATGAAGAGTTCATGATATTATTACCTTGTAAACGGTAGCAACTTTCACGAATACGATATTCCTCAATTCCCCATTACTGTACATCGTGTTCGCTCAAAGGAGCTGCACCTCCTAACATTTCTTCGATTCGTGTTCAACTCCGCAAAAAAAAGAAAAAATCAACCTAAAATTGTGACAGCACGAAGAACACGATGGTGATATCACCACATGATGTGATGATGGTTGTGGACTCTTGAATAGCCCTTAGAACAATATTGAACCAATCTCGAGCCAGTCAACCATCATCACCCATATTATGATATTCTTCTGAGGCCATAAGGCGTGGAGCTCACGCCATCAAATGAAATATGGAGAATCTGGTAGATCATTCACATTATGAAGCGATATGCGAGCATGTCATCCATCCATCAATTAGAACTCCATTTCGGCCCACTCCGACTTTTTTGGTGTACTTCTAGAATCTTTTGGTTGTCAAGGGGATTCGCAACATGCTTCTACTATCAGCCATCGACAGCAAGAATTATCATGTAATTACGAATGATTACTAACTCGTGGTGCCATCAATTCCAACACATGCGGGGAAATGATACAATTCTACACGGCGTCAAACTGTGCAACTTTTGAGAATTACCTAGCATTTATCCATGAGTCTGTGACTCGTCTGTTGGGGTTAAATTCCAATCCCCCCACAGAATGGCGTTGCACAATTGAATTTCTCCTCGGAGAGAATCATGTGCTTGACGCCTCCCAATTTGATCCTCGCCATCGGGTCTATGGCTTCATCTCATGCATACGGAAGAGAACAAGCGACGACATGGCATTATTTTCCATTCTCACCGTGATGCACCGGGAACTCTCATCAACCATTCCAGCAAGAATCCCCCAAATCGGGATACACCTTCCAAATCCGGCTGGATCTGATAAAAGCCGCAAACCCCCATGTGATTCCATCGAGTAAGAAAAATCACACTCGACCACAAACTGCAAACTGGAAACGCATCGTGCAACGAACCTCCATCTTAATTGCATCGCCTTTCTCAATTCCAGACCGATCTCTCAGCTGTCCAATGAAACCCGGAAGACCTTTTCCAATCCCATTCGATCATATTCAATACCTGTTACATAACATCAAACCTTATTTTGTCGAATCCCTCACCACTTTTCATGCCCTCATCAATATCAAGAGTGGAAGAATCACGGCGAGGTGGGAAGATTTACTCGATGAGATCCACAGGTACCTTAAGTATCCACCATCGTGTACTTGCGAACAGTTGAACACAAACCCAAAAAATTCAGATCTTCCAAGCTTTCCAGATGATACTAAATTAGTATGAGAAATTTTTAAAGAAATTTTAGACTTCCCGTCGCTTCGCTCACGGTCCAAGTCGGCTGTATCTCCACTCATGTACCGCATGTACCCTCGATTATACTTTTCTAGAAATCTGATGTTTTGCGTGCGACATGAATTCTACCGAGAAAAAGCGAAAGACATGGCGTGACAAAATCTTCCGATTGGATCATACAGATTCGGGGATGTCCTTCCTTGATCTTTAATGACTCAGGGGGAAGACACGCAAATTCTTCCCCGGTTCGGCGGCTGTCTGTCTCCATATGAAATTTTTCTTTGACCAGCAGGGCAGAAAAATTTGGTGCGAAGCTTGAAGCTGGAGCCTTGAAGCTTCTTCTTCGTCTTTCGCTCACCGATCAAGGCCGATTCTGTGGATCTTTCTACCTCCACAATTGAAAAGGAGAGCAAGGAGGCCCCGAAATAGGAGAGATTCTAGAGTTCCAGAATCTGGATGGTTAAAAGCCTCATCCTTTCATCATGTTACCTTTTTTGCAGGCCTCAGGAATTGAAGATTCATCATCACTGTGGAAACGAACGGTGAAGAATGTATTATTGGAGAATTGGAGTGTGAATGAATAAATGTGAAGAGTGGAGCTTTTTTTTTTCTTCTGCTACGTACGGAGTACGTGCATGGTTGCATTGCAAACTTGCAATTGACAGATCATGATGGATGAAACGAAACGTCAAATCTGGGCAGGGGGATGTGGTTCTTGCGAGACGAATGATCATCCTGTTGTGAATTTTCTTCGCTCTTTCTTCAACGGTAGGTAGGTGGAGATTAGTATGGGTGGGTATGAGAGGTATAGAGTGTCGAGAGTCGAGACGGTTTTGAATGTGATGGATGCATCAGTTAACGTTGCTGGCATGTTACAGATGGCCGAGTATGTGTATCGTTGGCTTTCTCCACAAGTGAAAGAGTCCAGATGCATATGGGCAGAGGATCAAAGTCGACAAAAAGTCTATTCAGCAATAGCCCTGTGGTCAAATATACATACACACTGTGTTCATTCGAGCAGTAGTATTGTGCATTTAAGAGCATAAAAGTCTCCTAACACTCATCGCAACAGGATATCATTCCACCGTTTGGTATCAGGATATCGCATTCTTCATCATTCTTGAAGGGCAAACCTGTATGGCGAGCGCCGGTTTCCGTTGTGGTGGTCAGCTAAATAATTAGTAGGTAACCATACCCATAACATCATCGACTATCCGATCTCAAACCATCATCTTCTTTCTCGATCTACGTGCAATTTGCTCCCTCTTCCCCAGTAATTCTAAATCGATACCGTATTTTCCATCCACCTACCTACTGTGTATAACACATTTTCCCTCTCCCTCAAATCTCCCGTCCCATCCCCTCCCATCCCACAAACCACAAAAAACCAAGCAAACGCACGCACGCACGAACACTCCCATCCCAATATTCCAACCAACTCCAACTCCAACTCCAACTCACTAAGCCCTGCCCTACTCTGCCCAACTAAACCCCCTTCTAAACTTCTCCCCCACCAAATCCAAACTCCCAATCTGCCCCACATGAAAAAATAAACCTCAATAATCAATGGACACATCTTCTTCATCCATCAAATTATTTTTTGTTTGTGAGAAACAATATTAAAAAATTGATGACGTGAATGAAAAATGATACAAAAGTAAATCCGTATCCAAGGTATTGACCTACGCAGGGATCGAACCTGCAATCTCTTGATTCGTAGTCAAGCGCCTTGCCATTGGGCCAGCAGGCCGGGTTTTGGATGTTTGGATTATTTGATGAGTGGTGCTGCGGGAGGGGAAATATGTTTGTGTAAATAGATTGTAGGAGGGGGGAGGGGAGGAGGAGTCAAGGTTGGAGAGTGAAGAAGAGGCGCATAGGTTTTCTTCTTTCTTTCTTCATAACTTCATGTTTCTACTGGGTGAGCAAGTGTCGTAGGTGATTTCTCCAATAAAACCCCTAGAATAATACTCTCTTCTACATCAATATATTAAATCTCACATATTTCAATGATCGAAATCGTTTTCATTTTCTCTAAGAATAGTGCTGCACCAAAACATCATTTTTAGAAAAAGATTCGGGTAAAATGGTAAAAGTCATATTTTGAAAAAAAAAACCCAAATTACACAATTCCAAATATTAGCCTTCGATTTCATGCTCTCCCACCCCAGAATTACAGATACACACCTCCCTCTTCTTCTTCGGAAGTGTCGTCATAAGGATAATTCGCTTCGGGCGTATCTTGACTTTGATTTTGCTGATGTGAAGTGGCCTCATTCTCCCTATTCGCTTGAGATAGATCAGAGGATTCATTTCTGGCATGGTGGGTTTTGATTATTCGTTCGTCGCCTTCTTCTTCTTCTTCCTCTTCCTCTTCCTCTTCATCATTATATTCCCCTACTGCAGAATCACAATACTCCTCCTCATCACCTACTGCAGACTCACAATCCTCATCTTCAACACCATCACCTCCCACTCCACGCATCTCATCCCCAACAAAAGATCTCCCACCCCCCGTCTCTCTCCCCCTCACCTCCGAAATCTCCGTCCAAGAATCCGGTTTCCACCCCCCGGCCCTCTCATCTCCTTAATCTGCATCAAAACCTCCCCCCTAAAAACCCTCGACATCTCAATCAACACCCCCTCTCTAACCTTCTCCCCCCTCTCATCCCCCTCCTTCACATCCGGCGCTCTCCAATTCAAATAATGATTACAATGACTCCCGGGCACTACAAACTTTCCCGGATGCACTCTAACATAATGGTAACAACAATAGCACGCCGGTTTACTACACGCGATATAGCGATCCCTGTCTACGAAATGGAGATTCCTTGAGTGGAAATGCTGGAGTAGGAGTAACTCGGCATGGATTTTCGGTCGCCAGTTGGGGTTTGTGCAGTGGGAGGAGAGATGGGTGGAGAGTTGGTATTTGTGGTCCATTTCTGCGAGGGCGGCGCGGTAGGAGGTGATGGCGAGGGGGTCGCTCATGGTTCGTCCGATGAGGGCGGAGAGGGTAGGATTGCGGGCTTGGAGCGGAGGGGGGGAGGATGAAGAGGAAGGGAGGTGGGAAATGGCGAGTTGGGTAAAGAGTTGAGGGAGTAGGTTGCGGGTGGATAGGAGGATCTGGATGGCCTTTGGGGTGTGGTTTAGACGGCCAATGGTGTGGCGGATTTGGGTAAATCGAGTGGCGAATGGAGAGCCGGATTGAATGAGTAGTTGGAGGTGTGTGAATTCTTGCGGCGCTGCTGCAGATGTTTTGTGGCAGAAACGACAGAGTTGAGATGGATGCTCGGTAAGGGTGAGAAGCCCTTGAAGCCACGTGTGAAGACGAGTCGAGGATTCTGAAACGTTGATCATGTCAGATATGAAGATACATAACGTATGTGAAACTTCCTACCTTCATCCTGATCATCCTCTCTAACTGTCTTCCATTCTCCCAACACAAACCTAATATCCCGAGCCAAGAAAAATGCATAGGAAGAAATTCTCTTCTCGGCATACTTTACCGATAACTCAAATATTTTACCTTCAATATCCTCCTTATCTTTCTCAAAATCCTTGACCCCATCATATCCAGCACATCCTAAAAGTCCCAACACCTTTTCCAAAAACTCCACACCTCTTTCCGGTCGCGAACACTTATTCCATGCAACATGATATATAATCCTCCCCGTATCCATCTGCTGCAATGCAATTGCAGTCGTGCTATCGCCTCCTTTCTCATAATCACATAAATAGGCTAGATGTCTCGTAAATGATCTTCTTAGCTTGGTCCGACTCATTTCGTCCATTTCTTGCTTCTTATTCACATCAAGAGCGCTGGTTTTCATATCAATATCCAAGATATCATCGTCGAAACTATCGGTTGGGGTTTCTTCCTCTAGAATTCGTGAGCCTCGGTTAGAACCAAAGACGGTGAGGAGAATTAACGCTTCGTAAAATCGCTTGAGGAGTTTGGGGGCAACGGGAATGAGGGATGGGGATGGAGATGTAAGTGGAAGTGGAAGTGAAGGCGGAAGTGAAGGTGGAAGTGAGGTTGTGAGTGTTAGGGCACGATGCTTTTTGGACTGAGGTTCATGTTTTGGAGGGGGTTTGGATAGAAGTTTTGTTGATTTTGGGGGGCTCGAGGTGGATGGAGGGGTGGAAGTAGTAGTGGGGAGGTGGAATATGGATAAGTTATTCTCATTGAGTCGGTGGGGGCTCGGGATGGTCTTTTGTAAACTGTGTTCTTCTGGATCTTTCCCTTTCCCTTTACCCTTCCCTTTCTTTGGGAGGGATTTTAAAGCTATCACACATTTAGCTGGAGAGGCGACATTTTTCTGCTGAGAATTTCTGGGTTTGGTATTAGGCGAGTTGACGATACGTTGGCGCTGTATGTTTTCTTCGCTTTTTGCTAAATTATATTTTGGAGCCTGAGATACTTCCCTTTTCACTCCGCTTTCGACATTGAAGGAAAGCGGTTTAGTGACGGTGGGAGGAGAAAAAGTAGAGGAAGAAGTGGATGGTAGAAGAGAACTCAGTTTTGTCTGAACTTCCTCTATAGTCACCCGCTTCTCCAAGGGACTCGTAATTTTTTTACTCATTGCTGGAGCCTTTTTCCTTTGCTCTTTCTTCATATTGCCTCCTCGCTGATTTGGACCTTGCAATGCAGTCACTTGATCGCCATTTCCAACCAGTCCAGTATGTAATGCAGACTCGGACGTGCTTTTTGATTTTGTTACAGATTTCGTCATTATGATTAATATTCATCGATAAAATCAATGAAGAACTGTCTCCGTCGAGATGGAGTGCTAGTAGAGAGCAGTCCTTGTTTGATGTTGCAATAGCCTTGTTCTACAATCATCCATGCATATATGCAGGCATCCGCTGGCGCGAGTCTTGACCCCCAGCTTCCCGGTAAGTTGTCCAATGAGTAATATTATTGCGTGCGGGGTTTATGTAGACTTCTATAATTGATTGAAATGGACGCCCGAATCGAGAGTTTCGGAAGGAGTGCAAAAATCGCATATGGACTCTCTTATACGCATCTGTTTTGTTACACAGAAACATGTAGAACCTCTCATTGGTTCATGTGTAGTTGCACTGATCGATAAAGATGCGGATTCGCGAACGATAGATATGTTTAGCATGGACTTATTCTGTGGAGTCAAGAATGAGGTGATGGCTTTAAGTGTGTAGAATACTCCTCGTCACATATTGAACTTCCGCGTGCATCTATTGAAATTCTATGTTCTGATACCTAGGTAAAGACGTTTAGGTTTGGGCTATATTTTCAGAGTTATTGATAGTACCAAGCCCTGGAGCTGTGCTGATATTTCATGTATATAAAAGATTGAGAATTGGCGTATGGATTCTAACACTCCACATAGACCCCCGGGTCTTGCTCTTAGACTGGAGAAGAACCTCTAACCAACCTGACAGCGTAAAAAGACCACAGATGGTTATGGTATGTATATTTAATGGGAGGCATTGGCTTCAAAAGCTACAAATTGAGATACAACTAGACTACAAATTGTAGAACGACCACCCGACGCTGCGAAGACTCAATGTTCGAGCTTCATCGAACAATGATCATTATCTTGTGCATTCGAGTTAGGTAAAAATCAGATCAAATCGAGCGTCCGAATGTTTAAAATATCTTGCCAACTGATGGAGGTTCAATAAGAATTAGATCAAAACATACCTTGCATAAGTGGCTTTTAAATAAGTAAAAACGTATAATGAGAAGCATGAAGATGAACTTTTTAGTAGAGCAGAAATGCTCAACAGGTTACGATCTTCTATTGAGTCAATACAACAGCTTCACCAACAACTTGACTGAGATCAAAAGATAATAAGTCCAATTGGGCTTACATTGAAGGAAAAACGAACACATTGACATGAGTATACATAGAGATATAAGAACATGTTACAAGGCATCGTGCTTCCAGAAATTGCATTACAGAACCCAGGATTAGAACAAGGCAGACCAACGCTTTCTAAATATAAAATCTATAAGGATTATCAAAATGACTTCTTTTGAATGGGATCTGATGGGCCTGGGGACTTTTCGGGCTCAACAAAGACCACACATTGCTCATTTCAGGGAAAATGCTGAGCAGGTGGCCTGCGAAAATTGTGAATCCAGACAGACAGCACATCAATAGAAAGGCTTGAAAGCTTCTAGTAACATGCCCCATGAAGTGGTCCATTTGGCCAATATATATACGATTTAAGGAATTAGAAAAGTAAGCAATGTTCGAAAGACATTAGCAAAAACTCGAGTGCAATAAAACTTCGTCAAAGTGAGACATGGAGACGATGAGGTTTTCACTAGAGAATGGGACGTGATTGTAAGTTCCAAATCGTGTAAACAAGCTCACTGTACTTTCCCAGTGAAGTTCTCCCGAAGAGGCACTCCTGAGGTGCTTTCGAGGTATCCTTTGAATGCTTGAAGTTCAAATGGGCAGGCATTTGATCTGCAACTGATTACCTAATCCGAGCCGAGATTCTCCCAATCTAGCTTACGATAACCAAAGCTCCAGAGCTTCATGCCACATTGGAGGTCCATACCTCATTCGACATCATTCATTATGCGACTCCCACTAAATTTGCTTTGTCTGACTCTGTCAATACTTCCCAGAACTTTCGCAGTCTTCGCAGACGAAGCTTACACGGTTGACTACCATCACGAATTACTAGGTCTCCCACAATCAGACACAACCTTCTTCTACAAACCTAGGGAAACTGAACAGGGCGCGCTATTATATACATTAAGTGACCTTGGCGTCCTTGGAGCTGTCAATCCAGGCACGGGGGACGTTCGATGGCGACAAATACTGGCGAATGATGATAATCACGGAGAGGGCTTTCTGCGACCAGTCGAGGGAGCTGGCACAATTATTAGTGCTTTGGGCAACAGAGTAGATGCTTGGGATGCGAAGAGTGGAAGGGAAAGATGGGGAAACACTTTCACAGGACAAGCAAAAGATGTTGAGGTAGTCGAGGGGTTTGACAATATCAAGGATGTTTTGACTTTATTCGAAGATGCTGGAAAAGTCGTGGTACGAAAACTTAATGGAGATAATGGAGATGTTGTTTGGGAATATGTTGATGCTAGTGGTGATTTACCTCTACAAGTCAGCACAAATGTTAGAGACATTTTTGTTGTCACTCTTCATGGTTCCTGGGGAGGCTATAGCGTCAAAGTTACCACTCTGGACCATTTGACAGGTAAAAGAGTTACCGAATACACACTCTCCACCAAAGGAGATGTTCATACACCGGAGGATGTTTTACTTGTCGGAGCCAACTCTGCTGCTCCTATCATTGCCTGGACCGATAGATCGCTGAAGAGTCTCAAGGTCAATATCCTAGGCAAACCAAGCGACTTGCAGACATTGCCTCTAAAAGAATCGGATGGCGAGCTTACAAAGGTCTCTATTCACGCGCCTAATTCAGCGCAATCCTTACCACATTTCTTAGTACACAGTCACTCGGCAACTTCAAACAGAGCAGATGTTTATCATATCGATATGAAAAGTGGTAGCATTAGCAAAGCGTATGAAATCCCCAAGCTTGCAGGGAGCGGTGCTTTCTCAACCAGCTCACAAGGTGCCAACGTCTACTTCACTCGTTTTACCGAGGAAGAGACCTTTATCTTTTCTTCAATGTCTCATGGAGTGTTGGGCAGATGGCCAATTAAAGCAGAGAAGCAACATGACCGACTTCGATTTCTCCATGGTGCATCAGAGGTAGTCCAGAAAGCACCTGATACTTATGCTGTAAGATCAGCTATGGTGAGCGTGGAACAGGACTGGGTTCTGGTGCGCAATGGTGCTGTAGCTTGGTCTCGCATCGAGGGTCTTTCTGGTGTTGTGGCTGCCGAATGGGCTGAAATTCCAGCCTCTGAATCATTGGCAGAGACACTTGAGGCAGAAGCTCACAGCAACCCCTTGGAAGCATATATTCACCGAGTCAATCGTCATATTAATGACTTGGAATACCTTCCAGCATACTTGGAAAAGTTGCCAACCCGGATTTTAAGCGCTATCTTGCCTGGCGATTTGGTTACACCGAATGAAAGCGTTTTAGAACGAGATAGCTTTGGCTTTAACAAGTTAGTTATCGTTGCAACTCAAAGAGGTCGTTTGTATGCACTTGATGCTGGATCTCAAGGGCGTGTCTTATGGGGCACCAAAGCTTTCGATATACCAGCTGGCAAGAAGTGGGACGTTAAGTCCATATTTGTCAACAATGCTAAAAGTACAACAACCGTTCGAGGTAGTCAAGGAGAATATATCATCGTGAACACTACAACTGGAATGGGACTCGAGGCTATAAATCCTGGACAGTGGCCACCTGTTCAGAGCGCGGCTGTCGTTGACAGTAATCTTGGCAGGTGGGTGTTACCTATTGGCATCGATGGAAATCCTGGCGATATACCAAAAGATTGGGCACCAAAGGAATTGCTTGTGGTTCGGGGCGAGAACGGTGAAGTCAAAGGTTTAAAATTTGACATTCAAGGTGCTGATGCCAAACCTATCTTTACTTGGTCATTTCAACCACCTTCTGGCCAAAGGATCGTCGAGGTAGTCTCTAAACCCGCACATGATCCGGTTGCGTCGATTGGACGAGTGCTGGGTGATCGTACTGTTATGTACAAGTACTTGAATCCTAACACTGTTTTGGTTACTGCCGTCTCCGATGAATCCTCAATTGCCTCCTTCTACCTTCTTGATACAGTTTCTGGCGATGTTCTTTATTCCGCAAACCACGAAGGCGTTGACACTAAGAAGCCCATTGCCTCTGTCTTCACCGAGAACTGGTTCGCATATTCTTTATGGAGCGATGAATTATCAACCACCACTTCTCTACATGGATCAAAAGGATATCAACTCATCGTCACTGATCTTTACGAGTCTCCTATTCCAAATGATCGTGGAACCCTCGGCTCAAATGCGAATGCATCAAGTCTTGACCCATCAGATGTACCAAATGCTGGCCCAGTTCTTCCCCATGTTATTAGCCAATCATTCGTGGTTCCCGAAGCGATAACCCACATGTCTGTTTCCCAAACCCGCCAAGGTATTACTACTCGTCAACTTCTTTGTACACTGGAATCGAATTCCATAATTGGTATTCCCCGTTATCTTCTCGATCCCCGTCGACCAGTTGGCCGAGACCCTATTCCTGCCGAACAAGAAGAAGGTCTTCTTCGTTACTCGCCTGTCATCGAATTCGATCCAAAACTTATCATCAGTCATAAACGTGAAGTTCTTGGTATCAAAGGTGTCATTACCAGCCCTGCTATACTAGAAAGTACCAGTCTGGTTTTCGCGTATGGAATTGATGTTTTCGGAACAAGAGTCAACCCTAGCGCTGCTTTTGATATTCTAGGCAAAGCATTCAACAAGCTGAGTTTAGTGGCTACCGTTTTGGCATTGGGAGTTGGTGTTGCAGTTTTAGCGCCTATGGTAAGTTATTTTACTTTGTCTATTGTTTTAATGAGTGCTGTGCTAATATTTTCATAGGTGAGGAGGAAACAAATCAATGGCAGATGGTTGAATGCATGATTATGATTATGTTATAGAATCTTGTAAATTATGATAATGTAAGGAGGGTTAAAAGCGTTACCCTCATTGAAGATGAGCGACTTTGCTCATGCTATCAGTAAAACCATATAATTCCATCTTGTTACGGAATTGCTATCAACCATGTGAAATGATAAATAATGTTGATATTTTTGATTTACAATTTTGGCTGACATATATCTTCATCTTTTTTGACTTCGGCAGATTTATAACCAACTTATAATCACTGCCAATGCACCTCATTCCCCCATTTAACCTTTTGAGACGAATATTTAGGCGCAACACACATGGCATTAGCATTCTGCGGATGAAAATTAAACTTTTTCTTCACAATCCCCCAGTTTCATTATTGCTAATTGAAGATTATTACCAAGCAAGTATTTACGTGTATTGAGATGCTTCTTAATGGATCATCGTGCTGCGCTTTGACGAGGTGAGGTTGAATTGAGGGGATTAGTAATTCATAGTATGAAGATAATATGGAGAACCGTTGACATTCATCTTCGTCATCAATTCCTCTAGTCTGAAGATAGGTATCCCCACACAAGGTACCCCTCCATTTTTTCTTATTGTGGAATGGAGAGGGCTTGCTTTGTTGATGCATTCGGATTTATCGCTTTTAAGAGATAAGTCCTCCATATACCCAGGTACATGAGAATGTTTTGAGTTTTGTTCGGAATTGTATTTATATACCATCTATTCGCACTTTGGTTTGGGACTTATTCCTCCAGATCCTATTTCTTCATTCATCTATCTTACTAAATAAAATACTCGAGTAGCAAACATGCCGGGAAAATACCAAAAGCTTGTTGCCAAACACGTTCTCGTCATAGGTGGCTCTTCCGGGATCGGATACTGTGTAGCAGAAGCCTCCCTCGAAAGTGGTGCATCCGTTACAATTTCCTCTTCCTCCCCAGATCGCGTCGCCAAAGCAGTTGAGAAACTCACAAAGAGTTATCCAGATGGAAGAATCAACGGGTTTCCATGCGACCTCTCTAAACCCAGTCTCGAAGCCGATGTTGAGAAATTGTTTGAACAGACGGGAAAAGTAGATCATATAGTTTTCACAGCCGGTGATGCATTATCTCTTATCCCGTTGGAGAAAGCGTCGCTAGAGGATATGCAGAAGGCGGGACAAGTGAGATTTTTTGGTCAATTGATGGTGGCGAAAGTTGGGAGTAGGTACCTTAGTGAGGGACCACAGGCTTCGATAACGTTGACGACGGGGTCGACGGCCGATAAACCGATGAAGGGGTGGAGCATTGTTACTAGTTTTGCGGCAGGGTTGCATGGCATGGCGAGGAGTTTGGCGGTCGATTTGGCGCCCGTGAGAGTTAATGTCGTGAGTCCTGGTCCGGTGAAGACGGAGTTGTGGAATGGGATGGGACAGGAGGAGAGAGAGAAGCTGTTTAAGGAAGTGGCGGGTAATGTGTTGACGAAACATGTTGCATTACCAGAAGAGGTTGCGGAGTCATATTTGTGGTTGATGAAGGATAGTAATGTAACTGGAACAGTTGTGAGAAGTGATTCTGGTACGTTACTTGCTTAGCTGCAGACAATAATGCTCCAGCAATAGCGCTCAAGCTATTCAGTTTTCGAGAGTGCATGTATGGTATGCCATTGGTATGCCATTGGTATTATTTAGCAATTCTGGTTTTGATAATAAACTGATCAATCTCTTCAAGAATTATCGGATGACATAGTAGAATTGCTGTCATTGATTTTCCAACCAACTCCCTCACATGTTTGCCCGTTATTATACCACTTCAATTCGGGAAGCATTTGACTAGCAACCCATCTAGCTGTAGTGGTATGTCTACTCCCATCCCCAAAAGGTTCGTCCGTACGATCGGGGCGACTTTTTAGATCAGACGAGAGCTCATGTCCCAAAATTGTTGATCGACCACCAGCAAGTGCTTGAAAAATAACCAGTTGATCTTGAAGATACTCATCCACTAAACCGCCCTTTTCAAACTCGGAACCAAGATCTTCAACTACCCTCTCTGCTATATCTGCCGATATGTCTTCTGGGGTTCTATCCTTTGTCTTTCTATCGTACAACCAATCGCGCCCAAATCTTAGTCCAGTAGAAGTATGAGCTACTAAAAGTGTGTATATCCGATGCGTATTCTCTCTTAGAACAATATTGATTTTTGCTTCAGGAAAGCGTTGCTTAATAGTTGTAGCCAAAGCATCTACGAGCGGCTCCTGGAGTGTTTCAAGTACTAGGATCGAGATATCTATTTCCTTCACGCTTCCACGTTCAGTTGGCCAATTTGGGACTTTCGGAGACTGGCTGAAAGGTATGGGATGTATCTTGAACTCTGCATGGCCCAGTTTTAATGGACCATGTGACCATCCTCTAACTTTGAGTTGTCGCTCTACACAAATACCGAATCTTTCGAGAGTTGGTAATAGTACTTGATCGAGATACTCATATGATAGAGAGAAACTTCCATTGGTCCCTCCTTTAATTGAGAGCTTGATTGGAAGGGCCGCGGCATCATTTGCAAATAGCACGACGGGAAGAATCGCCTGAAGTACAAGTAGAATGCTAGATGCGGAATCTGCATCAATGTTTATATCTCTATCAACTGTATAATGATGAGAGGAGTTGGGCTTAAACTCGATTGTCTTGCTTCCAACGAAACATCCAGTTGTCTCGGCGGATGTAATTTTCGCGAGCCATGTTATAGCAGAAACGTGCTGTGCTTTTAAACCACCATTCCTCTTTCCCAATCTTCACTGATGAGTTAACTTATCTGGTTGGATTTATAGATAAATGCTTTACCTGTTACCTCTGACATTCGTGATTAGGAGAGGGGTTCCGGTCAGAGCAGCTAATGAAACCGCGATCCTGACAAGCCTGCCAAAAAGAATCAACAAAACATGCAAAACTGATAGCATACTTAAACACTCACTGTCCGCCGCCTTCGCCAGTTCTCCCATCAAGCTTTACTAATTTTTGTGATGCTGATTTCGTCATCGTTGCACATGTAGACTCTGTCGTGAGAGTAGTAAAGCTATTCATGTGCCGTGTTGGACGTTCTGCTTTCTAACATACAATATACAATGTATGATAATGATTCTACCAGTCAAAAAGGGCATGATCAACTCAAATAACCCGTGAGATCGTTTAATCTTATGCCTCTGGTGAACATGAATGAGTCATTGACCGAATAAGGAGTCAGGACTGCGCCCGGGCTCGTACATTAAGTTCTTTAACAATTTATGACTCGAGAGCGATCGAGATGACATACTGTCAATCCAATACTCTCAGTATCACGCTCAATCTTTCTTCTCGAATTTCTCTTTCACACACTGGTACATCGCGTTATCGATGGAGCATATATTTGTGGCACGAGCACGAGCCAGTTTAACCACATGAACTATTCTCACCCCGCAAACTGATCCGCTCAGCCTCCCCACAAATCTTTGGTCCAGACCTTGGCATTACACTGCCTTAGCAAGAGAGTGTCTCGTCAACAGCCTTACATATATTGATACCTCATTGTAATCCTCTACGGCACCGTCCATAATGATCAACAAGACACTCGACCTCGACACACTGTTCGCAGGAAACCCGACAAGTTCCACATCAAAATGTCGCGAATGGGTCGACAGCAATCGCATGCAAGTGGCTTGAATTCCCACTTGCATCCAAAGCCAGGACGCTTTTCACTCTGGCCCGGGAGGAGAACAAATGCCACTGTCGCGAGAGAGGAACCTGCTATAAATAGTGGTTCTGGGTTGATGATTGATGTACGTACCGAAACATCCACCTTTGCGTTCTATGAACCCCTTCATTTCGTTAACATCTCCGTAGCCCCCGCACAGCGATCTAATCGTTAGCTCGCCCGTTATTCTCCCGGAAATCGAATTAACGAAAACCAATATATCGCAAGATCTCTTCATCGGCGCATTGCATGATCCTAATTATATTCAATTACAAGAAAATGTGAGGAAGGCGCGTAGAGCACTGGTGGGACCGGAGCCTAAAAATATAGATGCCGCCTGGGAGGTTTACAAAAGACAGAGAGAGGAATCTCTGGAGCATTGTCGAAAGTTGATTGAGAAATCGCGTAAGTCCTTTATTATTTCGGATAACGTACACCATGTTTGTGACTTCATTCTGTTTGTTCATGAAACTAAATGCAATGTACATTTAGAAGAGCACCATGCTCGAAATCCATCATTCGAATCCAGCATAGGCCCGTTGGATACGCGGTCATCTCTCAGCAGTGGATCATTTGACGATGGATCTCTACCATTTCAAATCAATAACTCGTGGCTATCAGCTATTTGTGATTATAAAGCCTTCCAGGAAAAACTTGCCACTACCCTTCGTACTTCTCTTGAAGTGACGTATGCTGCCTACGAGCCCGATGCATCTCAACGCCAGCTTGAAATCTTTCTAGCAGATAAGGAGCATCGGAAAAGTGTTATTACAAAATGGCGAGATACAAGTGTTCGTAGGGTGAAGTCGGAAAAACCAGAATTCTTCGAAAAGTACAAGATACGATCTTTGAACTTCGATAAACTGAAGCATGATATTGAAGAATCGGAAAGCTTGTTCGATACAGGTCATACACCAAATAGAGTCGTTCGTGAATCTATTATTTATAAGAATGGAGACACAATCTTAGAATTTGCAAATCGCCCTTCGGATAGTCTTCCGGTTATCAGATTTCGTGTGTCGTCCCATTTTTTGAGCCCAGACGATGTTTCACCGTTATTCTCTCAAATGCTCTGCCCCGGACCAATGATTCCGCCAGATATGATGAAAGATCTCCCCAAAGCACCAACCAAGATCTTTGGAAAGGACGGTATTGGTGTAAATGTTTATCGTATGCCACAGATGGAGCCTAACAGCCATGAGGCACTGGCACTTCTCTTCCACGCTATACACGGACACGCTCAAAGACTTCCACGGGAAGATATTGATTTTCCAGTTTTCGTTAGTATTGCAGATGTATGCTTAAGGTACAGGTGCACATCGCCAGTAGAGTTACAAGTGGAGTATCAATGGTTACCTCAATGGGAATCTCAAGCTGCTGAAAGCAAACCTGAAGAACTTCTCCTTATCGCGTATACATTTGGCGCAAGAGATCTGTTCACGCGTATCTCTAGGAGCATCATTTTAAACTCGAAAGATGGCGACGATGAGACTCAAGGTCAAAAACTTTGGCCACAAGCTATCAAGAATACGATCAGAACACGCAGGGCAATATACATGGAACAAATCCTTGATTATTGCGCGAGCGTTATAAACGAATACCTTCAGCCACCACGGCAGAGCGCAGAAAGATCAGTTCATGTAGGATCACTTGAGCTCTCCACGGTACGATGCCCAAGGGGATCCCATACTTGTGATGCCACAAATCTAGGCTGGCTTATGCTAGTTTACAACGAATTGGGTGTTTCTCCTCTTTCTCCTAAATCATCATCGAAGTGCAGCCTGAAGGAATTGATTGACTGCTTGAGATTGATGCCTAGCCCACCCCAAACTCATATCGGTGTCTGTGATTTTGCTCCTGACTTTAGAAATAAAATAAATGACATTTCGAATACCATTATAGGTCTTACACTTCACGACGTCTCGGGTCAACATGGATGGGCCTTGAGTAAGGGTGACGATCCACAAAATACGGTCCCGGAAGAGATCTTTGAACTACCCGCACATGTTAGCACAAAAGAGTGTATTGTTGAAGCCGAGAAAGCAAAACAGGCAGCAAAAAGTGCTGTCTGCCTCCGAATTCTCTCCCTTCTCGAGAACCTCGAGGATCTTCATGCTGCAGCAATGGTCGATAAGTCATTCTACGGGGCCTATATCAAAAATGAAGGAAGACTACTTCGGAACATAGTAAGAGCCGGATTGAAACATGCCTCCAGGGTAGCTGAAACACAAATTAGCCCAACGGATCGGATGGCCCAAGATACCACAGAGTCTTTGGAAGCTACCGCTGTTGACCTTATTGATGACTCTGAATCTGCTGTGTCTTCCGTTTCGGAGAATGAATCGTTTAATGCTCAAGACGGAGATTTATACGACGTTTCACCACCATTGTCACCTATTGATATAACTGCAATGCCTGTGCCCACATCAGAAGAAGAGGCACGAGAACTTCTCACACGCAATGTCGAAGCTACCAGTCGAGCCTGGGCGATGAGAGACTCTTTACAGTCTTCCGAAAGGCATGTAAATTTGACACAAAAAGAAAAGTTTCTGGCAGGAGATTTTGCACATATAGAAGACAAAGCTCGGCTAGAGGAAGAAAGCAAACAGTTACAGGCTGAAAGGGATAAGTTTATAAATCTCAGAGGATAGCGGCATCTCTCCCCCCCCCCCCCGTTTCATTTCATTTTTGAGGCTTTTCGTCGCGGTGTTTTTGGTCAGATATTGGATACAAAATGCATAATGATGATTCATGAGGATTTAGTCGGAAAAGTAACAAGGCGCCATATACCCAATTTGAAAGAAAGGTTCAATTTTCACGTCAATCTTTTGTAGGGGTTTTTAGATATAGTTAGAGATCCTTAGATATTCATCAATATATGCTCCATTAGTTCAGGGAAGATAACAACTCACTCAATCAAATTCCCATCGGGATCTCTACAATAGACACTTCTCAGCTTGCCTTGAGCACCAGTGCGTATCACAATTCCTTCGTCAGTTTTCTCTGGGCTCAAATCGACCATCTCCACACCTGCATCTATTAGACGTTGGCGAACATCTTTGACATTATCATCCGTAATGAAGCACAAATCTGCGCTTCCATCTTTCACATTTTGAGCTTTGGGCTCGAATTCCTAATGGATTTCAGCGCGGTGAGATCACATATTCCAAGAAGGGCATTGAAGCAAAGAGTTACCTTTCCGAGTTGATGTAGATTTATTTTTTGCGAACCAAAAAGAAGCGAATGACGAGTGATATCTGGTGTGGCACTTGAGACGAATTGCTCGGCTTGCATGCCAAGATTCGCCTTATACCATTGGATGGAGCGGGGTATGGAGGCGACAGTCAAGACGAGGTGATCGAGAGATTTGATATGTGCTGCTGGTGCAGAAGCCATCTTTCGAATGTGTTGAAGATTGGTATGGTTGATCAATTTCGGAATGCTTCTTGTGAACATAGACATGATGAAATACTGTAATGTTTAATTGTCATCTCGTGAATGTAAACAAGTAGCTGAATGATTCACTGATCCCCATCTGCCCCTCCTTGTATCATATCACACCAATCAACGTCCGGGGCACCCCGCGACGGAGATTGCCGTCAGTTTTTTGTGAATTTCAAAAAAAGTTTCATGTAAACAACGGCGATAATAATATGCGATAAATTCTACAATGGCTTGTGTATAGTTGGGAATAGGCACATACATGACATAGCCTAGTTCCATCATTACGATCACGAAGATTACGAAGACCAACGATTTTGTTACTCTCACGACAGACGATTGTAACCCACCATGTCGAACTTGATCAATCGCGTGGGAAGTTCCTCACAAGCGCAGTTTACAGCCACTGCGCTTGTATCTGGTGCGGTAGTGGCAGGTGCAATTTTTAGTTACCAGGCCCTGAGAAGGCAGGAGAAAGTGGAAGATCTAAAGAGCTCGATACCTAGTTTGGGACGGGATCATCATGCTGATTTGGTATGTTCTAGATCTGCCACCTGGCAATCGAGTGAGATTGTACTCAAGTGCTTATACTGACGAGAGAAGTGAAGCTTACGGATATGGGGATTGCGCCTAAGGGTACGGGCATGAGTAAAGAAGATGAGAGGGGTGCTGCATTGGCGGAGAGAGCAAGAAGGGGCGATTACGATGATGGTACTTACAATTCTTTCACAAGAACTTATGAGCATCACTGATTTGTGCAGAACTTATTCTAGAACAATTGGCCCGAAATCGAGTCTTCTTGAAGGATGATGGATTACAAAAGTTACGCTCAGCATTTGTGGTTGTGGTTGGTTGTGGAGGTGTTGGATCGCATTGCACGGCAGCTCTTGCACGCTCAGGAGTTTCACATATACGTCTTATCGATTTCGACCAGGTTACTCTCTCGTCTCTTAACAGACACGCTGTTGCGACGCTCGCAGATGTTGGTACACCGAAAGTGGGATGTTTGAAGAACCGTCTACAACAAATTGCCCCATGGGTAAACTTCGATTTAAGAAACGAACTTTTCCACGCCAAAGCAGCGGACTCCCTCCTTGAAGAATGGGATGGTAGAAAGCCGGACTATATTGTGGATGCTATTGATAATATCGATAGTAAGGTGGAATTGCTGGAATACTGTTATAAGAACAACTTACCAGTGATTTCATCTATGGGCGCAGGATGCAAATCAGACCCCACCAGAGTCTTCGTTGGAGATATCTCTGCTAGTACGGACGATCCACTCTCTCGCTCCACTCGAAGAAGACTCCGTTTACTAGGAATTACCTCTGGTATCAATGTAGTATATTCAACAGAAAAGCCCGGACCAGGAAAGGCACAACTATTACCTTTACCGGACGAGGAATTCAAGAAAGGTTCAGTGGGCGATCTTGGTGTATTACCTGATTTCCGCGTACGAATATTGCCAGTTTTAGGCACTATGCCTGCTGTCTTTGGATATGTAGTAGCCAACCATTTGATCCTTCAAATCACAGGTTATCCGTGTGAATACGTTCCAGCCAAAGGTCGAGACAAGATGTATGATGGAATACTCGCCCAACTTCAAGGATTTGAAGAAAAGCTAGCGCGTGCTACCACTGAACATGAAGATGCACAGGGATTGAAGGTTCCATTAACATCTGCCGATGTGGGATACATAGTCGAGGAAGTTTACAAGGGAAAATCGGCATTGAGTGGGGTATCAACAAGATTGTCGTTGACGAGGTGGAGGAAACCTGAAGAAGGAAGTACTCTGGATTCGAGTGTTGAGGGACAGAAAGTAAGCAAGGTTAGGGCGAGAGACTTGGTCTGTATGACAAGGGAGGAGGCAACAAAGCACGAGAAGCTTGTATTCAAGGAAGGAAGGAAAGTAGAGGATGTGTATGATAGTACCACGATAGAGAAAGTAGAGGCAAGGATCAGAGAGGAGATTGGGTATGAAAAGTATAGATGAGAACGAAATAGAATATCAATATACTATACACTAAGCAAATAAATGGTTATAGAAGATGTATAAAAATGTCGTTGAAGATGTCCAATGTTACTATACAATATGAAAAAAAAAAGCAAGAGTTTGGGTAGAAAACTGTAAGGAAATTGTGTGAGGAATTGGGCAACAAAGATACATCTCTCAACGTTGAAAGGGGATGTATATCTATGACGATTAACCGTTTGGAAGATCGACAAAAAGCGGTAAGGGGGGTAAACGAAGTAGGGAAGATGAAGCTATTCCCAATTTTCGAGTTGATCTGAACTTTAATTTGTTATTCATCAATGAATCACTATTTCGCATCATGCGTAAATGGTTTGTATTACCATTGAGCAATACTATGATGTATTTCTCAAAACACTTTTGCTAGTAAAAAGTGTTTACATTTGGAATTTCGAATAAGTTCGAGAAAGAATTCCTTCTACGCCCATCTTCTACCTTTAACTCTTTCAACCTTTTTCGAAATCTTATATCTATATCTATATCCTCTCTGTGAAAGTTTCAATTTCTTTCAAAGTTTGAATATTTCATTCTTCCCCGAGTATTTGTACTGCATGATCGGTTCAGAGATGCGCCGGGGGATCAGAAGTCTAAAATGAGGGAGAAAACTCTAATAAATAGGGTTGGTAAAACTCTAAAAAGTGGTTTCAGCTGAATTGGAAGAAGGTTAGAATTCAGAGGGATAAGCTTATTCGACTCCTTTCTGTATGAGTTAGAAAATGGAAAAAGGGATGAGATGGTACAATTGAACATCTGGAACGCAGATTTCCATACAGGATGGGATGGCTATGGAATTTCTTAGGAGTTCTGATGGTTTGTTCGTTGCTTGCTTTCTCTTGCGAGCATCGACTATACTCCAATTCGTATGGTTGACCATTCAGTATGTATCCCCAGATACTCTACAATGCACAACGCACAGCTATAAATTGAAGATAATGAAGCTATAGCTACGTATCTACATGTTGTTGACAGAATTGTTTCTATGATACGATGGTTCCTACGATGCTATGAGAGCAGGAGCAGCTAGTCCCAATTAGGGTTAGTGCTAAGAGAGATCTGACACACCAGGGCTTGTTTACTTCACCGATTCCTCCTTTTTGGATCGTTGTACAGTCTGAATGCCTTCATTTTGTAGCCCTTATACTTCCCGTCTTTCCTGTGAAAAGTTATAAAGTTATACTTTGATAGAGATATTCCCATACCAACAAAGACCGTGATTGGCTATTCTGAAAATTGTGGGAACAGCTTGAGAGATCAGGCACGGCCCGTAAACCCAATTTTATTCCATGGTATCCAATCATATGAATTTCTTCCACGTTTTTCTCGCGTTCGTTTACTAGCTACTTCAGAAATAGTCAGCGGCATATTATCAACTGCAAGGTCCACTATATTTGGGATGAACTGGATAGAAGAAGCGAAAGTAATCTGCTTTCAGCTCGCTTACGTTTTTAAATACCTTTTTCTTGCTATCTCATCGTTCCATTGTGGTACGTGCAGAGTATCGACCTTTCAGTCTTTTCAGATCTAGATTGCTCACAAGTAATCTAACACACTTATCTAACCCTGCGCGTGGGAAAGCTCTTCAATTGCGTTGATACCAAGGGTAGTCAAGCTCCACGCTACAGTAGTCTGTTTAAGCCCAAATAGATCTAGAGACATGAATCTGTTTTGCTTGAAGATCTTAGATCAGGGGTTCAATCTCTCCATACCCACTTTCTGACTCTTTCTCCAATGAAGCAAAACTTTGGCCATGGTGTATAGATCTGGGAAACCCTACCAGTACCTTATTTCTATCAAGGTCATCTAAAAATGCACAGCCGCAGAGGCCTCTTTCTCTCCATTCATCAGGATAAGAAAATCTACGCGCTGCTGATTAAGGCCTAGCGCCACGGCTCAGAACTCCACAGTTCAAGCTATTGATATTGACAGCAGCATTCAGCCTTCAACACTGTTTCTCTGAGGTTCAAACTTGATGAGAAGCTCTCTATGGGTCCATTATCCCCGGACGTATCCGAATGCAGGAGTTTTTCTGATATGTCCCAACACGGAGGTAGACCTTCGAAAAGTACTTATTTCAGTGGTTTCCCATCTTCCCAAGGATCTCTTGAATCGATATCGTAGACTCTTGAATCCTTCTTTTATTTCTCAGAGTCAAGCACAATAATCTTTATAATGGTTTCCACGCTCCTTCCATTGGTTGTCCTTGCGACTCCAGCCGTTTCTACCATTTTGTCAAATGGCACATTCCCAGCTTCAGCACTTGATGATCAATTGTCATGTACCACCTCATTTGCTTCAATGGCACCATACAGTGTTCTTACATCCTCCAAGACAGAGACTTCAACCCAGATCGATACAAGTATAGTCACCTATACTCCCTCCATCTCCTTGACCCTTCAAGCAAGCACTCTTACTGTGGGAGAATTCGCCACCGCCACCGAAACAACTGTCGTTCCTCAAGTTACCGATACGTTTTACAGTACATCAACTTGTCTCGCTACAGCCTCTATCACCAGTGCTATCGTCGAGACAGAGACCGATACTGCTACAACCACAATTAGTGCAAGTCCAGAAACCGTTTACATCGCAGCTCCATATGGCTTTACACCAATCGCTTCGGCTGTTCCTGGTGTAGCCAAGCGTAGTGAATGTGGACCGGCCCAGCCTTCCCAGGAACCACTCACCGTTACAATCACAGTAACATCTACCCTTGTTTATTCAAACGATGTATACTATACTGTAACAAATCCAGGCGAGTGGAATCATCAACGGCCAAACACCTTGCAGTCTCTCACCAAAACCATCACCGACTCTCAATCTGCTTCAGAAGCTTCGCAGCAAAGTACAGGAGTGCCTGGATTAGCTCCGTCTGAATCTTGGTCTAGATATCATTATCATAACACCACATCTCGCCACATTGCTGCCTCTGGATATGCACCATCTGCCAGTGAACCTATGGACACAGCTACCAGTAGCGACATCAAACCATTAGAAGACCCAAGTGCTTCCATGTACGCACCAACTGGCATCATTCCTTCCAGTAGAGTTAGCTTCACCCACGTTATCAGTGCAGACCCAAGTCCTTCCATGTACGTACCAACTGGTGTCATTCCTTCCAACGGAGCCAGCTTCACCCCCGTAAGCGCAAACTCAACCATCAGCTCTGCATCCGCACCTAGCTTTGGTTATAGTACATCCTACCCAGCAGCGGTCGAATGTACATCCACCTTGAACATTGGGTCTATCACCACAATCACCGAAACTGCAGCAATGGTTACCAATCTCGCAACCCCCTATGTCACAGAGACTTCAACCTCTACCATAACAACAACAACAAGTGTTATGGAAGAGGATTGTTCCACCACCCTCGTCGCTACCGAATATTCAACCATCTCAAGCATTATCTTAGCTACTTCTACAACAACTCTCACAGCCACTCAAACCGTCAGCGAAGTTTCTGGCGCAACCCCCACCAGCTACGGCGCCTGCGCCGCTAACAACTTGATCTCTTCTGTCAACGGAGCACCCATCACACAAGTTCAATTCCTCACGAGTGTCCTCTCTTCGTTGAAGACAAACTCCGCTTATGATTGTTGTGTAGCGTGTCAGACCGCTGCAGGCGGTTGCGCTGGTTCCGTCTATTTGAATAGCGGCGCTTGTTATTTGGCCGCACCAGGAGCAACCTGTGGCATTAACAGTATTATCACGAACAAATTCTACACTTCGTCATCGGCAAGTACTGCCGGTGCCCTCACTGTTTCGAACGGACTGTGTGGACAAATGAGCTACAGTGCATATTGAGGGGAAGAGGTAATCTTAGATATTTAATACAAATTGATTTAGTTTAGAATAAATAAAACATACAAAAAATTAATAAACATCAATGAGTTTTCGGATTTGCAAGATGTGGTGAATATTGTAATGTATGTTTTGTCTATTCATATACACACTGTGTAGTTTTGACGTAAAAGTTTTGTTGTTCAAATAGTCTTATGGAAGACGATGAGATGAGTATCTACCTCGTCCCTAAATTACAACTTCATTGAAATTTTTATCGGAACCTATAAAGCTTTGGTGTCGCCGCCCTCAAAAATAAAAATTAAAGTACGCGAGTTCAGTTTAAGTGAATGCAGTATTTTCATGCTTATTAAGCGATTGGGACCGAAAGAAATTCTGAACACTTTCTTTCATACTACTAAGCATACTTCCACTTCCTTCCAATAACATAAAGTCTTACATACCCTCCTACTCAACTCCCCTCGCTCTCTCTCGTAATTCGTAACATTGAGACGTGTAGGGAATTTCATATTCCTCGTTTTATTAAAAACGTGCTTCAGGAACACCTTACACACCAGCATACTGGTAATCTATTCTAAATTAAAGTGCTTACTGTCACATACGACCATAGACTGAAGAGAATTGGGCATCCCGTCCGCTCTGCCATACACAAGCTTCAGATCGGTGGATTAGTAGTTGGGTGGGTGACCACCAGCGAATCCCCACTGTTGTATGTTTTTTGCTTTTTTGCATATGTTGGCGGAGCGGAGGATGTTGGTGGATGTTTCGCCGGGCAGTACGTGCTTGCGGGAATCTTTGTTGTAAGATATTTCTCTCAAAAGGGTTTTGGGCTGTGGTAAGAAGGGGGAAGTTCAATCTTAGAAGTCGAGGGTCTTTCTAGGTTTTGTTGGTCTCACAAAGACCCGAACGACAGCTAGAATGGGGAAAGTCGTGGCTTTCGAAGGCTCAGTTCCAAGATCTACCTAGTGCGAGAAGCAAATCATAGTATGATTTCATGACTTGGATGTAGGATCTTACATGATACGTAAATAATCAAACGACTCGAAAAGCAACCTACCTGCTCTAGTGGTTTTTGGATGCTCAAGTTATACATATCTAAGTCGCTTATTGTCTGTCTTTGTTGAGTAGAAGCGAGAAGAGATATGAATATGAAAATAATGTTCTGGATTGGAAATAATACGAGTAAGGTACAGAGCGAACCTCTTTCTCTCCACTTTCTATTCCTTTTACCATCAATAAGGCTTTTTGACTTTGTAACTTTGTGACTTTGAGAACTACATATTAGGGGAGGAGAGCTTCCAGCGTTTGCTTTTCGGGGTTGATTCGGTTGGCAGCCCTTACTTACTATACAGTTTCATCGAATTAATATATACTATACTACCCAGGTAGGTAAGGATAGATTAAAAAATCAAAGGTTAAATTAGAATTGTGGAAAATAGTGAAGCAGATGAAGCAGATGAAGCAGAGTGGTTTGTTCAATGGCTAAATAGATTATTCATCAATGCTTGATATTTCTATTGAATTGAATTATTCTATTTTCCATAAGGGTTGTTGCCCGCATCTAAACAGCGATCTAATTGGAGTCTATATACCTGGGTGATTTACTGTACCCCTGCTTAGCGTATCCGAACACAGTGACCGCTGCAGCCTTACAAATGGCTCGAGCGTTTTTCGGAAAATCTGGGGTCAATGCCTTTGATCCCGTTCCTATGTTTGTTATTTAAGGACTGTTCATCCCCAACACATATCATAACTACCATTATCATTAATATACAGAGTCTACCCAACTTACAGCAGGTTCGTACCTCTATATCATAATTATTGCAGTTCCACATTACAGTATACTAACAATGATTACAGCAGGGAAATGCAGCTGATGTACCACCCAATCATTCGGGAGGCCAGACTTCCGCTGCTCCTCAAGATAAGATGCAATATCAAACAGACCGTCTTCTTTTGAATCAATCGAGGGACAATAAGCTCATGGATAATGGCGATTCCTATAATATAAATAGCATCACGGTTAACGAGATGCTGAGCAACTTGGAGTCAAGTCAACAGAAATTGGCAAACGATATCCGGAAGTTAGAAGATTATCGAGATCTGGAATATGCTGGAGGAGTGGTTAGCATAAGAAATCAACTGGCTCAGATGTTTCTCAGCTCCACCCAGAATGCACAACGTAAACAGCAAATAGCTAATCCAATCGATGTACGAGTCAATGTATACGACTAAAACAAATTAGTATATGATGTCAATTTGTTAATAACAATAAAATAAGCTGATCTGTTTTCTGACTACTTTGATATCTGTTTAGATATGGGTCTCGGAGTACTAAAAGATCTCATCAATGATTTACTTGAATGGGATAAGACTGGTAAATATCAAGTTTATAGCCTTTTCAGTGACCATGGAGAAGCTTGGCGTAAGGGTTTTGCTAATACCTGTCCAACGCTTTTCGGAAACTGGTTACCATCAATAAATTCTCTTCGACATTACAAATCAACTATACCCCATAATGTATATCCCGGTCTCAAAAGCGTTATTCAGATTCAAATGGAGCAAGTTGAGAAATCAATTCAAGAGTAGAACAAATCTTATACGACGGATAGGTCAAACTACGGAAAGAAACGAAAGGAATGTCGAAAGATAATTGAAGAGGATTACAGGGACAGGGCATTAATCAGGCGTATAAAGAAGAATTTATTACATGGGGTGAAGTTGGATCAAAAAAAAGTGACCAGGGAATGAAGACCAAGAGGGGAGGACGGGGATTGAAGATGCTTCTCATTGCAAATTTGAAGTAGAGAGATGAGAGACTAGAAACTTAGTCATATGATTGGGCAATTATAGGGCATGGATAATGGGAGCTATTTGCTAGTTTACCTACCTGATGTGAAAAAAAAAACATCTCACAACTCACATCAGGTTAAGAGGGCTTTTATCAATGTCGGACCTTGTGTGGGTGATATTTAGTCTTATACAAACTTGTGAAATGACTTTTGAGAATCCAAGTGGTACACATTGGCTTCAAATTCATGATATACATACAAATCGGTGAATTGTTGCAGAAAGGTAGGCTTCAGTAAATAAGGATGCTTCACTGCTAGATGAGTCCAAATCTTTGATTAAAAAATAAAACGAACCAAGCAATGACGTTTGAGGATGTGAGTACTTGGTGGAGTATCATGAGAACGTCGTTGCAACGGAGAAACTATCAGCATTTTATGGTGGTTTATGAACGAATCTTGAATTGCTATAGTAAATTGAAATGTCTAAAAGTTTCATCAGGTCTATCTGCATGAACAGACTAATTATTCAGGGCATTGAACCCACTTCCAATATTTATCAAGTGTCTTTATATATTGAACGTCCGCAACTAATCTACTTATAGGAATCATTGAACACCCCGATCAAACCCGGAGGTAATGCCAGAGGGCCGCGAGAAATTTGCCAGATTAAACGCCAGACCTAAAATCTTCAATATCATTCCCAATGTCTTACCCAACTTAAATATATAAGCTCTATAAACTGCGCTGAAACAAACACCCTCCTCTTGAATTTCTCTAGTCTTTCCAATGTATTCGTTCAACCTATTCATTCCCATTCAACCATTAATATTCATCGCTAATCGACACTCACTTCCGTGAACTCAGATCTTGCAAGCTAGATCCACTCAGAGGAAGGTGCGACTTTTCTCTCTGTTGTCTCCATCCGACATTCGTCAAGAAGTTCGCAGGATGATATACATTGAACAGAACCAAAACCGGAAGCATCAATGCGGCCTCAAAGACATAGAAATTCCATTCGTGAACCGAGAGATACCCATCGAAGCCGGTTGTGAATTCTACCATTCTGTATATCGAACGAGCCTGAATATCTGTTAGCACTCAAACTCTGACGCACTCGAGATAGCAAGGGAAAGTATGGGGAGAAACATACAAAGATCAGCCCACTAGCAATGTTAATCGCCATTAACAATTTCTTCCACTGTCTATCCGGCCATGAACTTTCAAATTTCTTCGAGACGAAATGGAATCTCAGAGAAATGACCAAGAAAAATCCAAAGCATACTAATTGGATAACCAGACCAACTTTCATGACATTGTAGCCCCGTTGAACAACTTTTGGATCTTTGGAGGTGGCGGAGGTGGCGCCGAATACTTGGATTAAGAAGGCAACGATGTCGCAAGTTACGAAGATGGGTGTCATCCAGCGAGGTGGTACCCAGAGGTTCTTGATGTTTCGGAAAGAGGAGGGAGTGACGTGGAAGATTACCCTGCCCTGGAGCAATGTTAGGTTGGTTCCATGGAAAACAGTATGATGAACTATATGGAGAGACAAGGACGTACCATTGCCATGTAGCAAGACGCAGCCATAAGCGCAGGCGCGAGGAAAATGAGAACAAATTGGACAATGTATGCGTCTGATTCGTTAGCATCTGAATTATTCATGCCGTGCTTCTTTACTCACTTCTGTTTGTTGTGTCATATACCGAGACCACTCGACCTATGTACCCGACAGATTCCACTGTGAGGTATCAGCATCATACTTCTAATCATTTATCTAGGATGTAGTATGACTTACTAGCTGCCGCTAGCACCATGAATAACCAGAACCAACTTTTGAGCCATATGTATTGGAAAAGTGTGTATATAAAACTACCAGTGTATAGTATGGCAAAAGCAATCGCGGCCCCCTTTGATGGGTCGTAGTCGTAATAACTAGCATCTGTGAGATGGACGTGAGTTTTTGAACACCTGTCTTGCTTTGGATAAACCTACCTTTGCTAGACATCTTCACACAGAATCTTTTTAAGTGCTAAAGAAAAAACAAGAAGGGTCGTAATTTTTTTGAATGTAATGATCTAACGAGTTCAGGATATTCAAATCTAACTTCGATATCGAAATTTCACAGTGTAAAAAGAAACCCAATAGTAACGAGCGATTAAGGCAAAGATTAAAAAAATCAGAACAGTAAAAATAACCTATCGTAGATAATCTGATAAATAACGATAGAGAAGGGAACGGAGGATAAGATATTCGTTTTACAGATGCCTATCTTAAATCAAAGTTCGGGTCCATGTAGGAGAACATGTCAATATGCATATATCAACAGCATGCCTCGTGTTAACCGAGCTACCATTGCATTCTGACACAGCCCACTCCCATCCCATGCGTTGACGCGTCCGAACTTCCTGATTACCCTTTTAGGAACAACGTGAGATGAATTTCGTATCTAGCGAGATCCGATAGGTCAATGCACATTCGCGAAAAAGACTTCGGGAAACTATCATTTGTTTCGCGTCCAGTCACCTTCTAGAATTCGATAGGCAGATGCCAGAAAAAGCATCTCGATCAATGGGATTGTGTAAGCAGTGTGAGGACCCGTAAGGCTGACACATGGAATGAGACAATCAGACTCCGCCCCCTTTGGTAATTTTGTTTTCCTCGCTTACACGAGAGATGTGGGCTGAGAAGTCCTTGCCAGACGGACATCGGGAGCGGACCATGAGTGACTCCCAAACCCGCCTTTGTGTATCTCCGTCCCGGTACCGAGAATAACGGTTCATGATTGGTTGTGGAGCAGCACTGCAGAGAATTTTTTTAGGCTATGCTTAAAGGGGTTGATGATTCTGGACCCACAAACCAATGACAGGGTCCGTACGAACCAATAGCTAATCGGGAAGAAAGATTGTGATGTGAGGATATTTTTTTGGTATCTCATTCGCGTCGAGATAGAAGGGGAGATTCCATCAAAGTCTAAGAAAACCAAGTTGTAGGAGTTAATGATGCCTTTCAGGTCAACATAGGAATGTGCCCTAGGTTGACAATGTATATAGGGTGTATGGATTCCTTGCTAGATTTGTTCAACGCACCTCGTAGCAAATAATCAAAGCGAATGGGACAATTTCTTTGAATTGGTAGCACTATGAATCGTCTCGAGATATTGAAATGTTTGGAACGAAAAGCCGTTCAAACAAGCCAGAGCAGAGCCGTTTTACGGAAGTTTCGATATTAATCAAAAATTCGAGATTTGAGGGTGAATAGGTATAGATGTCTTGACGACAGGATCAACAAAATACTTATCCCCACACTAATACTGAGATTACATATACAAGAGCGAATATGAGGTCCAGGTTGAAACGCAGGTCTTGATCCAGCCAATAAAAAGCGTATCCGATTCGTATAAGACATGCAACAAAAGAAACTGGGATGTGAAAGAGTGAATTTGGGTATCCAGGGCGGGCCAATGTATGACCAGTACTGGAATGCGTATCCGAAGTCACGAATCTCGAGTACTGCTTGTATCTTGCTTGAATGGAATCAAAACAAATGATACATGAGTATCTGTCTGAATGGGATATCTGAATTCAATCGTACAGCTCCGATTTAGAAATTCCGTGAATAATGTGTGCAAAATTTGTACATAAGAAGTGCTCGATCTTTTCTTTCTAGACAAAGAATTCATAAACCTACACCCTACTACGAGTATCTTCGCAAAGAACAAATACATACAAGCACCACATCAAAACAACTTGCATCTCCGATACAACATGGCGCTTTGGTATTGCTCCAGTTGCAAAGCCATCTTGCTAACTGGCGACGAAGTACCTATTTGCAACACATGCAATATCCCAATGACTAGTCAGTCAGCCGACAATTACTTCGAGATCTTGGAAGGAGAAGAATTATGGCTGAACCAAGGGCGTGCATTTGTGGGAGATAGGAATGAAAGAAGGCTCTTCGATGTTCAATTCTAGAAGCTCCCTGGTAATGCCTAGGTATTTAGTGCAATACAATACCCCATTCTGATATTAAGGGTCAATGATACCTCATTCCATTATTATGTTTGACTTCATTTCATCATAGTGAATAGTAGTTACGAGACGGTTGACAGTGCGCTTCAAAAGTGGTAATCTGCGTCCGCCAACTTCTAACAAATGAATCAAAGATATTCATCATCTCCGCTTCATTATAAATCATTAAGACGATGACTATCTATCGCAGATCTTATTTCGGAGACATTTGCTAATCTACAACAACAAGCCATGCCCGCTAATAAAGCAATCGAGATTGTGAACATTTGCCGCAAATATGATCCACAGCTTAGCTAGCCTCTACGCGTATGCAGCCCAACCTATAGATATGAGTCAGCGTTCGTCATAAATAGATGAATAGATAACATCGGCATATAAGATGGAGATATGGGAGGGATTGGGGAGGGGGGGGGGTAGAACATACCTGAGTACAAAACTGCCAAATTCTTCTCATCCCTCGCTTGATTGATCAAATCATTAACTGTGGCCTCTACACTTAACGTCTTTGACAATTTCTTGTTGACCACGGTCAGAGCTTTATCAGCTTCACTCGGTTGGTTGACAGTTAACCTTTCACCGCCTCTCTCATGTCCCATACCAGGTTCTGGCGCAACACTTTGCGCCACCTGCAATTTTGCAAGTCGCACGGGTGATATAGACCAACTGTACAATGGATCATATCGCAAAACGTCAAGAATAGTCATGATACTATAAACTTCCTTACGCAAAGCGGAAAGAGTGAATTCGCAGCAGCGTCTGAATACACCTTCGGTTTCTGTTATGCCCATTCCGTCGACAATATCGCGGGTGAGACGGAAAGGTACCAATTCTGGGACCGGAAGAACCCGACCCATTTCAAAAGCCACACCAAGATCAATATGTACTACTTCACCGCTCTCAAAATCAAGAAGAATGTTGTGACCATGCCTGTCGCCCAATCCGAGGACGTGACCTAGAATCGATATAGCAGCTGTGCTACGAGTGTATGCTAGACGCTTGGTGAACCATTCGTCGGGATCGTTGAAATGCTCTGTAAAGAAGTAATGCATAACGGGACGAAAACGATCGATGACCCATCTATATTTCTTGATTCGTACTTCCGTTGGTTGACCTTGGACTTCCCCAATCTCTTTACGACATGCATTCCCTTTCAAATCTTTTGGATTGAAGCGCTCATGTGCTGGCATGAGATATTCATGCAAGGGAACTGTGTTTGGCACAAATTCAATGACTCCAGCTATGGACGTCAATGGTAGAACTTTGTAGGTTCTGATGCTGAGGTTTCTTTGTCGAGTAGCTCTGTTCGTTTTCAAGAGTTCACTGACTTGAGCAAATACCTGTTCCATGATGGCATCTTGGCGCAGATCATCATTGCCACCTTTTACCTAATATACGTTAGCTATAATAGTAAAACCTAATGTTTTGGATACTTACCAATTGTTTAAATCGCGCTCCGTTATCCGCCACGGCAGTGATGATTTTCGGTGCACTTACCCCTGATGCTATACTCATCTGGGACTCGAATTTGACCATTTTTGGCACCTTAGAATAATCTTTATCTGCGCGAAGATCTATTTGTATTGTCGGCGGGGGTATTGGGTACTTCTTTAGAATGTTGTTGAGTCTCAAACCCGCGGGGGAATCTTTAATTGAGAGCTTTTTGCCTGTTTTGTACTTCTGATCATCTTTCTCGCCCGCAAGCTGAGTATATGGCTGGATAACATAATTCAACGCATTCCAAATTGCCCGCGAGCTCTCAGCTCTTTGTAGTTGCTCTGAAACCTTGAGGGTTGCCTTATTTCTCGAGATAGCTACTTCATCCTTGGTATTTGGCCGACTGTGGGACCCAGCATATATTTGGTACATGCCGTGGTATGGATGATCCATACAGATCCGTAGAACTAGACCGAAGAGATGCTGCTGAAATTTTGAGTCATTTTCAAGTAACCGAGAACTGAGCTGGTTCATGAGCGTAGCAAATTTTCGACTAGGCACCTTGGGTAAAACTTTGGCTACAGCTTCATTGGTAAAGTTCTCTGCAGAATTTTCAAGCCATAGAGCGGTGAAACGTAGCGCATTACTATCATGATTATCCGAAGCAGCTAATGAGAGAAGGTAATTCTCCAGGCATTGGCGTAGAAATTCGTCCCTGTTGGAGCAATGGCGGCGATATTCTCGCTCGTCTAGTCCGAGCCACGTCTTGGCTTTCTTGAGATAACTTTGATGTCTTTGTCTTTCTGTTGAAGATGTTGCATTCTTCAAAAGTTCCTCGTAGTCAGCGACATCATTAGATCTCATCTCGCTTAACTTCTTCATTCGCTCCAAATCTTCCAAACTATCAGGGTCCTGCAGTTGTTGATCGCAAAATACGGCAAATTGATGGAAAACTTTCGCAGCTTCATAGCCATCGGAACCTTTCAAGTCCTTGAGGGCAGGTTTTAGGTATCTCTCAATGATTCGATCAGGCTTCTCAAGTCTGGCTTCAGAAACTTGGTGACCAATCTTTGATAAGAGATCGGGACGACCAACAGATATAGTCTGCGCTTTCAGAAAGGAAGCATTGTCCAAAGCTCGTAATATACCTATTGAGGACGTCATTTCGCCTTGCTCCCACAAGGCATTTGCGGTCTCCATATGAACGGCAGCTTCAATGTTTAAACCAAGAGACTGACACGGTTTGATAAGATCAATCAAAGAAGTTGTCAGAGATAAAGATTCTTGTAAGGCGCCGTGGTCACGATTTAGTGATGAAGCCATGAGGGCAACATGTACCTCGACTAGTCTTGTATCTTTGGAGGAGAGATTGAGTATGTCTCGAAGACGCGGTTGCTGGCTTAAGGTGCTTAAAGTTGTCCCCCGACAAGAGATCAACTGACTAATGTCATCGAACCTGTCTTCGTATTAGCTATGATTACGGTAGAGTGTATAGGAAATTTTACCTCCCCGTCTTCATCCATTCGGATCGATTCCGAAACCTTGACAGAATGTGTTCAAACTCTTCGGATCCCCGAGAGCTAAGTACTTCATCCATTTCGGAAAGAGCCGCTAGGGTTCTAAGAGATTCGTGAAGAGCACTGGCGCTAAGGTCATCTCGCACGAGTCGTTCCATTGTCCCCTCAAGTCCTTCGTTAATTACTTTCATGAAAGATCCACGGGTTGTAGCAACATGAGCTGATTGGAAAGCTTTATAGAGAGTGACTGAGTGGTTATCGCTGGTAGGAACAGGGATATCCCATTGTTCTAGTTTACGTGCGGTGCGAAACATAGAATCTAAAGATGTGCCAGCTATTCCAGAACCCTGCTGTGCTTGTAACAGAGAGTGAGAAAGACCACTAAGGCTAAGCATGTCTAATGCACCAACAAGAGATTGCGCATCCTTGGCAGCTCTGGGGTCTCGCTGCTTAACGTGGCTGTCATATTGTGCACCTCTGAAAGCAAGACTTTTGGGCCCATCTTTCTCATATTCCAGTCTCGCTAATATGGTGCTTAAACTAGCTGTTTGCTGCACCCCGTAATATAGATCTGGATCATCAATGTTTTCGAAAATTGCGAGAAGCAAGTCTGTGGGTATCTCGGGGGTCTCACCGCCATCTTTATTCGTTGAAGACCGTCTAGACGATTTTACTGGGATCAAATGGTGTTCTTCAACAAATATCAAAGCCGTTTTGAACATTCCACAATGTATGGCGGCTGTGGCGACTTTGAGGTAGTCAAGATCCAGCCAATGCAAACGATCCGCTGAAGACTTCTCATGAGGCAGAGGTTGCGTCCGTAAGTACAAAATCGAATTAATTATAGCCTTTAGATTGTTCCTTTCGACGGATTGGCCTCTGGAGAACCACACCGCAAATGCATTAGATATTTGATTACGGTTATTCTTTTGTGCAGGCGAATCTGTAGAGAGCACGAGGTGAAGAATGAACGGAAATGCTTGATTAGCAAAGTCTGGCACATTTCGAAGAACTGGTGCTAAGGCGCACAGTATGGGATCTTTAGGGACAGCTTTAGCCAATGCAATAGAGAGATCTCTTAACCAATTAGGAGAAAGAATGCAATCTGCCTCGAGATTTTTCCTCAAGCTATCCTTATTATCTGTTGGTCCTGCCACCTCACATGGAGGAACAGGATAAGGATTCCACGCTGACGCTTCAAATACTGGGGGTGATAGAATTTGACGGCCAATCTCCAGAATCTGCGCGTCTGAAGTTGTAACAATGATACGCAAAGCCGTTTCGACAATTCCTACCGTCGAGCCATTATCCCCCAAGATCGACGATTGTAAGAGACTCAATATACATGCTCTTGAGGAAGAACTGACTCTGGATGATGTTTTTAGTTCCTTAATTTTTGACAATGTGGATTCTTGCAAGAGCTCCTGGTGTACATGCCCAGTAGCCGCAAAGGCTCTTCCGAGAACCCGCGCAGCCCAAGACATATATTGTTTGTTGGAAGAATTTCCTCTGCAGGACTTCCATACAACAGCAGCCATTCCTTCGGCAGCTGCATCCTCACCGTATATATCGCTCCGGTATGAGGCAGGGCATTCAAACTCCGAGCATAGCATACTGAGCGCAAGCTTCCGAGCGGGCAGAGTCAGTAACGCGCCTCCGTTCTTTTCGTCCTCTAGTAGCCGGTCCAGTAGTGTACTCTCTATTGTTCCCCTTTCAGCATTTCCAATTGCTCGAACCTCCTGGGCAGAGGCAACAAGAGCTTTGAAACTCGAACTCAGAGACCCCGCTAGAACAGGAGATTCATAACGTGAGGCATACTTCCCAACCCAGAGGTGAAATTTCTGGGCTTTGGACATTGTTGCTTGGTGTTGACTTTCCTGGGTTGTGCTAGACCTACGCTCCTGCATGAATACGCGCAGAGATCCGAGTATTGAAAGGGTAATGCTTGCAACAAAAGATGGGGAAAGTTTTAGATAATCAGAGCCATGACTCAGCAGATATTGTAGAATGCCAATAGCATCATCAGCACATTCAGGATCCTTGAGAAAGGGCCTTACGGATCTTAGAAGCATTTCCAGAGGATAACCTCGAGTTACAGCGCTTCCGGCAAGCGAGATAAGAACACGAAGCTTTCGTAACACAGAGCAAGCATGCAGCGAACCAAGTGCAGGGTGAATAGTCTTCAGTAGTCTTCTAGCAATGAAAGCTACTAAGCTTGGGGTGTATAGATCACCTGCCTCATGCACTGTTCTCTTACACAAGAGTTTGATTTCGTGAAAGAGGTACTTTGCCTTGAATGCAGGTTGCTGATTGGGAGGCAAGATCATCTCAGACGAGCTCAGAGATTTGATTTCTCCCATAATTTTTGCGGCATATCCTAGGCTCTCCTCTTTGGCAAACGACTTTTCCACATGTTGCTCTTGATCTATAACATTAAACAGGGTTGCAAGTATATCCGTAAAATGCAGATTGACGCATTCCAGGTACAATTCGTCACCGAGGCAGGATTTCAGCCGATGCTCACCTTTATGTTTCTTGCCACCCGAAGGTGATATGCTTATCTCGTTAGCAATACAGTATGCCGTGACTTTGGCAAAACATTTCTCAAGCAGTTTGACAACAGGAATCTTCAACAATTCAGCGAGGTGTTCGAGTTGAGCATCATCACCCCGCATCATTATCAAAGCGGAAACCTCTTCCTGAACGGATGCCAGTAAGTCGCCGAGAGCGTCGAAGCCAAAGATTTGGTATGGTATGTCCTCTATCGCCTCTGCCTCGAGCCAAGTATAGAGTATTTGAGGCGCAAACAATGCGAAGAGCTCCTGCGGACAGTCTACTGTGAGCGCAAAAGCAACATCGGACAAGCACCGAGTAGCATGTCGAATAGTACCTGGAATTCTACCCGGAATTTCGAAAATATGATAAATGCATCTTCGCAGAAGAGTTGACCAACGGGAAGCTAGTTTTGCCAGGACGTAAAGTCGAAACGCTATCCCTTCCCACAATTCTGGCGCAGAAGGTAAAAGTGCAAGCACATCTACAAAGATTTTGTCATGCTCCTTCAGCGTAAAGAGCTCGAAAATTGTCGAAATCTGATCGCCAATGAAGAATTTAGTAGCAGTATTGCCTTTCTCGAGGAGCTCCAATAGATTTGTACGCGGTGAGGGCTGAGAAGGGGCATTCCCATAATTCTGGTTTGCCCGCAACAGTTGTAATAGCAAATTAACAATGCCTAGCTGCACGATTGTGGAATCGGCGTTTCGTCGAATTCGCAGGATAAACCAATCATACAACTGCTTAGCGTGATTCACAAAAGAATTCTGCTCTTCCATCGACCAGAAAGGTAAAAGTCCTATCATTACGTCCAAGCATGCGCACATGGCAACTTCGCTGGCAAGAAAATCATCTGATGAAAGAATTTGTCCCACACGCTCGAATATGCGATATGCATCCGTCTCATTCAGAATGAGATCTGACTCAAGCATACTGCGCATAAGTGGACGACACGAGAGTAGTTCTTCATCCTTCATAGAGACCAGCTCTTCAATAAAAGAATTTGGTACCGCACAGCTTTCAGAGGACTCGTACAGGTCGGCGGCCAACATCAGTCGGCCTATTGTATCTATATAAAAGGACGAAGAACTCATTTCCAGCGCCATAGCTCGCCTAGGAATGTTTAGTTTTTGTGCTTCCGTTGACGAGTGACTTCTCTGGCTAGAAACTTCATCATCGATATCCATGGGATCATCATCACGCTCTAAAATTGACTCCTCGGCTAAACGGCGACTCTTGATGTATCCCGAGATAAGGGATAGAAACTGCAGCAGTTGAGAATTGTGTTCTGCGACATGCTTGAATTGAGTAGTGTCGCAAGGAGGTAGATGGGGTTGGATTGCTTGCAAGATAGTATGGACAAACTCTTTGGTTGCGGAAAAGTCTTTAGCATCTGATCGTCTAAGGTATTCCAATAACTCATCGCTCAAGCCCCGGAGGTCATCCCTTAAAAGAGATAATTGCTCTAAATTAGCGTTGGCAAAATGTGGTAGTAAATGAAGACTCGTGATACATGTATTTAGTGAGCCTCGATACATATCAGTTGAAACCTGCGATCGTTCCGTATTGAAGACTCTCCAGGATAGTAGAAGCTCGCTACACTTTGATGACAAGAACTCAAGTATCATTCTCTGGGTAGAACTAAAGTGAGCACTGTCCAATCGAAAGATAACATCATCATCAGCCGTAGACTTCGGACAGTGTTGGCAGGTGAAGTCTACTTCGACTGATTCATCGGCATCAAGTAGTAAGAGATAACGAAGAACCTTTTCTTTATTTAAGTGTTGTTGCCATGCTTGAAACAGCGCACCTCCGATTTGGCGACTATTTGACTCATCAGGCAATCCCGGTAGGCCAAGGCTCGTTCTTATCAATGCAATGATGCTAAAAGGGTGTAAATGTTTCCCGTATTGAACAATAAATAATCTATCAGCTTGATATGTGTCAGCTCTGATCCGATGTAACACAGCAGACTTCGTACCTGGATTCCATCTTCCGAAAAGCCAACGGATCACATGCTGGCAGGCAGCCAGGCTCGCGCCAGGAGCTTCATTAACCTTAACCTGCAACAAGTGATTGATCAGGAAAATCGATGAGTCACAGAGGACTGGCGGGCCACTGATATCAGCCGTGGTGATGATGGCGTTCACACTGTCTTCAATATCATGATAATCTAAGAGGCATTTGGCATGAATTGTATGGAGTGCTAGAGCAGCAGCACGACAGGTCCCCGCAAAAGTGAGCGCTTTAGCTCCATTATACCAGTGCTGTTTCCAGTCTATTGATGATCCGTCTGCAGCACATGCCTGATAAGTACAACTGTGATTTTGTGGTCAGTTGAAATAACTCCAAGGATAACATGGTACTGACTGACCTTGCTATACCAAGTAATGCCCACGATGCAATGTTACCACGCTTGTCCAAAGCAGAATTGCTCAGTTGATCCAGTAATTCTCCTAGAGAAGAAGCTGAGAGTTTGCAGTTTTGTAGTACGAATGGGATCAATTGCAAACCGGCCAATAGTACTTTCTGATCGCTGGACTTTAAAGGTTCAAGTAGTCTTTCAGACGATTGCGAGATACGTTGACGCTTTCGTGGATAGTTATCTAAGTCACCTCCTGATTTGGGTTTCACTTGAAGCACGTGCTCTTTGACTCTCACCAATCGTTCTAGGACGGCCAGAGCGAGTAGGTTTGCCCAATTACGCTCAGCCGTACGATTATTGTGAGATTTCAGTCGGAAGCAATGTAGACGAAAAGGATCGCAGCCTATCTTCCGGGTATTCAAATTTAGAATCTCCACATCGTCCAATTGAAGCTGATCATTGTCTGTTCGCCGAAAGTAATCTGCTCTTAAGGCGTCAAGTAGATCATTCAAATCACTATGCAGCTCGACATCCTCATCGCTTATGATATTGCTCTCCAGGTGTAGATGTGTGTAGTACAAACTAATCAGCATTTCATCTCGAACAGAGTTAACCATTTCGTCTTTGTGCAGTGCTTTAACTTGCCAAAACCGACATATCAAAGGAAGCAACTCTCGGCCAATTGAAAACGAAAATGAGGTGTGATCTTCACCGAAACATGATAAAACGATATTAAGGACTGAAAATGCTACTTGATGTAGCTTGCTTACACTCGAAATATGGTACTGCAGCAAGCGCATGATTACAGCGGCCACTCTCTCAACAATTGTAAATGAAGGATTATTGGTAGAATAGAGAAGCGAGAAGAGGATTTGGCAAAGTTCTTCTACGTTGTGCTGAGATACCGAACTTTGTACCCTTGGTATACTTCCAAGCCCAGAGGAAGATCTAGGCAGTGATGGGTGACCAGCCCCATTGCCAGACTGTGATAGGTCTTCACCAGCGTCTCCGAGGTACAATTCGATACCCACAATGGAAAGGTCGATGAGTTCGACCCGAAGATTCTTGAGGCTTGCTAAAATTGCTGGTTGCCCGAGCAAACAGCCCAGTGCTTTGAGATAGTCACTTAATATCGGCTGACAGTAATCTCTAGTTGATATCGGGATCGTATCAAGAATATGCTCAATCAGAGCGTTGACAGTCGTCTTCTCGAACCTGTGTACCCCAGCAGTCACGATGTAATTTATGGCCTTAGCACATAGTTCCAGCCTAGTGACCGATACTTTCACAGTTGGCCTTTTCGACTTGCCTAAATATTTTCGTTTCTCCTCAATGACAATTTCGAATAAAATCTCGAACAATTTGTCGTATGTCTTGTTTTGAAGTTGTCCATTGATGTGCTGGCCGCTGATGTCTAAGTTAGCCCAAAGCCTTCGATACCAAGTAAATGTCTTACTTACATATTAGCAGCCTTATGGGGATAAAAAATGTCATTGAGATCTATATCCCGCTGTCAACCTCTGTGAATCTGCCAAATAAGCTCATGGCTTGGATCAAATGGATTTACCTTTCAAAGACTTCGTGAAATCTCCCTTCCTACTCTCCAGGGTCCCTGGGTTTTATTTAACTTTTGTGTCGACGACTGCCAATCGAGAATCATAATTACCCATAACCTGCCTTAAAGTTATATCTGCAGACATGTTGAGATGAATTGCGACGACACAGGTTTCGACGCATTCCTAGCTTGGAGCTCTCGCAACTGTTGTGGATATGGAATATGACGAGCTCGGTGATGTGTAGTAATCTAAGATGAGCTCCAAATACATTAAGGGTTTAGTAAAGATCAATTCAAAAGTAGTGTTTATAAATTGAGCAGCATCACAATTTTGAGACTCGCAGAAAGTAGACAACACCATGGAACTAGGACATCTTGAAATTTCATCAGTAATTTATTGAACGTCTTTATTTTTTTATTTTTTTTGGTGGTTGGCCTTGGTTACAGTGCAAGTTCTGACCTTTCGCGACGCGATTTTTCGTGTGCAGGGACCTATCGTACAGCTTCAAAATTAACATCGCTTGTTTGTTCCATCAAATAATTTTCTATGTGACAACAGATAGCCCAAATTACTGCTTACAGCATCTGCGACAACGAAACAATTACAACTTGTCATGAAAAGGATACAAATCTAACCCTTTGAACTTTCATGAGTTCTATGCCAGATCGATTCCCTGTGTTCCACGCCTTGGCGCAACCTTCTCAACCATGGCGGAGCAACCCAGTAGTAGCTTGAATGAAATCCAGGCCTTGCATTCAGACCTTCTTGCACTATCAAACTCCCGTCTTTCGAACCTTGACCGACTAGCTATTGAACTCGAAGCTCATATTACAGCTTTTCGTAACCTCCTGAACCAGAAGAATCGAAATGAGCAAAGTCGGCAGAGTATCACAAAGGGTATGTAATTTTCTACAGCCATGCGCAACCCTATAAAAACCCCAAAACTAATACAATCATAATAGAAATCTTCGAGCGAGATGGGCAGATATACAAGATTAACGAGGACTTCCAACAGGGAACCTTTCAACTAGCAGATGAATTGAACCTTGATGAAATTGAAGCTTCCCAAATCTTTTTCGACGCACGAGACGATGCCGATGCGACAGGACGTTCAGTTTTGTCATGCTCTATAATACGCTTTCATCAGCGACGAAAGCTTTTGTTGGACTGCTTGCGTCTTACTCTTCAACAAATTGCTGAGTTGGAAGGCAATTCGGAACAGGAGCAGGAACTGAAGACATTTCTAGAACATATCATCAAAGAAACTATCACTCCAACTACGGCCACTACTACAAACACAACGAGAAATGCGCCAACGTTCATATCAAAATGTATTTCTGCCATGGGTGATATCAGACAGTGGCTTCAAAAGATTTCGGACAAAGTTAGTAGTGCGTCTGTATTAGGGCAGCCATCGCAGCCAGAGCTTTTGGAAATCATGGAGTATCAGCGACACAGTCTTATCAAACAACATGAGTTACTAGGCGTCATTATACTCTATCTGGTGAAAGCCGATCGTTCTAGCGTGGAAGATTTTGAGCTACTACTTGGAGTTTTGAAGAAAGCGGATAAGTATGATAATGTTTTGGGTAAGCATTGCTTAATTTTGAAATCAGGACTAGAGCTACTACAAGATGTCTTCTGTTTTACAGTAGTACAATTTCAACTAACACATTCTTACAGTGCACCATTTTCCAGCTCTAGCTGCTTATATTTGGCGCTTTGGTTCTCCAGAAGGTGGATCAACGATACAAGATGCAAGAGCGCTGGACAAGAAGATTAACGTTAAAACCGACCAGAATGCATGGGTATTGCCTTATGCTCATGCCGCATTTCGAGCATGGTGGCTGGCGGAATATAGTGGGTGGTATGTTGAACATCATGATGGATTACCACATGGCATTAATCTTGAAGAAGGTTAGTTAGATGTATGAATTCCTCATTTTCCAAATAATCTAATGAAAACATCAGAAGCCAAACAGCGATCTCAACAGTTCAACGAAGCTTTGAAAGATGGAGCTTTCGATTTCTTGTTGTCTCTTTCTGCTGATGTCAAAGCCGCAAGCTGGACAGAACCGTCACGTCAAGGATTTCGGTTGTGGCTACAGAGAAAAGCTCCTCAGCTTTTGTCCGATTCGGTCTCTTTCTCTGATTTTTTTGAAGATCAATTTATGGAGCAACTACAGACATTTATCGAAAGTTTCATAACGAACTTGCCAGACGTGTTAAGGAAGTTGAGGATAGATGAGGATGAGCAACGTCAACTCAGTCATGAGCATGAGCACGATCTAGATCTAGAGCGATTTATAATTGTCATCTCTTATGCCTTTGATGGACGCCCAAAAGCTGCTTTGGACGGATTTTGGGATGTTCCAGATGGTGTGTTAATCGGTTTCATGTACTGGGCTTCGCGGCGTGCTTCAACCCCGCTGGTCTCGGCATTCTGTGAAATGCTCCAGGCAATTTCGGGTGATGATGAGTGTGCAACTGCTGCGCACGAATTTCTGCTTGACGAAAGCCCTCAAGCTGGAAAAATGAAACGGGCTCATGCACTCACGTGGAATCAGATATTCAAAGAACTAACGTTTTTCACCAATAAACTTCGAGATCAACCAGTACCACAAGCTCAGGCTTATCGCCATGGGAAGCCAAATCACGACCAAGCAGAATTAGAGCCAGAATCTTATATTATGCTAGAGTCTTATCTCCGCCTCATATCTCAACTCTGTTCGCATAGTGCAGTCGCCAGGCAATTTTTGATGCAGCATCCATCGTATCAGCTTACAGACCTGCTTTTCCAACTTGCATCCAGTTCGATACCATCGCGATTCAGAGCTGGTGCTTTCACAGCACTGCGTTCTTTGCTAAGTAACAAAACGAAAGCGGCAGCCGAGTACTTGTGGACAGCTCTTGACATCTGGGTCTCCGGGGATACGTGCATAATCCCAGCACCCAAAGAAATACAGCTCCTCCGTCCTACGCACCTGATGCAATTCTCCGCAAGTTTGGCACAGGGTTTGAAGAACCAGATGCATTCATCCTACTTCTCCATGCTCTTGTACTACCTTACGAAGAAGATAGTGCCCTACGAGATGGCTTACCATTCCCCGAACTTCTCGGAACTTCCAATCGCATGCCTGGAATAGATCCATATGTCGATTTCGCCGTTGGCCAAGTGTTTGGATCTAAAATGAGTGAGATAATGGATCCCATACAGCTGAGACTATTACAATTGACTTGTCTTACTTTCATTACAACTTGCTTGGAGACTTTCAATGAAGATCTCGTGATATTTGCAAATCGTTCTAACATCTCAGTTGACACTGCTATAAAAACTTCCGATCTACAAACTTACGTTTTATTACATCCATTTTCTAGGGTGATGGAGTGGATGTACAATTCCAGCGTAATGGATGCGATATTTGCTGCAATTCACCAAGACGTTAACGAAGTTGCCAGCGCGGCTCCTGATTCACCATCAATCATGTGTCTCCTCCAAGGGATACGTGCAGTGACCTTGATTATGGATCTGCAACCAACTTACCGAGATATCGTTCGACCTCTAGTTAAGCATCAGGCTAGCCATCGTCGCGCCCCAGTTCCAAACACCGCGTACGCATCTTTTGAAGACGGAGTACTCAATCACTTAAGTATCATTCCTGATTTGGGCTTATACTGTAGCTCCGGCAATCCCGAATTGGTGATAGCATCTCTGAAACTGCTCGAAAAACTTTCTGCCTCGCCACGGCTCGCCCCTGCTCCCAAAACAGGTAGCAGAAGGATCGACCGTAATAAAGCAATTGCTGCTCTAGAGGAAAATAATGCGGCGGAGGCTATTTCACGCACACTCCTGCAAGAGACTGAAGCAAGTATTGATGAGACCCAAGGCCAAACGTCCGATTCATATATCATCAAAGTCCAAATACTGGATTTCCTTATCGCCTGTCTCGAGGCGTGTCCAGGTCAGACTACAATAGCTCATTTACTTCTCGGTTTCCAGTGCAGAGATGATCATTTAGAAGTCGATATGGATTCCCTTTTCAGCCGTCGGATTTCGCTCTTCCATTCGATATTAAGGTTGGCTAATGATATATCTCTCGAGGGTGAGGGAAACATCTCTTCATGGCTTGTCTCCTTAAGATATAAATGCCTGCGACTACTTAAACAACTATGGTATTCGCCCATTTCATCAAGCCTTGTTATGATAGAGATGCGGGCCAATAATTCATTTTTCGAAATGTTTATCAGACAAACTTTGATTACGCCAGGGTTGTTGTGGGATGGCCGAGATCTCGCAGACCCTGAATTTTTGGACGCGACTTCCGCCTCCTGCCTCTCAAACTTTTTAAATCAACGCGCCAACGTCTTGCAATACACATCTGCTGAGTTACGCCAGATAGCACTCAGCCATCTGCCTTCTCTGAAGGAACGAATGTTTAACACACTACTTGGGTCAACAATTGTGGAAGAAGGCCAACAGGTTGATAATTGTTCCGTTTTTGATCTTTTCGACTTCATGGATATACCTTTGAATCAATCGATCGCCCTTCGCTCGTTATCCTGGTTCAAAGATATCGATGTCAGCGTCTGTGAGGAGGTCCATACCGATTGCCCTCCATTATTCAACATGATGAAACTTGAAGAGCTTCTCACTTTACGAAGATCTGAGCTCGCCGCTTTGAAGAGACTCGAAAATCCTCAAGATGTAGTTGTATTCAATAACGAAGCCCAAATGATGTTCAACTACTATTTTATCGATAACAAATTGAAGGAACTGAGAGCAGCTCGGCACAAGGCGCTGCAATCTTGGGTCCAATTATTACTCGTGATGGTAGAGACCATGTCTTATGACGAACCGACCAAGATAGTTTTTGTATTGCAGACTTTGCAAATAATTCTACCCCGGCTAGAAAACTGCCTAGAAAATGCAGCTGATGCGTTAGAGCTAGCTAAACTCACCAAGGCACTCTTGTTCAGCTTGAATCTAGATTCCAACACTTTCAAGGAAGGTGACTTGGGACAAAATCTAAGCGATAAGCTCTTCCACGTGTTCGAATTGTCGCTTAGAGCTATAAATGCCGTCGGTGCTAACGGTTCCTTAAAAGAAATTTTCTATAGTATCAGCTATCGCTATCTTACAGGAACGTCAGAAACTGAAGTTCCAGCTCTTTCCGAAATAAATAGCCTCAACGGCGACACGTATCGTGCCGGTCGAAGCAATCAAGCTCCTGCTCCTGCTCTTGTTCCTGGGCTACGCAAACCGCATAGTACGCAGACAGTCAAACTGGCTGGTGATCGATTAATAGATATAATCTGTGATGATGCTTTGGTCGGAGAACAGAACTGCAGAATTGCAGCATTGCTACTTCTTGGGGCCTTGGTGAAAATGGCTAAACAAGAAAACTCCAATTATATCATTGAATCTCTTAACCGTCTTAACTTTATAAGTATCCTGGTAAACTCCATTGGCGACTTGGCAACGATTCTACAGGAGACATCGCGCGAAGGTGAGATTGTATTCCTAGTTAAAGCTGGACATATATTAACTTGATGTAGACTCAACTATACTTCTTTCCGATTTTTATGCTAGATTGGCACTTCTTGTTCATATATCACAAACTCGCTCGGGAGCTACTGCCGTCCTGAATTCGGGCCTGTTTCATGCCATATTAGCCTCTGGGCTATTTGCCCTAGATACCGACCTCGAGATTGGTAAGTTCCTCCTTCGAGTAGACCCTATGCACATGCTAAGTGACTTTAGATTTCGAAGACTCGGAGGCGGTCAGTAGGCATTATAGCTTACTTGCGGCAATCATGAGGGTCATATGTTGTGCTCTCGTAAGTCGCGGCTTGCAAAATGAACAAAGTTTGGACCAAGGGAGGAGATTCCTCGCCGACAATAGAGCTGCCATATTGGCAGTACTCAAGAAGTCTGCCGGACTTGGGACTGGGAATGACTCCGCAGAGCAGAGCATCGTTGATATATCAGACTCATTCATGCTACTCATGACTATAACTCGCTTTGTCGACGTAAGTTATAAACCCCCTCCACAAGATCTTTTCTTTCGCCCTCTAATAGTATTATCAGTTTGAAGAGACAATCATCCAAAAACGACCCACTCTGAGATCTTTCACTTGAGAAATTGAGCTTGGATTGGATATTTTGTGTATCAAGGAGATGTGGGCGATGATAGAGGAACTGCTCATGATAATGCCTAATCAGAAAGGAAAGACGACTTGGTGCTCATGTATAGAGTTTAGAATGCCAAATATCATGAATTGATCAAATCCTATAATCATCAAATTCCTCGTGTCTATTAATCCGAAATCTAATATGACCACAACATATCGTTCGTGCCATCTTTCTCTTCTAGCAGTAGGATTAGTACAATCTAGATGTCTTCGAGTCTTTTGAAAGACCAGATCAGGAAGACACTCGACCTTAAGATTGGGATTAGTAGCTGATTTGACATCCACATTGAACTACCTACTAACATGACTTGGTGCGTAGTTAAAGCAAAGCATTCGAACCTTTCGACTGTCTTTACTATTAAGCCTTCAGCATCTACATACTAGATATATGCATACTGGGTACTTTCCATTGTTTTATACTAATAAGATGTACATTCTAATGGTTTGCATTGCTCTAAACCAAGGATCACCATTATTTACAAGTCTTGTTATATTATCCATCAATTGAGAGACCTCGGAACATATAAGAACTCTTATCGCCGTTATCGCCTATCAGTAGCAATCTGCCATACATACCTACCCATTCATAGTTCGCGGCTTCCTTCCGAGCATATCCATCATACCGTGCAACATTCCTATTTCTATTTCTCCTCATGTAACATCCACGGGAATATCAAGGTACAAAGGGGAAAAAGAAAAGGTATATCCGTCATCAATGTACCATCAGCATTAATGTTGTGATCTGACACGTAGAAAGAGCTGCAGTAGGAGTTACAGCATTTAATCTCCAATCCAGGGAGCTCCCCGAGCTTTGCGGCCACTAAGATTGACCCCTCACCTCACAAGAGAACGGAAGGCGAAATTATATCACTTGTGTTTACTTCAGTTCGATGTGGCCTTCACACGATCGTGCAGTTGATCTCTCCTCGACATCCTCCAATTCGTCCGCCAAAAGAAAACATCGCGATTCTCAAGGTCCAGATTCAAACTCCGCGAACACGCCCCCCGGTACATCTAAGGTTGATTATCATTCTTCGAAAAAGCTAAGGTCAATTTCATCATCAAAAAGTCCAGGTTTACAGTCCAACATGAACAAGACAATGGGATTTTCGCGTCCAGGGGTGGTAGATTTGACGAGGCCATCGAATTTTCAACCGCATACTGGAGCGAAGAGATTGGTGATTAAGAACCTCAGGATAAGTTCTCCGAATGATGGAGAGCAGTATTTCAAGAAGACCTGGAACGAGTTAGATAATGCTTTGACATCAGTATTTAGCAACAAGCAGCCAGTAACACCATTGGAAGTTCTGTAAGCTTTATTGACTCTTTTATATTGCACCCCAATTGTCAACTCCATTTGCTTCTTCTATTTTCTCCTCTAGTACCACTGCTTCCATTCCTCGCCCTTTCTGACAGTCTTGCTCAATGTTCAATCACGTTGCATCTCATCTTTCCCAATAGGCAATCACTGACCCTTCAATATTTCAGATGTCGTGGAGTCGAATCGATTTGTCGGCGTGGAAAAGATAAGGCGGATCAACTATACAGACATCTAGAACTGCATTGTCACACACACATCAAGGATGGACTCTTACCAGCTATTTTAAGCAAAGGAGATTCCAGCTCGGTAGAAACTCTGCGAGCTGTTGAGACTGTGTGGGGGGTATGGAGAACCCAATTGGTAGGCCTGCAAATAGACTTATGCCAATCTAGAGAAAAATACTGACAACGAGGTCAGATTCTATTGAGATCCATATTCAGCTATCTTGACAGATCATATCTGCTGAACTCGAAGACACTTCCGCAACTCGAAGACATGGGTATACGACAATTCCGCCAAATTGTGTTTTTAAAAGGAAAGGAGATCAGCAAAACAGGAGCACAAGCTATACTGGGGATATGTGAACTGGTAGAGTATGATAGGAAGTCTTTAGATTTGTTTGATTCAGCCCTTCTCCGAGCTTCCATCGCCACAATTCACATACTTGGTATATACACAAGCCTTTTCGAGGAACGATTTCAAGAGCTTTCTTCAGCCTACCTCGAGAATTTTGCATCAGAACGGAGCTCTTCGCCACTAAGAGAATATATCTCTTCTTGCGACGACCTGTTACGACGAGAAAGTCTCCGTTGCGATACATACAACTTTGACAGCACTACCAAAAAAACATTGCTTGACACCGCTCACGATATTTTGGTCCGCAAACGCGCCGACGTCCTCCTAGAAACAGTAGCTGTATCTAAGCTCTTGGACGACAAAGAAATGACACCACTGAAATCTTTGTACCAGCTATTGAGACTTTCGGATATCCAGGCACAGCTCAAAAAGCCTTTCGCCCATTATATAAAATCTGTTGGATCATCTATTGCAATGGATAAAGAAAGGGGCGATGAGATGGTTGTTCGCCTGCTCGAACTGAAACGGTCATTGGATACTGTCATCCGTGATGCCTTCAACAAGGATGGGACGTTTACTTTCTGTCTTCGGGATGCATTTGGACAATTCATAAATGACCGCCAAGTTGCCAAGGCATGGGGTACAGATACCTCTAAAGTTGGGGAAATGATTGCGAAATACATGGATGGTTTACTGCGTGGGGGACTTAAGGCTGTACCTCGTTCTCTGGTATCTGATGTCACAGATCGCAATGAGGCTGAGAAGAATGGACAAGCTAGTACCGGGGATGAGGATGCAGAATTGGACCGTCAACTAGAACAAGGTCTTGAGCTGTTCCGTTTCATTGAAGGGAAAGACGTATTTGAAGCTTTTTACAAGAAAGATCTGGCACGTCGCTTGTTGATGGCACGCAGTGCAAGTCAAGATGCTGAGAGGAATATGCTTGCTAAGTTAAGAGGTGAATGTGGTAACAGCTTCACGCATAATCTCGAACAGATGTTTAAAGATCAAGATATCTCTCGGGATGAAATGATCTCATATAAGCAGTCTCTAAGCAATACAAGCAAGACAACACTGGATCTACAAGTTAGTGTCCTCTCGTCTGCTGCTTGGCCAACTTATCCGGATATCGAAGTCAATCTTCCTGCCGAAGTTGCGAGACATATTGAAAAGTACGACCGGCATTATAAGCACAAACACAGTGGGCGCCGACTGACTTGGAAGCATTCTCTAGCACATAGCGTTGTCAAAGCAACGTTCAAAAAAAGTGTTAAGGAACTCCTTGTTAGTGGTTTCCAAGCTATAGTACTTGTTCTTTTCAACGATCTTGAAGATGGCGGTCACCTTTCCTACAAGGATATCTCTAAAGCAACAGGTCTCGTTGACGTTGAACTAAAACGAACCCTCCAGTCGCTTGCATGCGCCAAAATTCGGCCCTTGGCTAAATATCCTAAAGGCAGAGATATCAACGATACTGACACTTTTACCATCAATCTCAATTTCTCAGATCCAAAATATAGAATCAAGATTAACCAAATTCAATTGAAAGAGACCAAGGAGGAAAACAAAGAAACGCATGAGAGAGTTATTCAAGATAGAAGTTTTGAAACCCAGGCTGCGATTGTTAGAATCATGAAGTCTAGAAAGACGATGACGCATCAAAATTTGGTGGCGGAGGTTATTAATCAAACTAAAGGGAGAGGTGCTGTAGAGCCGGCGGAGATCAAGAAGCACATTGAGAGTAAGTTTTCCTGTTTACTACCGAACATTTTACCAGAGGATAGAAGGGCTAACAGTTTTTGAAGAATTAATTGAAAAGGATTATATCGAGCGAGAAGACGGCGGTCTTTATACATACCTGGCATAAAAAGCATGGTAATGTATCGCATTTGGGAGTTATGGCTGGCATTGTAAGGAATCAGGATTTACGTCCATAGGTATGGTTCGATATGCATCTACGAATATAAATATTTTAGCAAAGATTCAATATTATTGAGGGGGAAAAAACACTCATAAATTTGTTGTTTGTTTCGATGCGAGAGACTTTATAGTAGTTCCTTGTGAAGAAGATCTGGATGTGCAATTCTTCGTCGGATTAGAATCTAGTCGTTTGACACTCGTTGACTCATGCACGATTGTATGTTAAAGCGGTAAGTTTTTATCTGGGGTCTGATATGAATTGGATGAGAGTATTGTTACTATTATAGCGTTATTGTAAAGCTTAAAGAAAGGAAAAGCTTTGGAAAAGACTGGGTTTGGAAATGGATTATGAGGAGAGATGAGATGGATGATATGTTGTGATGTGATATGATGAGAAATGCAAGGAGAAAAGAATTCGTGTCATTGAACTTTGAAGGGTGTGTTTTTCTTTTTGGGTGATACGGGAAGAGATATTGTAAGGTGCTCGGTTGGATTGCATTGTATTACTTGGTGTATTGTTCCATTTAACGGAAATTTATTGATCGAAGAGCTGGTGTTGGGTATTTGGAGATCAGACGATCTGATTACGTAGAGAGAGAGAGAGAGATTCACATCAGACGCTATTAATATACATGAGACGTGTGCCCGAATTTCATTTACGACATAGAGGAGATTTGCAACTTTTAAGGATGTTCTTATCGTGAGATTGAAGACAAGCTGGTTATTTGTGGATAATATATTATTATTACTATTACTATTATTTGTTATGATTGTGAGACTAATGCATCTTCTAATGTGCGTAATGCGAATATATAGGAAGAGAAGATTGGTGATTGTGATATTACATTATGTCGTTTCTCTCCGTATCTTACTTCGTGCGGTGTTGTTCAAATCGGATGGTTTCCAAACTTTGCTTTGTAGTTCGCTAGAAACCCACTGTATACTACCTGTACTTCGATACCATACAACAGACCTTGCTGCGATGAAAATATAGATATCAGATTGATTAAGCAGAGAAGGAAGTCCAATCCACAAGTATCGGAATACTCAAGCACTGATCACGAATACAAGACCGCAGAGCACAGCTCTTAAATCCTCAATACAGCCGCCTATGATTAAGCCATCCAGCGTAATAGGAGGAGATGAGTACCTGCCAATCGAACGGGCTCATACGAATGAGAGTCATCCCATCACCCATCCATCCCATGGTGATGTTGTAAGCGTCGGACTTCGAGAACCCGAATCGGGTGATAAGGTTTTGGTAGATCCAGGTGCGCGAATTGGCGGTGTTCCAATTGCATCTAGGGTACATGTGCGCGGTTATAGGGGTGTCGGGAGCTGGTTGTCGGCGGATGTTGGGCGTGGGGTCGTGGTATAGGCTGGGGTAGCAGTTCAATTGGAAATTCACGGGAGGGGAGGCGGAGGCGGGGGTGCAGGGAATAAGATCCATATTTCTGGCAACGTTCCAGCGGATGGCTAGCTCTAATTCGACTCGTGAAAAGCTGAGGCTGGTGAATATTGATGGGTCTGTGGAATTGGGTGGGCATTGGAGCGGAGAAAGAGAGAGTCGCATGGAACGTCTTGTGACTCCGAGGTTACCTGGTGCGGAGGGCAGGGAGGTTGAAGTAGAACCCGAAGCCGAAGCTGTGTTGGGCCAGTGTTGTGGAGATTTGGGGTAGGACTGCGAGGGACGCGATACAAGTGTCCAATCTGAGGCGTAAGAGATGTAAGAAGACCCTGCGGGGCTAGCACGCTCATTGGAGGGATTGTTGTCCTCGCCACCACGCGTTTCGGCTGTTGATCTCCAGGCGGAATCATTACTATCTACAGAATCTAATTCGGTGATAGATACAACACTACCACGCATTCCGACTGTTGAGTCCATTGTGGAATCACTACCTTCTGTAGGATATCCTTCTGCCCCTAACTCTGACCTGGCACCACCATTGTGCTGAATATCTTCCCTCTTGCGTTGTGCTTGCTCGATGGTTGCTCTTGCGACATAATACGGGGACATCGATTGTGAAGAATTTGAATCATGTTCGTCTGTCTCGTAGTTCCGCTCAAATCCCATGTTACGAGGCGGTGAAACTTGTGTAGGAGCAGATAGTGGAGTTCGGAGTTGAGCTTGTCGATGTCTTGTATATCCGTCAGGATCTCCAAGCCTACCGTTGGTATTGTTGATTGCTCTTGTCTGATTTTGATCATGATGTGTATGCTCACCTTGCATACTGACTTGTGAGCCTTGGGTGGCAGGATATTCGCGAGCAGAGGCTTCGTCTTTACTCTGGGTATGTCCTTCAGCGCCATGTTGTATAATGTAATCAGTAATCTTGAGACGATGTTTTGCTTCCCTTAAACGGTGGGCGGTATCTATGAGATCTGATTCCGAAGCCCTCAACCTCTCGCACAATATGCTGTATTGTTCCTGATAGAAGTCGTAGTCCGTTAAGTCTCGCTGTGTCTCTGTGGTGGTCGCGCGTTCTGGGCTTCTTCCTCTAGGGGTTACAATGGGAACGGATAATGAGGTTGGATCTCTTCTTATAGTACGTTCAACATCACGCCTGTATGCCTCTAAAAAAGGATTCACACTTGGGCTCTTCGCACGACGCGAATGATTGCCAAGTAGGCGCACTCTCGGGGAGGCGCTTCTTACGCGAGGTGGATGATGCTCACTCATTGCTGCAAATACGTCTCGCAGACTTTTGGAAATAGATGAGATCTGGGAACGGGGAATGAGGAATAGCTGTGTTGATTGAAATAGATGAGATTTGAGTATTGGAGACGGAGAGTCGCTCAAGATGGATAATAGCTATGGACTGGAGATGAGAGAGTATGTTGAATATAATGTTTTAGGAAATGGAGATGAAGGGTTTGGGTTGAATGGGAAGAGGAAAATTTTCACAATTCGGTTTGTGTGAAAATTCAATACTAGTAATTTAGACGACTGGAAAAGTTCAATACTGGTAATTTATAGCGACTGGTCTTAAAGTTAAAGCTAATTACGGTGTACGGTTTTGCTTATGTCCAACTTTTAAATACTGTCTGCATTGTGAAATTTTCGGTCATAGGAAACAAACTTGGAATTTGACAAATTAAGCCTCTGGAGTGCTTCGTCTGTTACTTCATTTTTTTCATCAGCGATCTTAATGTCGCCACACGGTAGGATATTGTAGATGGATCATAAAAAATCTTGAATAAATCTACTATGATCTCGAGACTTCTCCCCTGGGGGATAACAGGCTCTCTGGCACTCTCCAGGTCTCCGTTCATTCGATGGGCACCCGTAGAAGACTACCACTGGCGCTAATTTAGGCAAAGACGATGAAAACAGGATGAAAAGATGCTGATTGTTCTAGAGACGCACACAGTTGGCTATATGAACCGTCTTCCGTAGTATATAGATCCATGGTTGTGCTTTTCACTTAGAGCATAACGATGAAAACTTTCAAAGAGAGCAATGGTGGTAACATCATAACCACAACCAACTTTATCAATTCCATTATCAATCTCACGTTTGAAGATCAGACAAACAGCGATGAAAGATCACTGTCCACTGAGACAGTGATTGGTATGGATGGTACCATCCAATTTACGTACGAAGTTGTACGCAAAGGAACGTTTGTGACCTGGTGCTCAGGTGTATGAGGACCCTTCTAATCCAAAGGATACGACCCAAGCAGCACTGATAATCCCATGTGGCTTATGAAAAAACAATACGAGGTAATTCCGTCGATAAAGAATAAATGGGGAGATTGATTCGACGTAAAACAACAGCATTTGAGGGATGGAGGGATCACAAAATGAAAATTACATGTTTTCTTGTTTGTTGATTGATACTGTGCCGTGTACTGTCCTGGCCCTGCAAAGGGTCGTGGACTTTGGCGAAGATAACTTTCGGCCTTAAAGACCATCGCAAAGGTCAGGCCATATTTGTTGGCAGTTCAAAGGGTCGAAAGGCTTTTGGAAAGGCTCTACTCTCTCTTTCTTATAGACCGAGAAGATGCTAATAATAGTAGTACAGAGACTTGTCCTACCGATTGCAAGGATAGAAGATTATTTGTCAAATACTAATAATAGTCAAATGTATGAATTGTGGTTACAATACCTAGCTAGGTAGGTAGCTATAGGAAGGTAAATGGATTGATATACTTTTGGAAATTTCGGACCCGAAATTGGTACGCATCTGTGCACACCACACGAACAAAGTAAAGGCACAGCTCATTTCAATTGCTTGGGAACGGGACGGCATTACACATCATCAAAATGTCAAATGAAATGCACCGGTAAGGGTATCTGTGTGCTTTACATTTACATGAATCGTCAAAGAGCATAAACATGGGGGGTATGCAAAGTATGATCTATCGCGTTCGGCGGAGGGGATATATTAAACTTCTCCTTCCAAGGACTAGGTACTCTCCATTCCGGATAGATACTACCTAGATACTCTGTATCCAGTCAACTGGTAAACTTAAGCTATGATCCATTGTGATCTTTACTATTGAGTAGCAGGCTAACAGATATTTGGATTCCGGAGAGGGGGATATATTGTACGGTGTATGAATTACCGTTTGTTCTACTTCTCCCTGGAAACCCTCCGTTTGGATCACTATACAGAATACGGACTCGTCGAGTCAAGAGTCGAGACGGACTTGAGACGGAGTATAGCCAGCCAGCCGTGCCAGCCAACTGAACTTGAAGCCAAGCAATTCAAGATCCACTATGATGTCCACCCTGAATCTGTGATCTCTCCTCGTGAATCTCGTCGAATCCCTTGGTTGGCTCTTGCACCCTTAAGAATTACGACATAGGTGAAGATGTTTTAGAATCTCACATAATCATTGATCAACATCTCCTATTTCTTCCCAGCCGATTCGTGAATAGCGTTCTGGTGTTTCCAAAATCACAGCCACAAATCAAATCAACGATGTCGAATAGCTAACCACTACTACAAGACATACTCAAAATAAACATGTTTGATGGTCATGAAAGCGCCCTGATGGAAGAAAGAGAATCGGTTGGTGGTTACTCTATTACACCAAAATTGGATCTCCACAAGGGTCATGCACATATGGCTGGTGCGACACACTAAAAGGGATAACCGCCGTTCTACCGCCGTTCGAAAGTAAGAATTTTAACGATGATTCGAAACTGTCAGCATTCAAAAGGTCAAAGAGCAACCAAAGAATTCATCTAGTCACATCTACACCCGCGCTTGGTGAAATATAGCGTCAGGGCACTTCTTCCATCTCCAGTGATTCGAGTGGCGATCGCTTCAACTTGGACAAACATTCCGACGTTGTTCAGTCACAGCGTTGCTTCCCCCCACAGCATGGCCAGACGAGCAATCCGAACACAGTATGGAATTTGTGGAACAAACATGCTTCGCCATGTGAGACCACACTCCAATGATTGTGTCTATATCTATACATTCATCGTGAAGTGTGGGTGACCATTGACTGGTCTTGGAAGACACCCCTACTTATGCTGGGTACTTCCATCAACCTTCAGCATTTTTCAAGGATTGAATGGCACGGTATCTAGTCGATGCTGTGTATTCTTTTTAAAAAGGTTGTAATAGCTCTGCTGATCTTCTCTCAATCTCAAATTTTCTTTTGGAAAATTTCTTTTTCTCTACTCGTCACTCTTTCCTTGAACCATTCCTTCATGGGAAATATCCACTCTTTTATATCAAATATCTCTTCTCTCTTTTACATTCCTGGTGAATAATTACCAAACGGCCATAATCTCTACATCGGTCGGCCTCAAGTTGTGGCTGCAACCTCTGTCAGTAAAGGTCGAGGGGAGCGATATTTGGGGGAACTACCTTTCACTCATCGTGACGAGCTTCAGTTGTCATCTCATACATTCTTTACTCACAGAACATTCAACACCACCTCAAAAGTCTCTACCATTCCAAATTCTTGGAACCACACATTTGATCCACTTTCATCGTCTGGGTTATCCATGATCTATCTAACAACCCGTCCGTCCATCTGAAACGCAAAACATCAAAAACTGACTGTCAGGTACGAGCACGGTCCGCGCTTCGTTGATTCCGATTCCTCTACCAAGGCCCCAGATCGACCTTTCAGACCCCTTCTAAGTTTTCGTGCAATTCTGTTGGACTTTTACTACTTGCATATCCGATAAAAGCTGTGCTCATCGCGATTGCTTTCTCATCTTGTACTTTTTCTTCCTCTTACATTCATTAGTTGTCGACCTGTGGGGCTTTAAAAGGGAATCCGGATTTCTTCAGCCTTTGTATATCACCAGACTCCCCCCATATTGCATGTTAAACTTCGAGACATCTAATGGGCATTGTTTGACTCCATAATTACCAAAACTATTTAATATTATTCATAATGGGGTGGTTTGGAAACCAAGATTTGTCTGCCAAGTTTGGGTAAGTCTCTTGACAATGAACATTCATACATACATGTGTCTGATAGATCTTCTATAGCATTGTCCTTGGTGGTGCAATCTTCATCGTATTATCCGCTGGCCTGATAAAAGTATGGCTCAACAAAAGAAAGTAAGATTAAAGCTTCCAACAGTTGGATTTACTTATGCTAAATGTATTCCCAGGCTCGCAAGAAATATCAAAATCGAGGAACTTGAGAAGGCAAACAGCACGCAGGAGAGACTCAACGTAGAGGAGCTTGGTGAAGGCGATCTCTTTGGTGTTCGAGCAATCGAGAGAGGTTTCTTCGGAGGTGTTTCACAATCTCGAAGCAACTCTCCCGCCCAATCAATGTTCGGTCCACCCTCAACATCCGCGGTCGACTTGACAGAAACTTCCAGAGCGCTTGAGGCTATCAGAGGTCCGTCAGCTGCTAGCAGCAGTGAAATTAGTTTATCGAGACGTTCCAGCGAGGTCTCTGCTCCCAAATCGATCAAACATAAGCCATCACCTCTCCGCTTACAGCCTTCTGAAGCGGAAATCAGACGCTCTGCTCTGCCTAATGTTGGAGGCTCATACATACCACCATCACCAATCAAGGAGCTCCAGCCACAACCGAACTCACTTGAAGTTCAATTCGGTAGACCCTCAGTTTCTGACTCTCCTCCCAGCAGAACTCGATCTGAAGAGGAGGTATCTCAACTACATTACCAAGGAGAGGTTCCACGCAACTTCATGTTTTTAGCAGGTCAGCACTCAAGCGTTAGATCTCAATCAGGATCTATATATGGCAGTGCCGAACCATCGCCTCAGAACCAGGCCAAGATCCCCAAGATTCCCACAGCACCAGCTCCAACCCACGTCTTTGGATTCCCTCCCCGATTCTCCGGACGATCACGATCTACATCACCCGAAGAGGAATCTTCCAGTAGCGACCGCTCCTCATCCTCCTCTCCCGAATTACCCGTCCCCGCCATTCCCTCTCCCTACAAACCCTCTTACCAACCCACCACCCTCCTCGAACAAGAACCACAACAACCCAACACCAAATCTCGCTCCTACCAACCCACCCAGCCCTCCGAACTCGAGTCCCAATCCGACTTCTACACCCACTACCGCGAGCACAGCGTCGCCAACTCCATCCTCACCACCCGAACATCCATCCTCGACGACCCCTCTCTCTCGCGTTCCGGCTCCGTGAACCCCGTCCGCGGCCGTCCCGCTTATAAATCTAATTCCCGCACCCCCTCCACCGCCTACACCCATGGTCAAATATCCCGCACCCACGATTCTCTCCGCATGTCTCGCAAAGTCTCCCTCCAAACACAGGAACGTCGGATTTCGCGCGACAGAGATCAGATGCACTATGATCCGACGCTATCTTCCGGGTCCGCGGTGAGAAACCGCAGCGGGAGTGTGCAGGGACGCGCGGTGGATTTTGATCGTCCGAGAGAAAGCCCGTTTAGTAATGCTAATGCGATTACGGGGTCGGAACACGGGAGACAGGAGAGTTACTCGAGTGTGAGTACGGCGAGTAGCAGGGAGAGTTCGAGGGAGGGGAGAGGGAGGAGTGGGAGTGTGGGGGAGGAGGAGTGGAGGGGGAGAGGGAGGGGGAGAAGTACTGTTGAGGAGACGATCGTGGAGGTTTTGACGCCGATGACGAGTCGGGGACAGAGATTTGATGCTAGTGATTTGGTTTAGGGGGAGGATATTCATTTCATTTGTTTCTGCGGTTGGTAGAGTGTGAGGAGGGGAAGATTGTATTTTATTGTATATCTATTGTATATCCATTGTATATCTTAATGGTGTATTAGTATTGGTATTGGTTGGACACATACATATAGGGATGGAATATGAATGAATAGGCCATGGTAGGATAAGAAGGATATGGTTAGCAAAAGTTCGAGACGGCCCCATTGGGAATCCGACATTTTTTTAGTTAGATATTCCATCCCGTAACACGGTATTGCAAATTAAATTACAAATTTTGCTACTTGAATAAATTACTTGGACTAATACTCAAATCCTTGTGTCTAGTGTGAAATTCGACTAGATGTCAATAGGTTCAGAAGTCCAGAGTTTGGAATTTGAACTATCAAACATGACATCGGAAGTCCAAGAAGTCAATCAGTCTCAAGCTCCTTATATACCTAGGTAGCAATCTATACATCGCTGCCTAGTAACCTCATCCGGAACCAAGCAAAGCATAAAGTGAGCATTCAATACTAGCAGAGATCCTGATCTCCATCATCAAAGAGGAGATATTAAGCGATGAAGGGTATGCAGTGATCTTTCAGGAATCACGTTTGCAGTAGGTATACGGGATGGGGTGGAGGAGGATTCTGAGGATTTGGATAAGTGAGGGCTTTGGATAAGCGATGGAAACGGATGGGGATGAATGAATATTGGATGATGGTGAGGAAGTGGAAAGAGGACAGAGGGAATGGAGAAGAGAATAAAGAGGTAGTGATGGTGATGAATCATCGTTGTAATTGTGGTTGAGTCTGGCAATAAAGATGTACGCAACTTTCACATGGTGATTGTGGGTTGAGTTCGGCAACACGATGTCTATATCTTCACATTGTGAGTGTTAATCTGTATGTCTATTGTTGAATAGCTGTTATGGTGAGTGTTCTTGCGGTGAAGAAATCTAGAGAGTAAATCTTGGTGGATGATTGCAGATGATTGAAGTTGTGAGGGCGGTGAATCTGGTAGTATATATTTTCACTCCTAGAGCTGAAGATCTGTGGTTTTCTTCCCGTTGTGAGGCTGTTGGGCATGATGAGGCTAGAGAGTTATCTATATTTGAACTTCGGACAAGTATCGGTCAGTATCGGACGGTCTTGATAGTTGTGTTACTGATGAGAGTGAATGGAGTTGAGATGAATCGAGATGAGTCAGGTTGGATGGCTTGAAAATATTTTCGCGACGTGCTGCAAAGTGATTGTGTGGGTGTAGAATACGAGATGAAGGGCTTGGGTTGGGTTAAGGGGAGAGAATGACGGAATAGAGTTTACGGGGAGAATGTATTGGCATCTTATGCGATTTCAAACTTCTAGAAGGAAATACGATATGGGCTATTTTAAGGGTCGAGAGTCTCTTTGGGAGACTTAAGAATAATCGACAACTAGATTGTAATATCGGGATATGGATTTAAAGATTCAATAAAGTTGCCGGGGAAAAAGCAATACGAGAAACACAATGGGGTGGTTGGAAGACTTGGGGGTTATGCTGCCTATCTGTGGGTCATGTGGTTTTGTTAGCGTTGGGGAAATGGGTGGATGGTATGAGAATATTGTAAATTGATATGATGCATCTTGACTTCTGGAAACCCCGATAATGGCAGGTAGGAAACGTTCAAAATGTGCATTGGAATAGATTGTAAACCGATACGAGGTTTAAAAATGGATCATGTAGCAAGTACTTCTTCTACTCCGTATACGATTCATGATGTGGGCTGGTTGCATGGCTGAGCCAAGTATGAAGAAGGGTCGCAGTTCTCCGGCCTTATGACTATCTATCTAGGGTTTCGTAGATAAGCTTGAAATACTATCAATCTTCACCGGCATCGTCAATCAGAGCCTCATGTAACCAAATGCAAACTTGACAGCAACTACTGGTAAAACAATTGATTAGCTGTCAACTTTCAGCCCGTCGTTCTGTGGAACTTTTTGAAGTTTTTTGATTCATTACCAGCGGGTTAAGTAAATAGTCATTGAAACATTATGCAATACGATACAGGCATCCAACAAATCGGTGTGCCACAGTGCGAGAAATGACTGGACATCGTAATTGCGGATTGCTTCTTCAAACCCAAAGGCTTCAAGCGAGCAGGCCCAAAAATGGTTCAGGTGAGACTGGTGAGTAGCTTAAACAGTTATCACTAGATAGTTATCACCCTTATCACCCTTGCTTTGACTTCTTAGAACAACTTTGCTCATCCTTTTAAAAGTTTAGCACACCTTTTAGCAAGAAATTTGGATGCAAATTGCCGATCCCTTTCGGCCACTACCACTTAACTTGGCCGAGCTTGATTGTTAATAAGAGTTCATGGAATCAGGGCACTGATCATCACCCACACTAATTAAGCATTAAAAATTATGCTTATGACACTTATCCAGAAATTTCAATGCTCGGTGTTGACGGGAAATGGAAATTTGAATACGGATGGTAGGGTTTATAAGTGGTTCTTCGAACATTTGACCCCTGCGGTAAGAATGATAACGATTAATTTTGAATCTACATGCGCCAATCACATTGTGATTTGTAAGCAAGATACCGCATGTGTTCTCCCGCAAACTTGCAAGCTTTCTCAGGAATTCTCTGATACGACGGACTTCAAATGAAATTAATTCCATCTACTCCGTAAAAGCTTCTTAAGGAGCTTGGCAATCAACACATCCCCGAGGGAAAAAACTCTCGTACTGAGAGGACTGAGAGGACTGAGAAGAGAACTGTCAACATTCGGCTGATATTGTATAGGGATAGCTTTGTTTACGTGCCGTATAGTATTCTACTCATTTGGTACATCTTTGTACCTGTTCGCCCAATACGGTAATCTTCTTCCCCCTGAATCGGTTACTTGGCATGTCAGAAATCAATACGAGAGAAGCACGCCTCTTCTCATAGGAACGGTTAATGAGATGATCAGATTTGCCATTTGCTCCTAGGTAATTTTGAGAACAGAAGAAAAAAGCAAGCTACACACATACAAACGAGAAAAAGATGATGGCTTGGTTACACGGTACCTGCCAAGAGTACTGGCATTACAAGGATATATGTTAGAAACTCATGAATATTGCCCGAGTGGGCGAAGTTCAAAATCTCGTGTTCCAATCCCGAAGTACTTTTAATAGTTTCCCGCCTTAATCCTACCTTATCCTAGGTGAGTATCTGATTTTCGTACATTTTACTACATTTACTTCACTCAGTCCTCTTTCATTCTTAATCCCACCATCTGCCTCAGCTTCTTCAAAAAACAGACACATTCGTTTTTCTGTTACATCTTAATTGTTCATACACATCTTGTCCTTCGTTCGTGACTATCTAATCAACACTCGCTCAACTACTATTACCAATTTTTAATTCTCCCAAAACAAAACACAACACCTTTACAATGGCTCGTTACGCTCTCGCTTTCACTGCGCTCTTCGCAATTGCTCAAGCAATCAACATCACCTCCCCATCTACTAACGGAGAATGGGATCTCAGCGATGGAGCTCAAACTATCACCTGGACTTCAGTCACTACTGATCCCCAAACCGTCGATATCTACCTCGTCCACATGGCATCCAACCCACCTCTCAGCGATGTTCTCTTCACCAATGTCGATATCACCAAGGGATCTGAGAGTGTTTCCGGTCTCCAATTGCCAACCGGTGGCAACTACCAAATCAACTTCGTTAGCCCAGGAAAGGCAGAGCAAATCTTGGCTCAATCCCAACAATTCACCGTCAATGGAGTAGCCTCCAGTGCAAGCAGCACACTTGCAGGTTACACTGGTGCGTCCTCTACTTCTTCTTCCGCTTCCTCTACCTCCTCTTCCTCATCTTCCTCAAGTGCAACCTCAAGCACTTCGAGTGCTTCTACCTCTGGAACCAGCTCTCTAACCTCGAGCTCAGGATCCGCTTCCGCTTCTTCTACCACCTCTACCGGTACCTCTACCTTCACCTCTACCGGTTCATCCACCACTGTTACCGGTACCACCACCTCCACTGGAACTGGCTTGGTTACCTCTGCCTCCGCTGCTAGCCAAACCTCTTCCGGCGCATCCTCTTCCTCCAGCTCCAGCTCCAGTGCATCTGCATCTGGTAACGGAGCTGCCGCCACTGGTATCCCAATGGTCGGACTTTTGGCTGGTGCCGTTGCTCTTTTCTTGTAAGAGATTTGAGTATACTAGGGGATGGGTGGAGAAGAAGGATGATTATAGAATCGATGGTGTAATGATGAATATCGCAGGATAGGGATCGGAGGATTACTTTTGGAATTTGTATTTTGGTTTTGACTTGTTTGGTCACATCTACTTGGAGACTATGTTTTCAAAAGTAAATGCGTCGTTGAGATTTTATTCTGTACGATAAGACGTATATGAACGAGAACAGCTATAGACTACTTTCACGATTATTCGTGTAATGGATTGGGAGAAAATTAATATTTGGTTTACCATATTTTTCTATCTTTCCATGTTCATCAGTGACAACAAACAAGCAAATGGAACCAATCCCCTCTGAAAGTTAAAACAACTCAAATCATCGTGAAAAATATTAATTGTATCATCCAATTTCCCATCGCATGAACACCCCCCTTCACATCTTCCACTTCTCACTCCTTAACCCCCCAAACCACTCACACACTCCACTCACCAAAGATGCAAACAAACACATTAACATTCCCAGCATCTCCACAATCACGAGGAGAAAAAGAACCTTAAAGAGTAGCACCACCTTAAATCAAGGTTTCTTCTAAAATTTTCATCCCGGTGTGCAAGCAGGTACCCGTAAAAGTTCCCCTGTAGAACCGACTAGCACGCCATGTGGAGATTTGTTCGGCGAGCTATCGTGCTCCACGGCCCACTGATATGGTTTATGGTTAAATTACTCGTTGGGTAATTGGTGATCGGAGGAGAGATCTGTGCGAGTTTTTGTGAGGGGAGTGGTGTGTTGTGTTATTGTTATTGTTATTGTTATTGTGTTGTACTTGAGTTTGTAGGATGTATAAAGCAGAGTTTATTTTCTGGATTAGATGAGTGGGGTGGTAGGTTTATGATGTATGATGTACATATGTACTAGGGATCTGTTTGTTGTTTTGGCGGAAGATTGATGAGACGGATTAACAATTATTTAGTATTTGTTAGAACCTTACCATTACCAATTTCACGGGAAGGCACCTGATGGAAATGCTAATGGAGTGCAGCATTACACTATTCGAGGCGTGTTTTTGCTAGATTCAATACATAAGTAGCTAGTCGGTTCTTGTGATAAGCATAATAGTACACCTCATAATACAATAAACGCTTCCCCTTTCTCAAATTCAAAAATTATATACACCTAGGTAGCCAGTCGTGACATTTACATCCCGCCAAATCATACTTTTCATGCACTGGATATGCAGAGGTACAGAACACAGCATATTCACGCTCCGGCTAGGGCTTGTAGGCTGTATCCAAACTCGGTGCTTGGGACGGACCTGAGTTGTGACACTGAGGAGATTTGTGCGACGGGGGTGAGATTAATGCAGGAGATCGTATTTAGGGCTGAGAATATTCCGCTTTTATGAATGGAAGATTTGGTGCTGAGTATAAATATACGATGCTGACTTTTCTTTAATCTTTGATTCAGAAGGCTCTGATAAGAGTTCCCCATTTATGAGCGTGCTTGCTTTTGGCTTTGTATTCTTGTTTAGTTCTTAAAAAGAGTATGCTCTCCCCGCCGCAATAGTGTAGTTCACAGGTTCAGTGGCCTGAAATACATAAATACACAATTGGGCGAACCATCTTTCATGATCAAGCTGATACAATGGCTTCCTTTCACCAGCAAATCTCCTTTTGAGCAAGTGTTCATGATATACTGTCGTACCCAAATAGAAGGACATTTTATATGCCTCAATCTCTATACCCTGGGTACTCTGTCTCAAATGTCAGCATGCAACCCAAGAACGACGAACATAGTAATGATCGATGGGACATACGTTTCAGAATTACCTGAATCATCGAGCTGTTGTCTTGGAGGATCAATCCTTTTTCCTCCTCTACGTTTTGATTTGTGTCAGATATTCTCGTGTCGTATTGTACGTGTTGGAGAGGAGGCTGGGATGGATAGGGATTTAATGTCAATTTCTTTCGTCAGACGAGTAAGACTTTGTGCTGTTGAGTGTGAGATTGTCTCTGTTTGACGTAGGTTCTTGTCAAATTCAAGCATACATGAACGCTTTTGCCTTTCCTTTAAATCCATCGTGGTAATGCATACCACATTCAATTAGTGCAAGGCTGGGTTCAAGAAATGGTCATTGTTGGAATCTTTCCTCGGCTGCCAATGTTGTCTATCATCAAATTCCAAGTGCAACAATGATAATAGCTCATGCTTGAGATCTGACGCCAGCGACGAGTGGATGATTAGAACAGCATGACTTCATGTTTAGCGTTCAATGATTATCTCAAAAGGGTACATCTTATCATATTCCTCATTGGCTTTGAAAGCAACTATTTTTTTCCTGATTCGTGTTAGGAAATGTTTCATATTGGAGCCTCCCTCCCCTGCATTGAATTGATTCTACCCCGCCGATTTTTGCTCTTTTCAAAAGAAAAGTTGCAAGTTTTATATACCCAGTCATTGCTTGGAAGTCGGGGTACAGGGCTGGAATCTGTTGATCCTCCAAGCCCCTATAGTTGACAATGCGGGAATGATACACGCGAAGACAATGAACTGGTGACGTGCTATCATACCCATCCTCATCGACCCCTCATCTCCGTATCACAGATATCACATAAAATTCTGGCATTTGAGTACTTCTTGCCTATCTATAGAAGTCTTTGTAGCTTGCAGGTTCTAACAGAGTAACAAAGAATGCAGGTCAGGAATATATCGTGGTATGAACTGGAGTGATAGGTAAGATAAGCCAGTATAGAATCAGCGTTGTTTGGAGCCTTTCCAGAAACATTTATACATCTACCGCAGATCATAGCCTTTGGAGAAAGTTATCTCCTTCTTCCCCATCTCGACGATGAGGGGTTGAGTACAATGGACCTCGCCGACAGTAATTACTATTATATATCAGGGTAAACAATTGCAATTCGCAATGAAAGGGATATCCAATATACATCGAGGACACAATCATCAATTTTCCTTATATGTTAGAATTGGCTGACGGGGCAAACTATCTACAATATTGAATTTATCAGCATATACAAATCTTTTCCATACGATATAAATGACAGAGTATCCAATTGCCCGGATTACAATCCAACAATATAATAAGTTTGAATGTTTAAAAACAATTAGAAATCTAAAAAATAGTTTAATATTCTAATCAAATTCAATATCTCAGATGATCTGAATATTCTAATTAGTTTAAGAATTTCATCATTTTCATTATTGAACTACTATCCAAACTTTTGAATACTCTGCTATTAAATAGTAACTAAACAATTATTACTCATACATGATTCCCTATTCAATACAATACTCAAGAAGATATTTCGTCTTCATTTCTACCAAATCAAACAAGCCAATCAAATTAATTATTCATTAAAGTTTTCCATCACCTCCTTTCGTAGCCGAAATTCTTGCTTCTCATTTACAGACTCACACTCGATACCCAGAGCAGAAATTAGCGATCCCTGAAATCTTGATGCGAACTTGCAATTTCTTCATACTTACTCTACTATCCTCATATCGATATCAACATTGAATGTAAATTAACGGCCTTGATTGCCTATGAGAGGAAGGATGCATGGCACTTCATATCTAATAATCAGATCAAATTGCCACCTATAGCTAATCCCCTCCTCCAGAGCATAAGGTCTAACTAGCTAGGGAATTTATCAAAATACTCCTCTACACCACAAGGAAATTCTACAGTCGTCTTGTACGGGAATCTGCATCCCAGATATTCAGCTGTAATCCTACCATACAATTTTCTTTTATTACTTTTTTCAATTACCATTCTTTTGGGATATGTCTACGATGACCGTTTGTATTTCCTTGGGGTCCTATTCATATCCATATCCTCGCTGTGCTACATACCCATCATCTTGTGACCGTGTCGCGCGTGACTTCCTCGAACCATTCTCACGTTTCCATTTGAAAGAATAATTTCCCTTCCCGTCATCGAGGACTGTTAGTTTATAGGCCTCGTTTATCCTCATTGCTTCACTGGCAAATTTTCTTACTTGGCTTTGATTAAGCTTGAGATGGCGAGGTTCCTCCAAGTTCAATCGATCCTTATGCGTGACAGCTCTCGGGCGAAGTTTATGATCAACCTCGTGAATGATCGGATTAAGCGTCTTGATGATTTATTGGCCTTCCCTCTCTCGTGTTTCCTCCAAATTCAGTACATTCTCAGAGGACAAGGAAGTGTAATGTGAGGATTGAGTGGCTGCTTTGGTATGAGATCTAGGCATTGTCTCAGTGTAAGGGCTTGAGATGTCAAGATCTGAGTTTGAATTTGGTATTTTGCAAAATGTAGTTTGGATTTACGAAATTATAATAATGGATATTTGAGCTTCGAAATCTTTGTTGTGTTCTTAGTAGGTAGGTATGTTAATAATAAAGAGTAGAAAGTTGACGTTCGTATTGTAGAAGGTTGTGAAAATACTCCGAGGTATTCATATTGTAATTTTTAACATGAATTTTCGTGCCTACGATGGAAACCTGCCTTGATAACCAACACTCGGGATCATCATGACATAGGCTACAATACATTGTTCAAAGAGGATGGATAGAGATGGTTATGGGTTATGGTCGTTCTTTGTTAGGTAGACATGACCAAAAAGAAGACCAGTTTTATAACGTTCACTCAATGCATCGGACCTAAATGCATCGAAAACACTTTCATAACTTCCTCCCCCTTCCATTCAGAGGGAGACCTAGATCTCTTCCTCATACACTCACTTACCTATCAGCCTACCTTGATATTCATAAGCGACGATGAAGATCGAATATTCTCCTTCCTAGCTACCCGGGCTCTACATAAGCGAAAAGACGGGCAGAATTCGAGTATCCTTAGGAAAGACTTCATTAATTGGATTATAATTCATTTCAGATTCAACATTAATATCTAAAGGAACGAAACGAAAATTTGAGCTTTTTCTTATATCGAAAACTAGGATTATCTGTATTTGATATTTTATTGAAGAGAGATCCAATTATTGAAGTCCTTCTAAGGGGTACTCAATCTCCGCCCGTGTTATTCGATTATACAGAGCCGGGTCCTATCATAAATTTTGAGAATACCATCTGCACAACAAAATAACCCAAAAACAAACGTCATGAAATAATCAAATAAATACCTACTTAGGAAAGACTACATATCTTCAAACTCAACCACCCAACCTACTTCACTTCCCCGCCTAAATGCAAAATAATATATACCGCTCATCTCACCATCTCACTCCCCTCTCCCCTCTCAATCTAACCCACCAAATCTCTAGATAACAAACCCATCTGTACCTACCTTTATATAAGCGAAAAAACAACCGGAAATTGACTGTTCGATCTCGATATCACTTATTTCATTGAATCAATAATTCTATTCAAAATAAACATTAAAATTTGAAAAGAGCATACGAAAACTTGAGCCCTTTTTTACTTGAAGTATCAGAATTACTATTATTTAATACTATATCAAAAACATATCTATCTGACTTGTTAAAGTTCTGTGAAATGGTGGTCAATTCCCACCTGTTATTTCGCTGGTGTAGAGCTACCCATTGAGCCGCCCTCACTCTGAAAGGGAAAACAGGCACACCAAACCCGCCAAAATCGAGACTTTCTTTAAAACACTATTATTTCAAAATTGAATAACAGTGTAGAAAGATATTATGAGATGAGTGAAATAGAGATATTTCATAATTTGTAAGCTCTTTAATAGGACACTTCAATTAAAATCAAAAATATTGATTGAAAATTTAAAAAGAGAATTTTGAAAGTGATGCTGTCTTCTTGGTCTGTCTGTAAAATCATTCAGAGTGAGCCACCCCACCCTACCAATTCCCATCCTAAAACCCAAGTCCCGCACGTTGCAAAAATATAAATTTAAACAACCTGCTCAACTTTCACATTCAATACATACTCAATAATTGAATTCAACAGCCCGTTTGGCTTAGCGGTAAAGCGCATCACTAGTAATGATGAGATCCTAGGTTCGATTCCTAGAACGGGCAATTACAGGAGATCACAGCATCTCCTTTCTTTTGTCTTTTGGGTGGTTATGGATTTTTTGTAGTACTTTTGTTGTTCTGAGGGAGTTTTTTTGGTTGGGGTTGGTTGGAGAGAAGTTTTTGAGGAAGGGGGAGGAGGATTGGTGGGGAAGGAGACAGGTAGAGGAGAGGAGGGTGTTAAGCCGATTAGATATCTAGATAATAGGTAAGGATGAATGCTCAAGTACCAAGCAAAAGTACCAAGATATAAAAAGTTCATAAATATAAACATAAATCCATACATTTCTCATAAAAAGGGTATCGAAACAATCAAGCTAAAACTAAACTATTCTGGTATCCACCCAACATTTCTTCTTTCTTTCCCTTTGCTCTCCGCATCAAAATGGTATATTTCGCAACTAAAACAGAAAGAAAATATCTCCTCTCCCGACGTCCCTAACCTCCATCTTCGGTTGTTGGATTTTATATGTGTAGGTAGGTAGGTTAAGTAGGTCTTCGAGATGATCATCGAGGACTTCATAAATTCTTGGTATCCATCCGTGGTACCTGACCCATGGTAAACCAAAAGAAAACGCCACTCTCGCTCCTAACCGATCAAGAAGCGCAAGATACCATTCCCATCATATCTCCCCCTCTCACTCACCCCCTCCTCAAACCCCCGGACTTCCACTCCTCCCCCTCGCCCTTCCTGTCCACCTAGTCCTCTTTTCCCTACTCCAAAAAAGCACCATCCCCGCCACACTCCCCGCCCACAACAGCGCATTTACCAAATCGACCCACACTGCATTTTTCATCCTCTGTACGCCTGCATCCCCTTCCGCTTTCTCACCTATATACATATTTCCAAAGAGACCGAACAGGGCGATCCAGAGGATAAAGAGGACGGCATCCCAGAGGAAGAGAACGGGGATGAGATTGAAGAGGGGAATGAGGTGCAGGAGTGAGGTGAGCGCAGAGAGGGTACCGGTTATGACGGCGTAGACCTGGATGAGGAGTTAGTTGTGGTCTAGGAATTTTGGGGGGATTTGGGGAGAGGGAGGGAGAAGGGGAAGGAAGATATACCCATTTTCCATCTGAATATTTATGCTGTTTATTCGCATTTGCGAGATCGGTTCCATATAATCCGATGACTGTGAGCGCCAATACGAATTGGAGAAATCGCCATAGAGCGTGTGTAGTACGTCCCACGCCGTATCCGAGCGGATTGATACGTTCGAGGATGGACATTTTTGGTTGTTTGTGTGCTTGTTTATTCGCGTGTTGGTGTGTTGTATTTTGAGGGAGGAGTGTAAGTGGGTTGAAAAGTTGGTAAGTACGTAGTCGTCGTATTGTGTGAATTCGAAGAGATGGATAGAGGATATTCTTCTGATATCAAATCCTCGTATGACGTTTTCGAAGGTATTCACAAAATGATTCTGTTAAGGAAGGTGAATCCTTCTCCTTTGCTTTCCTTTCCTCTCCTCTCCTATCCTCTCCTTCAACTCGTAAATTCTTACACAGGGACAATCTCGTATCTTGTATATCCTCTAGATCAAAATCGAAATCAGATTCAAAATCAAAAGTAAATAAACCAAACCAAAACCACAATCACCTTCTATCTTTCTCTCTGTCCTTCCTTCGTTACATTTAAAACTCTCAAAAACCAACCACAAAAGCAAGCAAATTAATTATCTCTCTTTCTCTCTTCAAATCTTTCAAATTCGTATTCTCATCAATTGTCTTCCCAAAGAAAAGTATCATAAATAATAAAAACAAATTCGCAATCCCCTTCTTTCCTTTCTTATATCAACCACCTCTCTATATATAATCTAACCCGACCGCAAACCACAACCAGCCCGCCAGCCATAATCTTGTTTTTATACATATACCTTCCCACTTCCAACATCGAATTTCAGCCAATCCAGCAAACACCAATGAAAAAAAATCCGACCTAAAAATCCACCGCGGTTACCCTATCATGTCCTATCTTGACCTACCCTACCCTACCCTATCCCATCCTGCTACACACATGTACGAGACCTACCACAATAAGTATCTGTAACAAATAACGAATCACGAATCTCAAGAGCAAATCATGAAACCCAATCACAGATCCTCCCATTCTCCCATCCTCTCACCCTTTCATTCTTCAAAAATTCTCCCACTCTAGAAATCCAACGTCTGTTCTCCAAACCCTGGATTTGTTGCGCCATCTTTTCTCGCGGGTGTCGTAAGTACCATCTATCTATATCTTTTTTCCCAATCACCCCCCAAACGATGACGAAATATCCATCCATCATCCATTAATTTGTTGGTTAACCCATCCATCCACCCATTCATCCAGCCCTGTCTGGCTCCCGCAGCCCACAAGTCCGCTTACAAAAATTTCATATTAGCCTTGTAAAAGTGGGATAAATAGATACCTAGATAGATAGATAGATGAGGAATCCCATCCCATCTCATCCCATCACATCACATTATAAGAATCACGATACCGACCTATGGACACACTCCACCCATCAAGAAAATTCAAGCGTATGAGGGATACATTTAGGTACGTGCGTGTGTGTGTGTGTGTACAAGGAATGCGATGTATGATGATAGGACATGATGTGATGTGATGAAAACATCCATACATTGGAGAGACACAATGCTTGGTAGTGATTCCGTGTCGGAGACGGGTGTGCCCGATGATGCATGCTATGCCCTACGGTATGAACGAACGAAAAGTATAATTTGCGGGTTCATTTTTTCAATTTTTAATTTGGGGATCTTGGGGTTGATTTGGTCGTGAGAGATGAGAGGTGATGAGATGAGATGAGATGAGGTACCCAGGTACCTAGCAGTCTAATAGATGCATGTGGAGAGGGAATAAACTTAATGCCTACTTTGTACAGCGATGAATGGAATAGTTGGGCACGGAATGGTATATTTAATTTGGGATTACTGGGTACGTTTTTATCATTATGATTTTGTCCTGCATATAGAGGATTAATATCGTTCGAGAAAATGTTGAAAAAAATCATTCCACATTATATATCATTTGTCAATATAACCTTACCTAACCAGTGTCCATCCGCTCAATCAACCCCTTCATATCAATCGGTAAAACATCCATCACAAAGCCCTATCGTAATCCCCTACTCCCCCGAATATCAAACGAAGTATCCATATTCGTATCCATATCTGTATCCACGATGGGTATTTCTCCACCTTCATTTTCGAATTTTCTGCAACTCGGAAATTTGAGATTAACAGGAATAAATTTCTGTACGAGAAAAATAAAGGGTTGTTTGCTGTTCTCACATCTAACTATCTATAAATTCAAGCTTTGAAAATTCTAAAAAACTAAGAACACCAAAAAGATATCGACGTCGGCATGATTCGAACATGCGCCCCGAAAGGAATTGATTTCTAGTCAATCACGTTAACCACTCCGTCACGACGCCCGATTGGGTTTGTTGCAAATTGGCTGGATTAGATATGTTTTATTACCGTTCATGATCAACTTTTTTTTGTTCTTCTCTTAATTGTGTCTACCGTGTAGCTTCAATGTCCGAACGAAACTGAGTATGGAGACTACCGTCCTTGCAGTTCAACATTTTCTGGGTCTTGTGTTTGCTGCAATTAGTAGTTGTGTAGTTATGTCAACTCACCTGGGCTGGTTGACTCTCTTCCAACGTCTTGTTTCCACCATTTAGACTTGGAGTATCGATATGCCTGGTAGGGAGATAAATTGATACTCCCGAGTCGCGACTGAAGTGCATGATGAATTTATTGTGAAAGCGATGATATCGCGAATGCTCGCTCACCAGCCAAAAGCAGGGGTGCCCTTCTGACTTCAATATATTCATCAGTGGTCAGATATTGAAAATATTAAAGGTCATGTCATCAGACTGACTAAAAAGTAATTATTCGTCCATCTGCATTGGCCAAATGACTTTAAGTTCCAATTAAAGGTTGGTGCTTTGACTTCATGACGGCGTTGAGAACTACCGAGGAGTGTCGAAGACCTCAACCAAAGTATTACACACATGTGCCGAATCTCGCATATTTTGACAGAGTCCAAGACGTGAAGGGGTCAGGCTTATGGGAGAAGCATTGGATGTGTGGCAAATTTTCAGACAGTTTGAATGGAGACAACCTCGCTGAGAGTCAGTCCATTTCGGCACTCGCGGTTTGATGGTTATTGTGTGTACTTTCTTCAGATTGATCCTCTCCAGGATAGAAATGAACTACCAAAATTAAACCCGGCAGTCCAAATAGAAGCTTTCTCCATGAACATATCAGTACCCAAAATTGCAACATTCACAATTAACAATGGAACCTCTTTCATGTTTCATGGTGGGAATCAAGTGGTGATGAGACCCAAGCGCAAGAGGCGATGGTTCATGCTTTATCATAAATATGTTGTGTAAATGTCAATCTTTTGGATAATACCGTGAGACACTACGCCTTGCGTATATCTGTGCCACGAAACCACGAGTCGGATCACGACACGAGAAGATACCGCACTTTGAACTCAACGTTATAACTTGGCGAGGCTGCATACTAATGCGAAAAATCACAAAGATCTTCTTCAGCCTTTCCGCAAGAGAAAGATGACTCCGGAAGAGAAAGTATTGAATGAAGGTGTAAGGTTTACCGTGAGACAAGGCGCCCAACCAAACCCAAACAGCGGCAGATCAACAGACTATCCATATTGGTAATGATTACAATCTATTATCTTTCAAGTTTCACCTATCCACTAAGATATGATTGGTAAACATTTTTAAGGGTTCAACTCCGTGAGGTGTGATATGTCATAGCCTCAACGCCATGAAGGTAGAGAAGATAGCGACGTGGTGGTTGCAATATCGATGTTGGCGAATCTGAATATGGCAATAATCGACATTGATTTGGTATCAACTGTGGATCTTTCGGGAAGGAGAACTACTTACGATGCGAGCGATGTACAACAACGCCCCCATGAAACTTTTTCTAAAAGATGTTGGGCATCGTGATATGTTGCAGAGAGTAGGGTCTTTGCATGATACATACTCTGTACATTACCGCCACAAGATGTACCGAATTATGGGGCATAATTCTTCAAAGAATAGTCGGTAGGTTAGCATTACATGCGCTACTGAGAAGGATGAGAGAGAAGGGAAAGGTGGCGACCTCACCTGTTGGTGCCTATGTAGATAAATCAGAAAACAACACAGCCGCGTTGTGTTTCAAGAAACGAAAGGAATTGCAAGCCGACCCACAGATTAAGTTGTTTAAAGGATTTAGATAGCATCGTCTCGTCCAAGAGTACAGCCACGAGTGACGACAGCAACCGAGGGTTTTCTTCACCCTTCCATATATGGTGTGGAGTTGGCAGATCAATCATTCATCATCCAAACGAGGAAACGGGAGTACCGGATGATGAGTCTAATGTATTTTAATAGCGGCAATTTGTCAAATTGAGAGACATGATTGATACATTTTGGCAGAGGGGAGAAGAGGAGGAGGAGGAGGAGGGCTCGAGGAGGGGATATTTTGAATATGGATGATACTCGGGTACGTAAACGTAAGATTATGTATGATGTATGATGTGTGATGTATTGTGATTTTCTTTCCTCAAGAGTGTCATGTAATGTAGTCGAGGATGTAGTCGAGGATGTAGTCGAGGATGTACACTCGATATAATTATATCATCAATCATCTCCTTTGAGGAGTGTCATAAAATGTATTTAGTAGATATTACAGAGTTTTGCTATAGTCGGGGGTTAATTGTATCAACAGTATCAATCATCCGGGAATAAATTGATATCTCATTTTTCTATGTGCACTGACATCATCGTCACCAGCACCAGAAGTATAAACAACAAAACGCCTACCCATTACCTACCGACCTCTGCACCCAAAATCGACCGTTTTGTTTCAATCATCACACACCCGGTCTTTCCACCCTTCACTCGACCCTTGACCCTTTCTGCAGATCTTGCGGAGATTCATCAGAAGGGAGATGATACGACTTTTTTTTCCCTCCATATTTTTTCATATTTGACTCATTCTAATTAAAAAAAATATAGAGGAGAGAAGGGAAGAGAAAGAAAGAAGGAAAGGAAAAGGAAAGAAAATTTCACTTTGACAACGAAGATTAAAATAACAAAGAAAGAAAGCAAGAAAGAAAGAAAGAAATAAATCAATAAATAAATAAGATATAATAAACAAATAAACAAATGCGATATAATATGATATTACCTATATAGGAACACAAGATCCAAGCACAAGGAGGGAAGAGGGAATTCATTCTTGACTTCACTCTTCTCTCGATTATTAAAGTAGACTTCACTTCTGTCTTGTACCAAACTTCACCTTCTCTTAAAGTAGACTTTACTCTTCTTTTATACTAGACTTCACTGTTCTCTTGTCTCAAAGTCCGCCTTCTCTTGTATCAAACTACAATTCCTCTCTGTCAAACCATACCTCACTCGTCCTTGTCATAGCAAAGTATATTCTTCATGTCTACCTACCTACCTACCTAGCATTGAAGTTCATTCCCATATCTACTAGGTATCTTATCGTACATTCCTTAGATATCCTCTTGCAACAAGGTCCAAGGAACAAAACCAACCACCAAGAAGCATCAGTCCTTCACCACCACCACCCATTCATTGATCATATCAAAAACATCCATCAATCAGAGAAAGAGACAAGAAATTGATTTCGGCACCAAGATCCGAAACATAATCACATTGGGCTTGCCGTTATTTCCTTCCCATATACACACTTTACCTGTTCTTGATTAGACCTTTGGATTTTCATAAGCATTAACGAACGAACACATGAAAAGAGGATCTAATCACTTACGACTTTACGACGATCTTACCTTCTCCCTTTCCTTCCCCAACGTTGTGAAAACAAAAATAAAGCAAGAGACACATTCAAGACGAGGCAGAAGAGAAAGTTAAAGTGGACTACATATATATACCAATACATAGACACATACACATACACATACACATCACAACTACATGGTTCATATCACACAACGACGCATCCTCACACGCTGCACAATAAAAAGATACGAGACTCACCAAACTTGCGAAAATCGACGCCAATAACCATACCTGAACCATACCTAAACCATAACCCTTGGGAAAAGCAAGAAAGTGGACAACCTTTATTGACTTACCACCACTTACCGCGCACCACTTACCACTTACCAAACCCAATTTCGTACTCGAGCACTCGTCGGTACCGCTCCATCACTTGACTGTGAAGTTTCATCAAATCCACCAATTACCATTCAATCAACTATTGGAGTGGCCCCAGTGTGATTAGATTACCTTGCGCAAGACCCTCCGTCTACATTTGGGTAGATCACGATTCACGATTCACGAATTAACTCAATTTACGATTCAAGGTAGCTACTTGGGTGCATCGCTACTAGCTACACACACATAACCAACTGACCGAACGAAACGGACACGCGAATTCCTACGCCAAGAAAAAGAGACCATCTGCATTGCCCCAGGAAATTCAAATCCGAACTAAATACCTACCTACCTGCCTACCTACGTATCTACTACCTCCCTCGCTCCCTGGTTATATGAATGAATGTACAAAAGAGAATTACCCGCCGACCATTTGTCTATACTTCGACACAAAATGGCCAGTCATCGTTCCTATAAGACCTCTTCTTACTTTCCTACAAATGGGAGTAGAGATACTTCCCATCGTCCTCATATCAAACCATCCTATTCATCATCTTCCTCGGATGAAGATATTATTGCGTCTTTAAAAGGTCTTGCCATACAATCAAGGACCAAAGAAATCACTAGTACTAGTAATAGTAGTACAAACTCTCCACGTTGCGGTACTCCCGGCACACAAGGTATGTTACGCTTTTACTTTTCAGTGCAAGCCTTTCCCGCATTCTATCAAGCCGCCCCGCCACCACCTACGACTTAGACAAAAGGGTCCAAGCTAACTCGTGATTTGGCAACTATAAAGTTGAAACGATATCTACTACATTCGATACTCCAAAGAAAAGCGATTCCATTCCAATTTCCTGCGGTCAATCTACAAGACGAACTCGAGTTTACACACCATTGACAGGTCGTGGAGAATTACCAGGGTAAGCATGATTTGATTGTCATACCTCAAGTTTCCGAATTGAGCATGAAAGCATAGCAAGGACTATGCCAGGAAATTATTGTGGCATTGTTGTTCTGACAAAATGATTTATAGAGGATATTTTCCCGGATTTGCAGACGAAAACCCAGAAACTCTCAAATCAACAATTCTACTATCAACTTCACGTTCTAAAAATTCACCAGAAATGCAACCAATTACAATCTCTTCCATGTCATCGCCAATGGATTCACCAGCTTCTGATACCACTGTTCGTGGACCTCCTTCGATTGTCAACTCTCCATTCACTCTACCAGAAACGTTAGTTATTCCAAAAGGAAAATACTATCCTTCGAACTATAAGCCATCACCAACATCTCCCCTCCCGGTACCCCTCACGAGCATCCCTTCGTCAATATTAAATGGGGCCAATCTTCAACTTCCTCCCAAAAGTCAACGTCAAAAATCTTCAAATCCACATCATCAAAGGAAATCCTCAGACGTTAAACGAAAACTACAAAAGTACCAAAAAGATATGATTGAACAAGCACGTATGGTACATGCTTCAGTAGTTTCTACACCTGGGGGATCCGCACCAGGATCAAAGCCTATCAGTCCTAGATTGCTTCCTTTAGGTAGTCCCGGTCCCATCACACCATTTGAATTGGAAGAAAGTTCTGGGTATTTGATTGCCGGTCAAATGCGATCGGGTGGATTAGCTGAAGGTGGATTGATAGAGAATGAAGCGGTTGCAAGAATGATTCGAATGGAAGAAGAAAGACGAAGACGAGAGGGGCAAAGTTCACCAGCTGCTCGAGTTTGAAGGAGTTCGGAATTTTTGAACAGAATGGGGTGTTCAGCCACACGGTTTCTTCCGACATATCCGGAGAATGATCAACTCCTTCGATCACGATTTGCAAGATTACGCATCTCGCATTGAGCGATTGCATCAAAATACCCCGCACATTTCATTCGGTTCCCCACACTTTATCCAAAAAAAAAATTATTGATACTTTGCATGAACTTCCCCCACAAAATATCACTCTACACGTCAGCACGTACCGGATAGCTTTTTACACTTCTTGTTTCAACATTCATCACGCATCAGATACCTTTTCACTCTTCTTGTTTCGACATGAATCACGAATCACGAATCATTCACGGCCCCTTTTTTCTTTGTCAATTTGATATCCAATACTGTTTTTACCGCATATCACATGGTCAATCAATAGGAATTGACTAAACTCTACTCATTCTTTTTTATCTCTGACTTAAATACCAAGTGCTGGTATATTAGCTTTATTTTTGCATTCTCTCGCGTAGGGGTTTAAGGTTGTAGTCTTTTTTCCCTTTGGTTTAGTTTAGCATGGTGATAGAGTCTGGGTTGGGATGGGTTGGCTAGGATGGGGAGGAGAGGAATCTGGGTAGGGTTTGGCGTTGCTGGTCAAAATCAAATCTTGCACATGGGATTTCTCATTTTGAATCGGGGAAAATTATAGATTGGGGGTGGGCTGGGCTGGGCTGGGACGGAACGGAATGGATCGAAATGGAGGAAATGCTAGATGCGTGTTGAGCGTCATCTTGCTTTGATGGGGGTTGGAGATGCTAGAGTATGTTTTGGGATGGGATAGTTTAGCACGGGATCGCATAGCATAGAATAGCATAGCAGAGGATGAAAATAGCTTGAGAATTCATTACATATTTTATATTCATGAGGCTGTTTGTGCATGTGTGAGTTTACTTGTATTTGTGTGTGTATCCGTGTCTGTGTTTGGGATTCTGCGTTCTCGAGAGTGGTACTGAAGGTGATGGTGACGGTGATGGTGATAGTATGCAGTATGTAGGTATCGTGGGCTTAAGCTGAAGTTGAAGTTGAGCTGGGGTTAAAGTTGATATGTATATGTATATATATAGACTTGACTTGTCTTTAGATTAATTTGCTAGAATCAAGCTCAAGCCGATGGCTGTGGCTGTGGCTGCTGTAGCTGCGAAAGAGAACTAAATGGAGGAGTAGAGGCAGAATTTGTGAGTTTGTGAGTATGTGAGTTTGTGAAAGTGATTTGATTTTATTTGATTTTATTTTATTTTATTTTATTTTATTTTATTTGACTGTTAGTGTTCTTGTGTGCATAGATACTAGATTGTATGGAAGACTAGGTGGTTATTGGAGATGTTGGTTGTATGGTTTGGTTGGTAGGTAGGTGGGTGAGTTGGATAGTTGGATTGGAAATTGGGAATTGGGAATTGGGAATTGGGAATTGGATTGATATAAAGAGAGAAAAAGAGGAAGAGTATTTATATACTCGTGTATTTGTATATATGGTAGATACTAAGTAATAGATAGTTGGAAGGTTGAGAGATTAAGAGATGAAATGCAGATATTTGGATTGTGTGAATTTGGATTTGATGGGAGAGGGAATAAGGGGGAAGAGGGAAGGAAAGGAGGAGGGGGAATAGATATAGGGAGGGATCCGGATATGTAAATTTAGGTTTGGGGTTGAGGTTATTGAAATGCTGTATTTTCTTGATTTTCCTTCTGGATATGGAAATGGATTCTCCAATTTCCATCGAATCTAATCCGATCTACCAATTCCTTCTCAAATATCGAAATATTTTCAAGTGGTATAATTTTCCAAAAGTCGCCAGATTCAGAGATATCCACCTATCTTTCTATCTATCCCTTTACAAGTGCTGGTGACGGTTTGCATGGGCCTCTTTACTATGCATAGGTAGATATTACCACAAAGGTAGTGCTGTACTCATGTAAAATGATACATGTTATTTCGGATGAAGATGTTGATTTTCTTTCAAGGGTTTGGAGATCGAGGTGTAGAGATCTTTTTTATCATATGATGATGTTTTCCATCATGTTGATAATCTAGCTCTGAGATTTATTTATCTATCAGCTCTTAATTCAATTGGCGGCTTCCAATTTCACATCTTCCTTACTACCCTCTCCGCTCTCCTCTACTTTCTCCCCACCCCCCTTCCCCCCATTCCCCTCCTCCTTCTTCCCCTCCCCCTTCTTCCCCACCCTCCCCTCAAAACTCAACACGGCCATCCCCAACACCTTCCCCTCCATCTTCACCCTCTCCCTCGCGCCCTCCACCCCCGCCACAAACTCTCTAATCCTACTAATCACCCCCTCCGCCTCCTCCACCGACGCCTTCCTCCCCTTCTTCTTCCCCGCCAAAATAACCTCCACCTTATTTCCCCTCTCCAAAAACCCTCTCATCTTCTCTAACCGATGTCCCAAATCATTCCTCTCAATCGCCCAATTCATCTCAATCGTTTTCGTGACCGTCCCGGGATTCTTACTCTTCTTCACCTCCTTCTTCTTCTGAAACAACTCCCTCTTATTCACAATCCGCGCAATGGGCGCAAGCCCCTCGTCCGAAAAGGCAATTATCTCCAACATGTGGGTTTTGAGATCTACAGAGCGGAGAATCTGCGCGGTGCGAACAGGAGGGTCGAGTTTCCCTTCGGCATTTTTGAGACGTAGAAATGGAGCGGTGATTTCGGTATCCCGCGGAAGACGCTGTTCGGCGACGGCGGTGGAGGTACTTTTGAAGACGCTGCGGGTTTGGATGCGGGTTTGCAGGTAGGAAGAGGAGGAGGAAAATATGGGGGTGTTGCGTAGAAGGGATGTCGATGCGGATGTCGATGTTTCGATAGGGAATCCCGAGAGGAATACCCGACGGAGAGCAGAAGCTGCATTGAAGACGCAGCGGGGATTCGTCATAGTTGGTAATCGTATAGATGGGGTATGAGACTGTGATGAAGCTTGAGAGAGCGTGCGTTGTAGATGCCAGACAAGAAGAATTTATTGTTATGCTTGATTATGTAAGCGTGTTCATTCTGCATCGTCATATCACGGGGAAACAAAATATTCTATATCTGCGAACGATTTACAGCCCGCGCAAAATTACATATTCAGTAGATTACGTATGTAACTATAAAGAAAAAGCATGTCATGATATTTAAAACACTCCTCCGACCACTCCCCCCTCGCCTCCTCCATCCCTATCCCATCTCCAACCACGGTATCAACCGGCGCATCTCCCTCCTCCCGCGCTCTATTAGTATCAGCGCCAGAAAAGGAGGAAGCGAAAACCCCAAACACGCCTCGCACCCCCTGCGCATTCTAACCTGGACGCTCAAATCACTCTTCATCTACCACCTCTTCCACACCTACTTTTATTCACTCGAGACGGGCTCTGGACCCTCGATGCTCCCCACCATCTCCGTGTCCAACGATTGGTTTCTCATTTCGCGTGCGTATCGACGCGGGCGCGGCGTCCAGGTTGGCGATATCGTTTCGTTTGAATCGGTGGTTGAGCCTGGTCAAAAGGCTTTCAAGAGAGTTTTGGGCTTGGAGGGGGATTGTGTCATGATGGGGACGCCGGGGAGTGGGGAGACTCAGATGATAAGAGTGAGTTATTAAGGCTTGAAGGCAAAGCGAGGGGATGATTTGAGGGGAAGGGCTAATGTTTCATAGATTCCTGAGGGACATTGTTGGGTAGTGGGGGATAACTTAGAATGGTCGAGAGATTCGAGGATGTTTGGTCCGATACCTATGGCTTTGATCAAGGGGAAAATCATCGCTAGAGTACTACCATGGAGCGAGAGAAAATGGTTCGAGAATGATTTGCAACCAGTGGCAGATAACCGTTGAAACTTTGATATAGTCACAAAAAAATCACAAAGTCGTAAGAAGTCAAATAATCACGCCTGACTGACCGACGTCATGTGAGAGTTCTGACTATTTCGAGCAATGACTGGATTTGGATATCATAATGTCCTATCTAATTACATGAATAACAACTAAAGTTCCATATCGCTGTAATAAGTTGTTGAAGGGAGACGTCGTGAAAAGATATATTGTAATGACAGGAACCTCTGAAGGTCTGTCATGAAAACACAGGAATAAAAGTAGTGCAGCGCCCCCCATTCTGCCAATATGCTCGCTGCAAACTATTATGCCTCTGATTGTACTCCTAACACCGTGCCCTACCCATAGCTAGATGCAAATAACAAAAAAATCTTTTCTTGTGCAAGCCGCTCAACCTTCGATATGGGATGACTTCCCACCTTGTCCGAGTAGTTGTAATGATCTTTGAGCAAGTTGAATAACTTCTCCTTCCCCATCTTCTTCGCCTTCGTCGTCGGACTCAATTTGTTTATCGGAAATAGTCTTAATCATTTGTACAATCTCTTCTGATTTTCCAATCAAGCTTATTAATTTTTTGTCCTCGGATTCCAATAGTTGTAACAATGTCCAGATTGCGATGTGTTGGAAAGTCGGATCTCCGCTAGCGAGGAATCGTTTTAGATAACCGTGAATACCTCCGAATGGTTCTGTCCAGGCTTGAATGAAGATAGAGTAGTCGCCGACTATAATTAGTTAGCATTGAAAACTTCAAGAATGATCCCATAATTAAAACTTACCCTTGGACGACAAATTACCAAGAGCTGCAGCACTATTGCCTTGGACTTCAATACTCGGGGAATCTGTCAATGGAATAAGGACATCGAATACACCCAGGTTGAGAAGTTGAGTCTTAAGATCGTCACTTAAGGCCAATACAGCGATTGCAGCAGTCATTTCCGATTGAACACTAAGGGCGACCTCCAGAACAAGTTGTTTGCATTTTTGAACAGCTCCGGCTTGTAGAACAAGCTCCTTGTTTCGATCAGAACTAGCAGCAAGGTTGCGAAGTGTCGATATGGCGTGGCATTGAATTTCTTCATTATCGGTGGAACCTAGTAGATCTACTAATGGTTTTAGAAAGCCGGCATCAATAATTGGAGATTCGTTTAATGGATGTATCGATATGTTGCGTATGCAAGCGACAGCAGAAAGTATTAATGGTAGATAGGAGGATTGTAAAAGTCGTAATAATGGAGCTAAACCGCGAGCGCGCACAATTTCTAATTGATACTTCTCATCAGAAGCAAGATTTCGTAAGGCCAAAGCTGCTTGACACTGTACTTTAGGTGAGGAGGAATCCATCAGGTTCACAAGGGATTGTATGAGTCTATTCTCGTTCAAGGCGAGCTTCTTGCGGTTATTAGCATCAACAGCGATATTACTCAAAGCTGTTGTACAGTAGTATTGTACATCTACATCAGAAGACGAGAGGAGTTGTACGAGTACGGGTATGGCACCAGCATTAACCAGCTGCTGTCGGTTCTCATCTAAATGATGTCAGTGTTTGTAAGTGCTGCGTCGTGAAGGTTACTGCTTACCAGAATGTGTCATGTTCAATAAAGCGCCAGTAGCATTTCTCTGCACACGCATATCTTTAGATTTAGCTAGACGAGTAAGAGGTCCCAATGCCCCCGATCGTGCGATCTTGGCCTTGTTATCCTCGTGTGTTGCCAAATTGGTGATACAACCGACCGCGTTACATTGCACCTCGACATTTGGGGACATCATCTGTCTGATGAGAGGCGTAAGCCCCCCAAGAAGCACGATTGCTACTTTGTTCTCCGCTACACTCTTTGTTAGCTTGACTCATATCACAGGGGAACATAACCTACTGTTAACTGCCAAATTTCCAAGAGCTGCGCTAGCCGCTCGTTGTACCTCGATATCGGGACTTTGCAGAAGGAAGAGTATCGGCTCGAGGGTGTCTCTATCTACTTCACGAACATCTGGAAGGCGTCAGTAATAAATCCCCTGCACTGACGATAATCTAATCCCATCCGCCCTGAAGAGCCGCCATCCAAGTAGTTGCATGCGAGGCGGACCACTATTTATACAGGTCATGCAGTTCGCCCGAGTCCAACACTGTGTACTTGCACCCATCCAGGTATATATAAAAAAAGACGTACCTCGTTCCGTTATCTCAGCAAACGTTAAACTAGCACTTCGCTGAAGGTCGACATTATCAGAAAATACCAGTGTACTCAAAGCTCGTAGAGGTTCCCCGGAGAAAAAGTCGGTCTCGCCGCGCTGGATGATCATTAGACATCGAATTTAATGTTAGTCTAGGCTTTTCTTACATTCTCTAGGTATTGTAAAAGGTCTGCCACCGCTTCTCTTTCGCTTTCTGCCAGCACTGGCTCATACAAGCCATCTCGGGATTTACCTGCACAGTCCAAAGATAAGTAAATAATTCCACAAGATATGATTCTTTTTTCAACGCATACCTCCGCAGCAAGAAGAGCAAACACCTCCCATTTCTTAATGTTGGTCCCGTAGGACTGGTGACTGTCGATCGTAGGGTCGGGTTCGAATTGTTTTTGTTGGAATGAAATGAAATGAAATGAGGGCGATGAATGGAACAAAGCGAAGCTATAGGAAGGGGAAATGGCGTCAATTTCGATTTCGGATTATATTAATGGAAGGCTCGATGGCCATTCGTCAGGGAGTAGCGATGTGAATTAATGAATTGATCTGGATGTTGATAAAAGGAAGGAATGTTCGAGGATTGAAGATTGAAGATTGATGAGTCGAGTTTGAGTTTGAGTCGAGTTGAGTTGAGTTGGCGGGAAGCTTTTTGGTTTTCTAACACAGCTTCGGTCTTTCACTTTCCTTAGGTAATTGTACACCACCGCCGGCTTGTACACGCTACATGCTACAGAAGGCTACACACGGACCATGGGCCTATGTAGTGGACTATGCCGGAAAGAGAAAGGTCGAGGAATGATAATACAAGGATCCTTGTTCGAGCTTGTTAGGTTACTTATTAGGTAGGAGGTGGGAAGGAGACTACTGGGTGCGTAGTTGACTTTCTTTAACCTTGGAACCTGTGAATGATGTGTGTTTGAGGTGAGGAGAAATGAGTGAGGCATGAGTGAGGAGTGAGGAGTGAATGTTGGATTTGGATGTAATTTGCTACCGTCTCATGAACAATTAAACGACCGTACTGAGGCACGTACGCCAACAACCTCACACTCTTCTCGCCAGAACCAACAGGAGGAGTGGTGGTGACTGGCTCTCTTGGTATCGTATCTCGGTCAGCAGCATCAATCAACATGTACCGCTACATCTTGGATTTGGTAGATCCCCTGCGAATCTCCAGCCTCCTCTTCCCGCAACGAAAGAAAATGGAGCCTCGCGGCTAAAGGTGACTAAAGATATCCAATAGATAGCGTGAACGATATGCTCGGGAGGTTTATCTCTGTCGCTATCGGTATAGATAGTTAGGTACGGAGCAGCGACGAGAAGAATGGAAAACTCTTCCATTGGAGAATGACCAAGTGTCTCAGATTTTGTATATAAAATCAAGTTAATAAGTTAACAAACATACTGCTATACCTAGTTACCCAGTAAGTAATTATAGAACCACTTTCACTCTTCACTCCTGCTCCTCATCCGATGATACCATGTGGTCACGTCTTCATCTCTCCCCATCCTCGACATCTCAATGCAACAACCATTTATTCTTTGCTCCCTGAACCTAGGTAGTGCGCTCGTAAGGCTATCGATTCAAATAAAGATCAGAATGTCAACACAACACAACACAACCCAACCCAACCATGCACAAACAGCATAACATTCACGTCTTGACAACTCAATTGCTCAAGATGAGAAAAACCCATACACAAAACAACACTCGTTATCCTTGGATAAACAACCCTTCGATTCAATGAAAACCTTTCCAAATCGACTTATCACGTATCCACATTCAATTCTGGTACACCACTCTACGAAGTATCCATTTACACCGATATTTTGCCCCAATAAAAAAAAGATGCAAACGCATACACCCACTTGAAGCCTCACCAACAGAACCAATGGATACGGCATGGTTAATTCTCGAAGCCGGGTACCGATACAGCAACAGCGAACTGTTTGATATCGACGTGTTTCCCTAGTGATGGTTCTAATTCTCAAAGATCACCGAGGTGGATGTACAGAGGGGTTTCACTCATTGACATCTTCCACTTCAGATTATGCAAGATACTGAAGTTATCCTGTCATTGAGCAACCTGGAGATAGCCACCATTCTATTTATTTTCCGAGGCAGATGCAGGTATCTTCTTAGCCACAGAAACTCTCAAATTCGAGTTCATGCATGTAGGTCAAAGTACAGGGAAAGCAACTTCAACGAGCATTGGTCATCCTAGAAGAGTAAGATGAGTGAACGCTTAGGTATGCTGCTATTCAAACGGTCTCTTCATCATTCCAGAGGGGATCTTGGGAGGATTTATTCTAGAAGATTGTTCTAAAGCTACTTCAGAGCTTGGAGTCTTTTTAATTGAACTGCTGGAGTTTGATAATTTGCACTTGTGACTACGAATACTCGTCCCACCGAGGTTTAGATAAGATAGAGGCAAGCCCCGTCCCATCTTTGAGATATCCCAATCGATAGAACCATATCAAGTCAAGCTCATGCCTGGGGCGACGATTTTTTTCTTTCTTGCGAAGAGATTTTCAACTACTTCGGTGCGAGGTATGAGTTGGCATCGTGAGAAAATGTCTTTGCATTTCAAAAATGGTGTAGTAAGTGGATACTCAAAGGACTAATCCGGGGAAGAGAACCGAGCCTTTCATGGAAATCCGAAAAGGGATCAATAGACCCAGAATGATAACCGAACATGATGTACCGTATAGATTTGATTCTTGATATATATATGTACCGAGGGATTCATGATAGGAAGATCGAGCTGCTTCCCCTTAAATAGTTTTATGCAACTTACGGTTATAGTCTTTGGTCAAAATCTGGTCATCTTTGGGGTCCTCTTACGTGAAGGCTTCCAAGTTGCTTCCACTCCATTAAGAAGAGCTAGACGCGCGCTGTGTGTATGTATACATTTTTAGCCATCTGGAAAGATGACGAAACACTCAAGGTTCCCCTCAATCTCGAATAGGAAAGATGTTGACATCTATCTATCTGATATCTAAGTATCGGCAACCTCGCAACGAAGGATGGATAAAATGATTGCTCTATTAACAAATATACTGGCCTGGTAGGCAATACTCGAACAAGTATCTAGTGCGATGATGAAGGGGTAACTCTCGTTATTCGTGCACACACAGTCGTTTGCCAATAAGTTGGGTTTGCTCGAATATGTTGACTCGAAGCAGGTAGATCAGGAAAGTTGATTGAGTGATGATGCTCCGCTGGGCCACTGTCGTGGAGGCCTTTTCGCACCGCTCTAGATGATCTTGATCGGTGAATACCTACCTACCCACCTGGGCAGCTAGATGTATTTCATTTCGATATCAGACTTCACACACTTCAAATATTACGGTAAATAAAGTAACACAACAATGCAGAAGCTGAAACAGGTCAGATTTTGGCTGATCATATATATAAAATTCCCCAGAAAATCTGCCCCACCTTCGTGACTTTTGTTCTAGCTTTCAAAGTTCAACCCACCATTTCCAAGCTTTGCGACTCAATATCATCCATCTTCTCACAGTACAACATACAGCCTTTCTCATGATTCACACTTCAATTTAATTCTTCTTGAATTTTCGGCCAACTTTATCTTTGTCCCTCGCCCCAATATCAATGTGCTCCCCACGAATTGTCCCAAGCATAATCCATGTCTAATATGGCAGAAGAGATGCAGCCAGCGGCGCCCAATCCCGCAGACACCTTCACATCACAACCACCGGTTGTCGCTAGACATGATCACGAGTCGCGCATAGCTCAACCTTCAACATTCCTCCTTCCAAGAGTGAAGGTCGCCGAGATGCAGCAAGAAAAGCCGCTGGAAGAAACGCCGCAGGAAACGCCGCAGGAAAAGCCGATGAGTGCGCTCGACAAAGAGCAGCAAAAGGGTCTGGTAAGATAATTCCCGTTATCGCTTGTTCCATCAGGGTGGTCATATAAAGTCATTCATAGGATACTCGTGGGGGTTTGTACTTCGAGTATCACACGGGGCTGACGTACTTAATTCAACAGAAATCGATTCGAGATTTCCTCAAGCGCCGTACAAGTTACGATGTTTTACCTCTTTCCTTTCGACTTATCATTCTAAACACCGATTTACTTGTCAAGAAGAGCTTGACTATTCTTCTACAAAATGGTATACAATGCCCCAGGCCATGTTAGATCACATCTCGTCGCTGATCTCTGAACTTTATAGGTATCGTTTCAGCCCCGCTATGGGATTCGCACACCTCAACTTTTGCTGGTCTTCTTACGACTTCGGACTATATAAATGTCATTCAATACTACTGGCAGAATCCGGAAGCTCTCAACCAAATAGACCAATTCAAGTTGAGTAGCTTAAGAGGTAGGGTTTACGACTAGGGTCAGTTGAGCGTCATGCTGAATGAATCACAGATATTGAAAAGGCAATTGGCGTACTACCTCTGGAGACAGTATCGGTACATCCTGCACGACCTCTTTATGACGCCTGTCGACAGATGTTACAAACCCGCGCCCGCCGTATTCCACTGGTTGATGTCGATGACGAAACCGGAAAAGAGATGGTGGTTAGTGTAATTACACAATACCGCATTTTAAAGTTTATTAGTGTCAATGTCGATGAGACGGAATTCCTAAAGAAAAGCGTTTCGGAACTCAAGCTGGGAACATATGGCGACTTACAAACCGCAAATATGGACACCCCAGTGATCGACGTCATACACATGATGGTCAAACACAGCATTTCGAGTGTTCCCATTGTTGATAAAGATTTACGAGTTCTTAACCTTTTCGAGGCTGTTGATGTAATCACAATTATCAAAGGTGGAGTATATGATGGGTTGACGTTGACTGTGGGAGAGGCATTGGCAAACAGAGCAGAAGATTTTGCAGGGATTTATACATGCAGCGAGGAAGACAGACTAAATTCGATCTTTGACACGATCCGAAAATCTAGAGTGCATCGATTGGTGGTCATAGATGAAGAGCAGCATTTGAAGGGAGTGATCTCTTTATCCGATATTCTGCAGTATGTACTCCTACATGGAGAAGACGACGATTGAGCCTGTCCGATATTGGCAATGATACTACGGGGACGGATGGGCGTTGCATAGCGATTTGGCGTACAGGCACAAACCTGATCTCACTGGTCATAAAATGGCCACAAATAGATGTGATTGGGCGATTTATTCATATTCGTTAATACCATTTTATCGACTGCGGATTAGGGATAACATGGCAAGTTTGGGGAATGGCTTGTGAATATTTTATGGATGATGGGCAGTAACGTACTTACGATTCAGGAAATTTATCTTTTTTATAATGTTTCGATGGAATACTGTGCATTTCTAAATGACTGAAAGATGGAACAAGTTTTTATGGAGTTAACATTCTGGAAGTCGGGATTGACTTTGAACGAGTTTGTATAGTGGTTCCCCGAGTAGAAATTTAACAACAGTCTGGACTAGTGGATCAGATGTGAGCTATGGATATTTGAGATGCTATACAGGTAGTTATCTCAAATCGATTTCATCCTTCAATGGAATTCAATCTTTGAGTCATTTCGATTCTTTGGTTGAGTTCAAGAATCAAAAGCTTCTCGTTGATTTGCACATCCTCGCAGTCCCTCGTTGGGGTCATCACTCAAGTGGGCTACCAAGTAATTGTAAGTCGCGACTTCTTCTTTTGTTGAATGGAAAATCGCACCTACCCAGTAAAACGTTTTTCCTTATGCAAGAACAATCTTCCTGAAGGTCAAATCTGTAACTTTTATTGGTACCTCAAGAATGTTTCGCAAAGAGCCTTTTAGTACACAAATGACAAGCAACAATTGTTGATTGTCTAGGAGTTATCTAGACAATCAAAATGCGACCTAATCGTCTCAATTCTAGAGCATCATCAGCTACGTTATCCCTCAGACGACAGCAAGATATCGCAACCTTATTCGCAGATGAATCTAGTATCGCTCAAAACTTACTACGAGGTCAAGGTATCCCTATCAGAAGAGCATCTATTAGAGTACTTCCATCGGATCCAAATATTTCCTTAGCTTTGACAGGGGATGGCCCTTCGATCGCCGACGAGCCTTCAGACGTAGTGCAGCGACCGAGGATTCGACGTGGTCTTTGCAGCAGTAATACCTGGACTTCCTCGAGTGCAGGGGGTGAGTCTGAAAATGACGACTCGGATGATCGCACCCATTTTATAGAAGAATTCAATCGACTAGCGGATAAGGTATGCAAGCAGATTGTTCTAGCGTGGAGAAGAAAGCTGATGATCTTTAGCACGGCGTACGAAAATTTATTCCCAGTGAATACGAGGATGTTCCTGTAAGTTGGCTATTACGTCCGGTAATCTCAAGTACTTACTGGTAGAATCAGTGTATTGAAGATGGCCCTGACAAACACGGTAACTGGTTGTCCAGAAAGCTCTTCAGGCGGACTTCCTCATCTCAGACGCCCGTCGTTAAATCCAAGAAAGCAGAACGACGAGATCTCAAGAAAGTGCGAAGCATTAGCGATTCGTTACGGCTGAAGGGCAGAAGAGACTCTCTCAGGGATAGAGATCTGGTAGAACTTGTTCGTTTGTGCGGATCAAGTCTGTTATACCTCCCAGCTGAATATGCTGCGAGCAGCTTAACTTTACCTACTTGTATTCGTGCTACAGCCCAATATTTGATACAACATGGTATATTACGAATTACATTCCGCTTCACTTTCCCTCGTGCGCTAATTGACGTGCAGCTCCTACCACCCGCGGCGTATTTCGTATACCAGGATCTCAACACACAATCGGCCTCATTTATGAACATTATTGTTCAAAAGGAGACGAAGGACATATTGCGGGAACAGTAAGATGTCCGACTTTACCAGACCATATAGACTGCGATGTGCATGATGTTGCATCTGCGTTCAAGAGATTTCTCTCTGGTATCCCTGGTGGTATTTTGGGGTCGCTTCCATTGTTCGACGCCCTCGTCTCCATCCAAACACATCTTAGGGGTGATCCAGAAATGACACGAACTAAGCATAGTAAGGTTCGAGCGAGACTTATTGCTTTGTCTATCTCGACTTTAAGGTCAACATATAGGCGGGAACTTATCTGTGCAGTCCTAGGTCTACTCTGTATGGTTGGTCGTGCAGCAGAGACAGCGCGAAGGGAAGACGATCGGGGCAGGCCTCTTCCTACTTCAGATCTTATGGGCTATAAACCATTAGGAATTGTTTTTGGACCCCTACTTGTGGGCGATCTAATGGACAACTACAATATTCGCTTGGCCAATGGCCACGGGAGTTTGGTCCTCACTCCTTTGAGTCCACCAAAAACTAAGAAGGAAAGGAAAAAACATAAAAGTGCAGAAGGTGTAACTTTCAATAATCTGGTTGACAAAATCAAGGTTGCCGGCGAAATTACAGAAATGCTCATCACTCATTGGCGTGATGTAGTTCGCCATATGAAGAATCTAGAAGCCCTCACAGCCGTTGAGGGAAGCAAAATTATGGGTATTCGGGGGAGGAAACCGCCCATTTTACGTCCTTCAATGTCAGAATCCTTCTCCTTGCGGAGGCCTCCCGACTGGACATATGAGAAACCCAATAGGAATGCTGACAGGAATCAATCTCCAACGCCACCACAGCGTAGACCCTCACCTCGTTCGTGTCCAAGGCATAGCAGCGGAGATACTACTGAACAGCAGGCACTTGATGACTACACGGATCCCTTGCAGTTCGATGCCCTATCAGTTTCAAAACAACGATCACGTCAAAGGTTGTCACTAGGAGAAGCTCTTAAAAGCGCAAAACCTTCAAGTGCTCTTTCCACAGCTCTGGTAAAGGAGCATCCCGATGAAAATGATTTTGAAGATAGTAAGCTGAGTTTCAAGCAAACCCCACAAAGTGTTGGGCCATCTTCATCTACGAGAAATGGAAAGGAAAACAATCAAAAGAGTCCAGCCATAGAACATAATACTGAACTTCGTGTCAAAGGTATTGTTCGAAGGCTCGAGAGCGAGTCTATTGAAGCTGAGGATCTGTTACCTGTCAGAGATCCCAAAGACTTGGGACATGATAAGACATTGGACGCACAATCAAGCCCACTATCACTAGACGCGCATTCGAAGAAGATCAAAACGACTAGCTCATCTTCTCTCCTACATGATAGCAATCAAAAATATATGCAGTTCTCTGCGTCAAGCCATCATGATACCCCATCAAACAGAGAAAATCATATCAGATTTGCGCCAAGCACATCATATGCCCAGGATGTCAAAGATTTTCGAAGGCGCCAAGGCTTTACAGGCTCTGATTACTCCAAGGGAAATAGCCCTAAGGATCCACTTTCTCAGGTCTCACATGAGGATGATCTAGCATCCTTAGCTGTGCTGGGACAGGCCCTGGAATCTCCTGGTATATTTATGAAGTCCAAGGTAAAGTCGATAAAGTTTACCGAGAAATCTGATAACCCGACGAAACATGATTCAGGTATGGATTTCCATGAGAAAAGAGAGGTGGAGAAACCTAGCACACCAAGCTTTTTACGTCGCCAACTATCTCGCCAGAATGTTTCTGATACACCAAAATTCGCAAAGGTTCATGGGAATGATGACCGGTCTGGCATTAAGAGCAATGTTTCGCGAAAGACTGATTCTGCTGTGCCTGTCATCACAACTTTAGTGGAGCCCCAGGTTATCCAGGCGAAAGCAAGAGCTTCTTATGAAACGGCTTCACCTGCTACCTTGTCAAAAGTAGCCTCGATCAGAGAAATGTTTCGAAAGCGGAAGTCCGACAGCCGATCATCAAAATCATCCGAAGATAACCACAAGAGTGAACCTTCTAGGCCAGTCACAGAGTATCACACGGAACCCCATTCGCGAAAGATTCCCACTCCCGAGCCTACTCGAACACCCAAGAAGGTCAGTGTTAGGGCCATGGCAGAGAAATTCGATACTGTGAAGGCAGCACCTCCTCTTCTATCGTCACCAGCCCCAGCAAAATCTTCTATACCAGTACCTATAGCATCGGTCGACAATAGAAGAGGTGAGGGTGTTGTTTCGCCTTATACTATTAATCCGCCACCATCGCCAACAAGATCAATTGCATCTTTTAAATCTGGAAAGTCTATTCGTTCTTTCCGTAATACGGGCTTAGCTCAGCGCTTTCAGCAAGCTCAAGAACATCCATCGCCCACCAAAATGCAAGCCCCCAAGAGAGTCTTGAGAGATTTCGTACCAGACCATATCCCACCACCAGTTATAGTTGAGAATTCTCACGAGGACTCTGTAACTTCATTGAGACGTCCTCTTTCTACTTCCAGTTCTCTCACCGTTCCCCTGAAGCCAGTGGGTCATCAACCACCTATGTCAATTAGACAAGCTGGAATGGATGGCGCATATAGTAGTATTGGCAATTCTGATATTTTGTCTTTGACATCATCAGAATTTGAAGCTGCACATAATTTTCTACAATCACAATCGCAACTTGCTCACGATACAACGCTTTCAAAGAATACTTTGACTCGTGGTAACACAGTCTTACACTCGCAGATATGCAGTCTCCAACAACAGGTATATGAAAAAACTGAACAAGTACGGCAATTGCAACGACGATTTGAAATAAGATCCAGCTCTGATACTGAGCATATCAGTTTGACGGAACAATTGAGAGAATCGAGAGAGGAAGTAGAGATGTGGCGAAGAAGGGCTGAAGCAGCCGAGAGAAAGTTAGAGTTGATGGACATTATTAGAGCTAGAAATGATTCGAGGATGGAAGAGCAGCGAGGACTGATCTACCAGGCTAAGGGTATTCAAGCTGAGGATAATATTGTCTCGCATGGAAGGGGATATAGTGTTGACGGTGGTACGAGGAGACTAATTTTGAGACGGAGGATGACTGGTACGATGAGCTCGGAAGATAGCACCGGGAGCAATGGTACAGTTGTTAGAGAGAGGAGTGGAAGATACGAGGATGGAAGTGAGATTTGTATGGACGTTAATACGGACGGAGTTATACATAATGATTGGGCAAATCAGACACTTTCCATCCTGGATGGTTTTAAAAGTTGGGAGGACTGATGAATTGTATTTTTGCTTTGAAATTCTCTTTTGGTAGTTGACAGGAAAAGCGATGAAGTAAAAAAGGGAAAGGAGCGATGGGCGATGCTATCAGAAGGACCCATAGTTTGATTTCTGCTTGTATTATTTATGTTCATGTGTTCTTAGAATGAAAGAGACAATGAAATAGAACGTTGGGAGGAGAGTTGTCAAATATCATTCGGATGAGACGGAAGTTAAATTATTCATTTGTTTTATAGATGGACATCAGACTGGAATAGCGAAATTCATATATTAGATATGGATATAGCATTCACTTGAAGTTTTGTTATTCTTGTTTCATTATTATTCTTTACCATTCGCTTTTCAAAGGCTTAAATCTTAGTTCTCGCTTACTCGAACCTTTAATTTTTCTTCCTTTCGTACAATTCAAATAATTGAGATCGTGGGAGAAAGATCCAGATCGATCTTCCGACGTCTTTGATTTTCTCACAACACAACACAACATCATATTCGCACACAAACAATTATCTATGAATGTTTAGCGGTTACGACTTCTTTCGATTACTATTCCCTTCGATCATATCCTTTCAACAACGCAGAGGTTTTTATTTTATAAATAAGAGACGTTCTGCGCGAGAGGGAGGAAATTTGGTATACGATTTTACGGATTTCTACAGTTTGTCGGATTTTTAGATTTCTGAATTCTGTGAGGAAGTGACACTGTCGATATTTTCATTGTCGAAAAAGAAAAGAGGAAATAGGAATTTGGGACTGATACTGATATCGACGCCGCATCGAACTATTTATACCGATTTACTTCTTGTCGATCCTGCATCTTGCGACTTTGCAGATTGGGAGAGGAGAAGATACAAAGATTGCGAATAAAGCACCAGTGGTCAGTCTGATCTGAGTATATCTTCAAGAGGATACAGAGACACAGACCGAAGAGGAGAAGATGACGAAGAATACGATGGCGGTTACGGGGAGAAAGGTTTCTTTTGGGAGCGTGCCCGCGGCTGGGCGGGAGGGGAGTGGGAATGATTATTCGGAATTGGATAGGATGAGAGAGATTAGCGATCGAGGGGTTGGGGAGAGGAAGGAGAGGGAGAGGTTGTATCGGGAGGAGATGGAGAAGAAGAAAGAGGACGGAAAAGAAATTGAGAAGGAAGAGAAAGTGTGGGTTCATTGGGAAAGATGGGGACTTAGTGTTTGGTTGGGTATGTCTTTCTTTTTGTTTTCTCGGCTTTGATCTTATTTCATTCGACTTCAGTGTGAAAATTCACTTCAACGAGTTTTTTTGTCATTCAAAAAATTCATACCGAAGATGGAAGAATCAAGCTAACCCGACCATCTACCCAGTCATCTTCAACATCCTCTTCGCCATCCCCGTCGCATACCTCATTGCCAAATATGCCATTCCGGCTCCCTGGCGCTGGACGGTATTTATCCTCTCTCACCACGCACTACTCGCTTGTGCATATGAGTTCGCGATGGATGTGCAAGAGCGCATGGTGGGAATGGCGATTAGGGAAGCGGAGGAGGAGAGGGAGTTGGAGCAGTGGGATGATGTGGTTGCGAAGTTGGAGGGGGTGTTGGAGGAGAGTAGGAGGAATAGGAGGGTTATGGAGGGGGTGGTGGAGGGGATGGGGGCGGCGGGGGATGAGGAGGTTACAGGAGAGGAAGAGATGAGGAAGAGGGATATTGATATGGCGAGGAAGAGGGTAGGGGAGAAGATTAGGGAGTTGGAGGGGTGGGAGAAGAGAGGCGTTAGGATTGATAGGGGACTTTTGAGGGCGCTGAAGAGGGAGAGACATGAGTTGTTGCATGAGACGACGTGTTTTTCGAAGGCGGATATGATGGATGAATGGATGGGGAAGTCGTGGAAAGAATTGTGTGATGCGGAGGGGGTTTTGGAGGATTAGATGTAGGGAAATGGGGGGTTTATTGAAGGGCCAAAATGGTTGGCGAGGGTGGGGGGTTTACTGAATTTGTGGATGAATGGATGGGTATGGAAATGGGGAAAGAAAAGTTTGTGCTGGAGAATGAGTGGATGTGTTTGATATCGAAAAGATATCTCTACTGCATGCAGTAAACAGAAGATAGATCTGGAGTAAAGTTCCGTAGATTGCTCTTCAATCAACCGCGTTCTCTCAATACATGTAAAACTCTTGCACGCATGTGAAAAGCTAAGCCCTTTACCAAAACCTCCGATTAAGCTACGCGCGATAGTCTGCATTTGTTTGGGACAAGATTAGATTTCAAGTTTCATATTTCACGCTTGCTCTCAGCATCAGCATCGAAGTTCATAGAATAAACGTTATCAGTCCTATTCATCCTCCATTGTCACACACCCATCCCACCCATCCAAGCCTAAGCTCATGTACATGACAAAGTTTGTTGTCTGGATTATGTAGGAAGTAATTTGATTGGACATAGATTGTGCATTTTATTTTTGTGGTTGGATTACTGATCGTAATATAGATTTGTGAAGCACATACAAGCAGAATCGACCTTAAATTGCCATCACCCCATTAGGGGGCTTCCGCTGCACTGCCCACCATACACAAATGTAACCCTAAGTGCTTCATGTACCTATCAAAGGCGACCAGTCTTCCTTCCTGACATAATCTACCCAAGTGGCCAATTTGTAACAATCTGGGAGGTACTACTAGTGTGTTAGTAGGAGTCCTCTGAGACAAACCATAATCTTTACCTCTTCCGTCTGTACATGCCTCACACTCATTAACATTGATTCTTCATACGGTAAGGCCTCAACGAATTCTGTGCTAGCAACGGCAGTATCTGAGGGAAGCCCATAGCTCGATAGTCGCTTTGCGTGCTGCTCCGAGGAAACTTGCTCGAATCTAGCTTTGATACCGAGTTCTGTGCATGATATTAGGTACCAGGGCTTCGAATTTAAAATAAAAAAAGACTTACCGTCAGCCCATGCCTTGAATCTTTCTTCTTCTGGAATCGGTTCTTCAAAAAGCACAACCTGTCTTCCAAAGAATTTCTTCCCTCCCCTCAGGACTTCTCCAATTGCCATTCCTGTGTCCCCAGCATCGGAGCAAGGAACCCTAATGTAACCTGAATATGGCATTGAGAGTACAAATGATCCATCTGGCGCCTAATCATTCTTCTTGTAAGCCACCCCATCGAAGCCTAGAAGAAACAAGAACAAACCTTATAAGGACCTAAGACCATTGAATACCTGACCCAGTTTTGAAAGTAGAATGCGACAAACACCTCTGTAGTTTTTTTCCACAAAATCGGATAATTCTCAGCCAAATCATGTCGGATCAGTGCTTTAGCGTTATATGGTAAGATGTTTTGAAATTGACGTCCAGCTAATGTCCTTCCATCGGGTAGACTACTCAATATATAATGTTCGAGGTGAGGAAGTTTGGAAGCAATCCGATTAATAGTCTTGGCTTGAGCTACCTCAACATCAAGTGAGTTTTGTTACCAGAAGTTAGTGATAGCAAATATGGCATGGGCTCCGGATAGAGCAGCCTTGATGGAGTCAGGAATATCATAATCGGCAGAGATAACTTCGGCACCACTTTTGGATAGAGCTTGAGCGTATGGCTTTGTAGGTTCACGGGTTACGGCCCGCACTCGGTAAGTATCAGAAAGATGCTTGAGGATATAACGGGTTGTGGGGCCGCCCTTGAGTCAGGATTGTTAGTATGCTGCACTGAACTTAAGGGGTATGTAAGAGTGAATGTACTTGTGCACCAGTAGCTCCAAGAACAACTATAAGCTTCTTATCTGTCATTATGAAGTATATTCGAGAGTTATGAATTGTATCAAACCTTTTGAGCTTTCTTGACATACAGGTAAATGATGAAACAACTCCCCTCCCTGCCAGGCTATACTTTGTCTAATGTAAGAGAGCACTTATTCATCAACACCTTAGGCACCGTGAATTGATTACTGATTCAAAACATGCCCGTTCACGTATGGCATTTTCAGTGGACAAAGAGCACTCCAGTAAATGCGGCAAAACAAAGCATGACTTGCATGTGATCCTAGTCCTAGTGAAGATCACTCTCCGGATACTACTCCGTAGGTACTCATCCTATTACATAAACTATTTGGATTCAAAGTATTCGTGTGAATGAGTATGCGAGACCAGACGTGGCTCTTCAGATCATCCTCCGGTGAGGATAAGATCAACCACATGTGCCATAGCAAAAGCGATTATTATACTCCTGAAGCACCTAAGTAGGGACTCTTTATGAATGAGACCCAACTCGGGTCCATAGGTCTGGAGGAAACGAAATCAAATTTTGCAGGTTGATGATATTACATGTGTGTTGTTTTCTTGTTGGACTCCGTGCTTTTCATGAAGCTCCGGTGGCTTGATGTGGCAGATGCTAGCGTATTCGGGTGTGCTAGCACTATTATAGCTAGCGTCATATTTTTCGGAGATCTTTCCCCACAAACACCGATCAATTTTCTAACCTTACTCTCACCTCATTTTCGATATCAGAACAACAAATATTGAATACCCAAGTGGAGATCAAGGGTGTCAAGGGGTTCAAGAGAATACCTCAGAAAAAGCAATGTGCATTCTTCGAATAGAAGACGTCTTTGACAACTCCGCGGAATACTCAATACTCTATCATTTATCCAATTGAATACAGCCAAATGCTGTCCCTTTTAAATGTTCAGTGTGTGATTAATCTTACAATATCACCTAACCCCGATACTTTGTCAGATTTTAGTCCGACAAACATCTCCGAAACCCCATGAAGTCACATTATCTCCTGCAAACATTGCGCAGAGACGCGCCTAATTATCCAACCCTTGGGAACGTACCTTGAAAGAGTACTTCCAAGCCTTCATCTGACCCTATCAATACCAACAAGAATCGCGAAATGCTTCGGGTTATTGAGCAGTTATGGCCGATCCAATTCATTCATACTCCTTTTGCTTTCAAATCTGGCACGGAATCATACCGTTCGGTATTGTACATTTCAAGCAGGCTGGAAGCACCCTTGCCATGTCACAGTCTACTTATATAGCGGTATAAGTCTTTCGTACTCCCATATTTCATAATCCTCATCAACCTTGATCTTCTCAAGTTTGTCTACACCTTTCATTCTCATATATTGTGAAAGCTGTGACTCTACAATGTCGTCAACTACAGCACCAGCTGTTCCCTCCACAATAGCTTCTTCAGCCCCATCCATAGATGACAAGCCCCAAAGACTTGAACGATCAGAAGATGCCTTTACAACAGATTCAGAGAAAGGCCCAGTAACTACCAGTCCACCACCTGAGCCTGAACAAGTGAGAACAGTTACTGGTTGGAAATGGATCGTCATTTGTGTTGGGTTCTATGTCGCTACTTTCTTATACGGCTTGGATAACACTATCGCTGCTGATATTCAATCTGCTGTCCTTGGAACCTACGGTGATATTTCGAAGCTGTCTTGGTTGGGTACAGGTTTCCCGTTGGGTTCCATTGCTACGATTCTTACTATGTTAGTATTCCTTATATGTAACATGATTATGCAAAAACTAACTCCATTGCTAGTGGTAAGGCATATAGCACTTTCAATGTCAAGTGGACCCATGTCGTTTCAGTCGTTATCTTCATCGTCGGCAGTGCTGTGTGCGGTGCGGCGCCTAACATGAATGCACTCATTGTTGGAAGAGTCATTGCCGGTGTAGGAGGAGCTGGAATGTATCTCGGAACCTTGAACTTGGTCGCCATCAATACTACCATTACAGAACGTCCTCTCTATCTAGGAGGTGTTGGTATCACCTGGGGTCTTGGAACGATTCTTGGTCCTGTCATTGGAGGAGCCTTCGCAGATTCAGGAGCAACCTGGAGATGGGTCAGTACTCTATCTTAACATTAATCTACAGAAACTAACTATCCACTTAGGCCTTCTATATCAACTTAGTCATCTTCGCTATTGCCGTACCAGCTCTCCTCTTGATCCCTTCATTCGACCCACAACCAGATCTGGATGTCCTTCACAAAGTTAAGCACGTTGATTGGATTGGAGCTTTGTTAAATGCCGGTCTCTTTACTTCATTCGTCATCGCTCTTACCTTCGGTGGCGCCAACTGGCCGTGGAATGATGGACGCACCATTGCCACATTCGTGTCCTGCGGTGTTATCTTCATCCTTTTCGCAGTCCAGCAACAATTTTGCATTTTCACCACACCCGAAGATCGATTGTTCCCAGTACAATTCCTCAAATCACGAACCATGATTCTCCTATTTATCTGTACCGCAGCAGCAGGAACAGCACTCTTTGTTCCGATCTTCTACATCCCCCTCTTCTTCCAGTTTTCTAAAGGAGACGATGGTATTCAAGCCGCTGTCAGACTCATGCCGTTTATTGTCCTTTACATTGTAGTCGTCATGTCACAAGGAATACTCATGCCAAAGATTGGCTACTACTGGCCATTCTTCGTCCTCTGGGGTATGTTTGCTCTCGCTGGAGGTGCCGCAATGACTACAGTCACCACCTCTACAAACGCAGGCTCTATCTATGGCTGGAGTATCCTCATCGCTATTGGCTGCGGTATGATTACTCAAGCCTCCTACAGTATCGCCCCCGCTATCCTCGGCCGTGATGGTCGTGGCCAAGAAGTCCCTGCATCCATTGGATACATCAACGTAGCTCAAATCGGTGGTGTCGTCATTGGTCTCTCAGTCTCCGGTACAGTCTTCCAGAGCACAGCATTTAAAAATGTCAACAACGCGTTTGCGGGCGAAGGCTTCTCAGCAGACCAAATCAGAAGCGCCATTGCCGGATCGCAAAGTGCGCTATTCCAAAGCGTATCTCAAGAACTAAGAGACAAAGCCATTGAGGGAATCGTGCAGGCAATCGACAAAACTTATTACTTGGTTGTAGCTGGTGCGGCATTGACGTTACTATTGAGTTTCTTGTTGAAGAGGGAAAAGTTGTTCATGGAGATGGCTGTAGGTGGATAAATGATGCGATACGATACGACGGAACTTAACGAGCTGGCGAATGAAATGTGCAAAGGGAATGGGATATGCGAATGGGCATACATTCGAACGGACTACATTGCATTGCTTGTTGTTATCAGGATCGACCTAATACCACAAGCTCTTAGGGCTGGCGTTTTAAAATACATATGGGGAATGGGATTCATGCGTGCATTTTTAAGATAGATTAAGACGAGACGTAATTAAGAATTTATAGAAGTCGTTGTCCGCATATCTCGCTTGAAATTTGTTCGTGTTGCTCTCTGTCCCTGTGTTGTATCTCTGGCTGGGTAGGTATTTGCAAATTCCATCCAGCAAAGTGCCAATTCATTCTACGATGCCATGTAAAGAGACGAGAGTGGCTCGCTAAGATCAGCAAGTTCAAAATAGATGCCGGAAAGGAAATTCAACCAATTCGACTCATTACACAGAAGCACACTAGATAATTTCGAGGATAGGACTAACTCCCAGTGAGTTGACACCCCGACGTGGAAGCTCTGAGCGTATCAACTGACGTATGGGCAAGTCTAACGAGTTTATACCATTGTAGTTTGTAAGAGAATCTGGAAATTCTACACATCAGCCTAGAAGAGGCAAGGACCCTTGTTGTAGAAAGGGGAATGAATGAATGAATGATTGAATGATTGATTGATCGGTTGATTGATTGGATTATATTCGAAGTTTTTCGAGAAATCGAGACGAGAGGAAGAAAATGGGCTAGAATTACTTTCTCTTTCTACGGTGATCTCGTTTTCGTAACTCAGATACCCGTCTCGCCAATCTGGTTGACGAGGGTCTTTGGGTCTGACAGGTGAAGGAAGACCCTTGACCCTTGAGATTGCCTTCTCGCGTGTCTCTTTCGAGATGTCAGACTAGATCATGCTACTTAATAAGTTAATTCAGACGAGTAGAGAGTTTACAACCTCGTGTTCGTTCAGTCAAGATACCTAGGTAGATGTAGACTTGCGATAATTCAGAATAGTCTCAGTCATACTATGCAACAGATATACTCAGCTCGAGTATCATGGAGAGCAAAATCAGCAGATATTACAAATATGATACATTTTTAGCTATCATAAATATCATCTCCTCAAAGACTTATACTTATCACTAGCATGACGTGCCTCCCAACCTCTAGCCTTCTGTTTTGGCTTGAGTGCTGGAATTCTCGTTCTCTTGAACTCTATATCCCATCCTTCGATTCCTGCTCTCTGCATAACTCCCTTGGTACCCTCATCCCATTCGCTTCTGAAAAGCCCCAATCCTATGGGTTGTACATCATGTCTGTCTTTGAAACCCCTGAGGTTGAATCGATCACGTTGATATAATTCTTTGAGTGCCGCTACATCCAGAACTTGTCCGGGTTTTTGCTCTAATACGAATATTGAGTACCGGTGATATGGTGATCCCTTTTGCGCAAATGGTGGTAGCCATGGTAAGATCAATTGGCTCTCTGGGTCTGCTCTGGATAGCGGTAACGAATCTTGTACCGGTGAAATTGGAATGTTGGCAGCAAGGTAATGGCATCTCGTGTTGAAGTGATCATTCTCTACATTTGGAACATCTGCATCCACAACCACAACACTGACGAGTCTCTCCCCTTTGTCGAAAACCTGGACCTTCAATCTAGCCGGGAATTCACTGACTCTGGAGTCTACGTAATCGCCCGGTTGAACATTACGTGCTTGGAACGCGAGACGAACTTCGGCGGTAGGTTCGAAATGAGGGAGAAGATCCGGGACAATCGAAAATTGTTGTAGACGTTGGACAATTATTTTACGTTGATATTCGCGCCACTT